AGTCTAACCTAATGTAACCAACTGTCTTCCACTTTAACCTAGTGTAACCAACTGTCTTGCAGTCTAACCTACTGTAACCAAATGTCTTACACTTTAACCTATTGTAACCAACTGTCAATGGTTCAGTCAAACCAGTCAGTGGTTCAGTCAAACCAGTCAGCGGTTCAATCATACCAGTCAGTGGTTCTGTCATACCAGTCAATGGTTCAGTCATAACAGTCAATGGTTCAGTCATACGAGTCAATGGTTCAGTCATACGAGTCAGAGGTTCAGTCATACCTGTCAGAGGTTCAGTCAAACCAGTCAGTGGTTCAATCAAACCAGTAAATGGTCCAGTCATACCAGTCAATGGTTCAGTCAAACCGGTCAGTGGTTGAGTCAAACCAGTCAGCAGTTCAATCATACCAGTCAGTGGTTCAGTCATACCAGTCAATGGTTCAGTCAAACCAGTAAATGGTCCAGTCATACCAGTCAGAGGTTCAGTCATACCAGTCAATGGCCCAATCATACCAGTCTGTGGTTCAGTCAAACCAGTCAGTGGTTCAATCAAACCAGTAAATGGTCCAGTCATACCAGTCAATGGTTCAGTCAAACCAGTCAGCGGTTTAATCATACCAGTCAGTGGTTCTGTCATACCAGTCAATGGTTCAGTCATAACAGTCAATGGTTCAGTCATACGAGTCAATGGTTCAGTCATACCAGTCAGAGGTTCAGTCATACCTGTCAGAGGTTCAGTCATACCAGTCAGTGGTTCAGTCATTACAGTCAAAAGTTCAGTCATACCAGTCAATGGTTCAGTCATACGAGTCAATGGTTCAGTCATAAAGGTCAATGGTTCAGTCATACCAGTCAGTGGTTCAGTAATAACAGTCAGGGGTTCAGTCATACCAGTCAATGGTTCAGTCATACCAGTCAGTGGTTCAGTCATAACAGTCAGGGGTTCAGTCATACCAGTCAGAGGTTCAGTCATACCAGTCAATGGTTCAGTCATACCAGTCAGTGGTTCAGTCATAACAGTCAGGGGTTCAGTCATACCAGTCAATGGTTCAGTCAGACGGGTCAATGGTTCAGTCATACCAGTCAGAGGTTCAGTCATACCAGTCAGTGGTTCAGTCATAACAGTCAGAGGTTCAGTCATAACAGTCAGAGGTTCAGTCATACCAGTCAGAAGTTCAGTCCTACCAGTCAATGGTTCAATCATACCAGTCAATGGTTCGGTCATACCAGTCAATGGTTCAGTCATACCAGTTAATGGTTCAGTCAAACCAGTCAGTGGTTCAGTCATACCAGTCAGTGGTTCAATCATACCAGTCCATTGTTCAGTCATACCAGTCAATGGTTCAATCATACCAGTCAGAGGTTCAGTCATACCAGTCAATGGTTCAGTCATACCAGTCAATTGTTCAGTCATACCAGTCAATGGTTCAGTCATACCAGTCAGAGGTTTAGTCATACCAGTCAATGGTTCAATCAAGAGAACCAGAGGCTCAATCATCATCAAGTAACAAATGTCAACATACCAACTGAGGAATATCAAACATCAAAGTCTGCCAAGTGATGATTGTCCTATGAACAGTGACACTTATATTGAATGTTCATTAAAAAATCATATCACCTGTGAGCAAAAATAACAGTTACATGAATGTAAACATGATGTTTAGCCATCTGTCACACTGACAAAAATACCTGCAATGCTGGCTGTTACCTTGAGATTATTTTACCAGTTACACTCGGGCACAAGTTATATATATATACTGCCCTAGCTCAGACTGTACTGTAAAGCTGGCTAGCACTTTAAATCATCTCAATAAAACCTTTCTGGTATAAATGAAATATTTGAAATGGAACATCAAAAACCAAACAAGCAGTTGTCTGCTACCTACTTGTGTTGTCCACCTCTCACAATCCTACAGACACTGCCAGGTACATGGTGTCCACTCTCAACAGCGGCAGCTAACTCCAACAGCATCAACAGCAGCACACAGACACACAACAGCAACATCAGCGACACAACACATCACTGTCACACTCAACATGAGCAGAACAGCAGTTGCAAGCTTGCTTTGCATAGAGTAGTAGTAGTTGTAGTAGTGGTAGTAGTTGTAGTAAAAGTGATGGCATTACATTCTAACCTGCTTGGTCAGATTCAGAGGTTACTGCAGTGGGCCAACAGAACAGGGCACAGGTCACCATACCACACATAGGCAGATAGCGGTCACAATACCACAGATAGGCAGATAGACAGGTCACAATACCACAGATAGGCAGATAGACAGGTCACAATACCACAGATAGGCAGATAGACAGGTCACAATACCACAGATAGGTGGATAAAAGTGAGAGATGACAACAAGCTGAGGTTGGCAAAACATGGTGATGGAGAGGGTCAGGGGTGACGGGTAGGGGCAAGAGGTGGGGGTGGGGGTAAGAGGTGGAGGTCGGTGTGAGGGGTGGTGGTAGTTGGGGAGTCAGGGTGTGGTTAACCTGGGTAGATCTGTTATGGGGTAGGCTAAGGCACAATGCATATCCAGATGCTGAGAACAGAGCACGACCATCACCCTCCACTAGCCAGGTGCAACTACCACTAAATACCTCTGATCCCGGGAACCAGTGCAAGTGTACACACGCACCTGAGCGGAGGGAAGTCCAATTGCCAGCCAGTCCTGGGTAATCACAGCCTCATTCATAACTGGGAGTATTAATAGCCGTTATAGTATTACAGTCGTATCACACGATGTACATGTGGCCCCGGGGCTTGCAGACTTGACAGCAGCACACAAGACCCTGGCTGGACATTCTATACCCATTGATCTATTGATTATTGAACATTCAGCAGGAGCTGCCTCTGATATTGATTTATGTTCCAGGCGACTGCAGGCACAGGAGCTATAGAATAGTGTCTTTACAAATGTTGGGATTGCCTGGCCTAGAGCAATGAACCGTCTACATTCTTAAGTGTTTAATATTTGATAATGTACTGGCTGTTCAATGAAATGCAAATAATTTGTCAAATACACCAAATGAACTTATAAAATCCTCAATTAGCTCCTTTTAAACTTTTTTCCACTTTCTTAACATAATGTGCATCGTCAGCAGTTTACTGACATGACATACAAATACTCCTGGAGTCATTCCACGACTTGTTCACAGGACTCAGGGGCAGTGAGTGAGTGAGTGAGTGAGTGAGAGTGAGTGAGAGGGATGGATGGATGGATGAGAGAGTACAGGCTGGACTCTGGGACTGGTCCACAGGGTGAGTGAGTGAGTGAGTGAGTGAGTGAGTGAGTGAGAGTGAGTGAGTGAGAGTGAGTGAGTGAGAGGGATGGATGGATGAGAGAGTACAGGCTGGACTCTGGGACTGGTCCACAGGGTAAGTGAGTGAGGGAGGGAGGGGGATGGATGGGAGAGTACAGGCATAGACTCTTGCACTAGTTCACAGGGTGAGTGAGTTGAAAGGAGGGGAGTACAGGGATGACAATGGCCCACTGAGGGGAAGGCAGAAGCTGACTACATGATACACAGGCAGGTGTTAAGTGGAGGACAGAGGTAGTGTTACACCGGTACACCGTGAGACGACCCACGAAGCACACACAGGTCGGCCGACACCGGGGCATGCAGGGGGCACACATACATGGGAGAGGATGACCAAGCCGCATGCAGCACCTACTGGAGTGTAGTAGTCATAGTAGTAGTCGTAGTGGTAGTAGTAGAAGTAGTAGTTGTAGTACCTGGACACATCTGTCTGGCATCCATCGTCTCTCTTCAGCCAGACATCGATCACTGACAGTGAGAAGTCTTGAAACAGCAGTATTCACGCGAACGCCAGTTCCAGGAAGGCAGCGTACCCTTCCTTCGCGCAAAGGTCAATACGGTGACAACAATCCGAAAGCTGGCCAGCCAAGTGGTTAATGAGATGACAATGAGGCTAGTGAACTAAGATTATAGGCACAGACTGGGAATCACGCACAACACAACGCCACATTACAAGATAATCCTTATCTAATCCCCACATAATGGTGGTGTAAGGGATCATCTCGGATTTTTAATTCCCACCCATTCTCAAATTACCAACACTCAGCTGATTTAATCCCCCCCCCCCAATCTCAGGTAACACAGACAGAAGCAATGGCCCAACTCAGGACCTGTTTACAGTCTCCAGGGGCCCTAACTTGAATCAGCACCTGTGCATAGTTGCCATGATGCAATTCAGAACACTAACAGGAGTTCCCCTGAATATAGTAGCTACGAAGAGCTCATTAACAGGTGCCCTGAATTGATTCATGACCTGTGCAGAGCTGCCCACGACCACCTCAGCACCTGGTTGTATCCCAATCCCTGATCCAACACTGAAACCCTCGTCCCCCGGGGTGCAGGATCCCCGGTCTACAACAGGAGACATATCCCTGACAAGTCGTACCAAGTTACCTCACGACTCAGTCACACTTTCCTGTCCCCTACAGGAGGTGAGAGGTTATACGAAGAAATACCTAACCATGGAACCCAGTATGTGGGCTGCCACTGAATGTTGATTGAACCACCCTTGAGATTGCAGAACCTCAGCTCAGGTGAAAGAAATGGTGACATGTGATCTGTTAGATTGGATGAAGGGGGCAGGACAAGTAGATTCATATTCATGAAATCAAAGACAATTCATTTAACTGAACAATATAACTGCATGCAAAGCAAGTAGGCAACTAGTATCTACATCACTACCTACTCTGGGAAACCAAACAGACCTACTTGTGCATGCATTTTCTCCTTCTGTGTTGCAGGTGCACTGGTGAACACTTACCGTGTCCGGGAAAGGTGCCGAGTCTACCAGGAGGGATGAACACTCTTACTCTTGTCAGTTACTATTCTAGGGCCGTGATTTCAGAATGGTGAGACTATTCCAGGCTTCCCCGGGACAAAATGCATGCATCAAGCACTGTGTTAGTGATGTTGTCCACACTGTGAGTCGGGTGAGGTCTACACGCTACTCCCACAGCTGTCACACATACCTTCATCTGAATCCCCTTGTCCTCCACAGCAGCATCAGACTTGTCGATCCTCTCCAGCGCACGAGCGTAGTTCTCCAGGTCCTCATCCATCGTGTCGTTGTGGTTCTGCAGTTCCCGTGTGTCGATGAGTGCCTGTTCCCGGCTGGCCTGGAGGTTGTCAAGCTGACCAATCAGCTCCTCCCAGTCGTCCCGGACAGCCTGCACAACAGGGTCGGCCAGGCTTGGGTTGTGCTGGGTGAGACTCCGGTACTGGGACACAAAGGTCTCGATGGCTGGACCTCGAGCCACGACCTCATCCCGCAAGGCCTGCAGGAACAAGTGGTCAATGAAGAAGCTGGTATTACTGACCCCCAAACATCATTAAAGAAACACCTATTCCTGGTCAGGGTTTTAGAAGGACAGATGTCTTTTGAACACAAATGGTGTCACGCTGGGGTGTTCAATTACTAACATCGGCCACAGCTGAGAGCCAGATCAACTTTTCCTCATTTTTAACAAAATATCTCTGAAAACTTCCAACAGTACACATTTTCCACTCTTGTACCACCGATCCTCCATATATCAATGATGTGATGGTACCACCGACCCTCCATACATCAATACTGTGCTGGTACCACTGACAACATACATCAATGATGTCCTGGTACCACTGACCATCCATACATCAATAATGTGATAGTACCACTGACCATCTATACATCAATAATGTGATGGTACCACTAACCCTCCATACATCAATGATGTGATGGTACCACTGACCCTCCATACATCACTAATGTGATAGTACCACTGACCCTTCAAATATCAATGATGTGATGGTACCACTGACCCTTCATACATCAATGATGTGATAGTACCACTGACCCTCCATACATCAATAATGTGCTGGTACGACTGACGCTCCGTACATCAATGATGTGATTGTACCACTGACCCTCCATACATCAATAATGTGATAGTACCACTGACCCTCCATACATTAATGATGTGATTGTACTACTAACCCTCCATACATCAATGATGTGATAGTACCACTGACCCTCCATACATCACTGACCCTCCATACATCAATGATGTGATGGTACCACTGACCCTCCATACATCAATGATGTGATGGTACCACTGACCCTCCATACATCAATGATGTTATGGTACCACTGACCCTCCATACATTTCTGACCCTCCATACATCAATGATGTGAAAGTACCACTAACCCTCCATACATCAATGATGTGATGGTGCCACTGACCCTCCATACATCAATGATGTTATGGTACCACTGACCCTCCATACATCACTGACCCTCCATACATCAATGATGTGATGGTACGACTGATCCTCCATACATCAATGATGTTATGGTACCACTAACCCTCCATACATCACTGACCCTCCATACATCAATGATGTGATGGTACGACTGATCCTCCATACATCAATGATGTGATGGTACCACTGACCCTCCATACATCAATGATGTTATGGTACCACTAACCCTCCATACATCACTGACCCTCCATACATCAATGATGTGATGGTACGACTGATCCTCCATACATCAATGATGTGATGGTACCACTGACCCTCCATACATCAATGATGTTATGGTACCACTGACCCTCCATACATCACTGACCCTCCATACATCAATGTGATGGTACCACTGACCCTCCATACATCAATGATGTGATGGTACCACTGACCCTCCATACATCAATGATGTGATAGTACCACTAACCCTCCATACATCACTGACCCTCCATACATCAATGATGTGATGGTACGACTGATCCTCCATACATCAATGATGTGATGGTACCACTGACCCTCCATACATCAATGATGTTATGGTACCACTGACCCTCCATATATCAATGATGTGATGGTACGACTGACCATCCATACATCAATGATGTGATGGTACGACTGACCCTCCATACATCAATGATGTGATGGTACCACTGACCCTCCATACATCAATGATGTGATGGTACCACTGACCCTCCATACATCAATGATGTGATGGTACCACTGACCCTCCATACATCAATGATGTGATAGTACCACTGACCCTCCATATATCACTGACCCTCCATACATCAATGATGTGATGGTACCACTGACCCTCCATACATCAGTGATGTGATGGTACCACTGACCCTCCATGCATCAATGACGTGATGGTACAACTGACCCTCCATACATCAATGATGTGACAGTACCACTGACCCTCCATACATCACTGACCCTCCATACATCAATGTGATAGTACCACTGACCCTCCATACCTCAATGATGTGATGGTACCACCGACCCTCCATACATCAATGATGTGATAGCACCACTGACCCTCCATACATCACTGACCCTCCATACATCAATGATGTGATGGTACCACCGACACCATACATCAGTGATGTCCTGGTACCACTGACCCTCCATACATCAATGATGTCCTGGTACCACCGACCCTCCATACATCAATAATGTGCTGGTACCACTGACCCTCCATACATTAATGATGTGATGGTACCACTGACCCTCCATACTTCAATAATGTGCTCGTACGACTGACCCTCTTCACATCAATAATGTGATGGTACCACTGACCCTCCATACATCAATAATGTGATGGTACCACTGACCCTTCATACATCACTGACCCTCAATACATCAATGATGTGATGGTACGACTGATCCTCCATACATCAATGATGTGATAGTACCACTGACCCTCCATACATTAATGATGTGCTGGTACGACTGACCCTCCATACATCAATAATGTGATGGTACCACTGACCCTTCATACATCAATGACCCTCCATACATCAATGATGTGATGGTACCACTGACCCTCCATACATCAATGATGTCCTGGTACCACTGACCCTCCATTCATCAATAATGTGATGGTACCACTGACCCTCCATACATCAATAATGTGATGGTATCACTGACTCTCCATACATCAATGATGATCGACTCACCTTGATCCTGTCAATGTCAATCTCGGCGGCCTCAGCATGCAGCTTGGCTGGCTTCTGTGCCATCTCTTGCACCTCCTCCTTCTTGGCATGGAGCCAGTGACGGAGCGAGCCTCTCTCTCGCTCCACATTCTCCCACTTCCTGATCATGTCGCGCAAACTGTCCAGGCGAGCCTCCACCTGTAGGTCACAGAAACAAGGTGAGCATTACCATCATTAATCACAGATCGTTACGATTCGATCACGCTGGACGGAGGCAAGGACTACTCTGGATCTGGACCATCTTGACCGTCATCCATTCAGATGGTCCAGCATGTGCCACTTGCCTTCAACAACCAGATATAACTGCCCTGACGAAGCCTAATGAACTGATTACTTGAGTAATTGACAGACAAACATCAAAGTTTAAGTGAGCGTCCAGCACAATGCAGCCCAACACAAGCAGGCCCTGACTGTGGAGATAGCCATCTTGTCAGGAGGGGAAACAGTTCGGTCACTCACTGATCTTTGTCAAGCAATCTGATTTCTATTTCAGTACATTGTACTAAACACAAGTGAGAAGGCTGATAAACAAATAATTTCAGGTATACATTCATTTGACTCAGATATTCGATACACATTAATAAATCTACAAGAATTATTTGTGCTGATGTTGTTAAAGAGATTAGTTATTGTTAATCAGGAAATTTAGAAATCCTTTGATACTGACATCCATGCTGGTCATTAGTTAGGGGCTCAAATTCCAGTTGTGTCTGACAGACTCAGCATACCGCAACTAAAGACGAAAGGGAACTACATCACCCTCCAGAACCTTTGTACACTACATCAAGGATCTCCCTCCCTTTGTACACATAGAGAATCTCACCCTCTTGTCTTTTGATATCAAATATATCAACACGAGTTGATAAAAGCAAGCCTCTGAGTTTTTCCACTTTTATCAACTTGTGTTGATATATTTGATATCAAAAGACACAAGGGTGAGATTTTATTGATCATTCAAAATCATTCTTCCACCTTTTCAGTTTGTAGAGAGCAATAGCAGTGTCTAAAGTGTAAAAGGTACTGCTAACAGCTTCAGTAGCAGAGTTATTAGTGATGTCATTTGATTGTGACGTCATGGTAACCAATGCTTCACAATGGTCTGCAAAGCATTGTGACGCAATTTCACAGATCTCTCACCAGAACCCATCCCTTTGTCCTATACATCACGGATCTCTCCCCAGAACCCATCCGTTTGCACACTTCATCACAGATTTACTTCCAGAACCCATCCCTTTGTCAACAACATCGCAGATATCCCTCCAGGGCCCATCCCTTTGTGCACTACATCATGGATCTCCCTCCAGAACCCATCCCTTTGTATACTACATCATGGATCTCCCTCCAGAACCAATCCCTTTGTATACTACATCATGGATCTCCCTCCAGAACCCATCAATTTGTACACTACATCATGGATCTCCCTCCAGAGCCCATCCCTTTGTCCACTACATCACGGATTTCCCCCCAGAACCCATCCCTTTGTCCACTACATCGTGGATCTCCCTCCAGAACCCATCCCTTTGTACACTACATCATGGATCTCCCTCCAGAGCCCATCCCTTTGTACACTACATCACGGATCTCCTTCCAGAACCCATCCCTTTGTACACTACATCATGGATCTCCCTCCAGAGCCCATCTCCTTGTACACTACATCATGGATCTCCCTCCAGAACCCATCCCTTTGTACACAACATCACAGATCTCCCTCCAGAGCCCATCCCTTTGTACACTGCATCATGGATCTCCCTCCAGAGCCCATCCCTTTGTCCACTACATCATGGATCTCCCTCCAGAGCCCATCCCTTTGTCCACTACATCATGGATCTCTCCCCAGAACCCATCCCTTTGTCCACTACATCATGGATCTCCCTCCAGAGCCCATCCCTTTGTCCACTACATCATGGATCTCCCTCCAGAGCCCATCTCCTTGTACACTACATCATGGATCTCCCTCCAGAGCCCATCTCCTTGTACACTACATCATGGATCTCCCTCCAGAACCCATCCCTTTGTACACTACATCATGGATCTCCCTCCAGAGCCCATCCCTTTGTACACTACATCATGGATCTCCCCCCAGAGCCCATCCCTTTGTACACTACATCATGGATCTCCCTCCAGAGCCCATCCCTTTGTACACTACATCATGGATCTCCCTCCAGAACCCATCCCTTTGTCCACTACATCATGGATCTCCCTCCAGAGCCCATCCCTTTGTACACTACATCATGGATCTCCCTCCAGAGCCCATCCCTTTGTACACTACATCATGGATCTCCCTCCAGAGCCCATCCCTTTGTACACTACATCATGGATCTCCCTCCAGAGCCCATCCCTTTGTATACTACATCATGGATCTCCCTCCAGAACCCATCCCTTTGTATACTACATCACGGATTTCCCCCCAGAACCCATCCCTTTGTCCACTACATCGTGGATCTCCCTCCAGAGCCCATCCCTTTGTATACTACATCACGGATTTCCCCCCAGAACCCATCCCTTTGTCCACTACATCGTGGATCTCCCTCCAGAACCCATCCCTTTGTACACTACATCATGGATCTCCCTCCAGAGCCCATCCCTTTGTCCACTACATCGTGGATCTCCCTCCAGAACCCATCCCTTTGTACACTACATCATGGATCTCCCTCCAGAGCCTATGCCTTTGTATACTACATCACGGATCTCCCTCCAGAACCCATCCCTTTGTCCACTACATCATGGATCTCCCTCCAGAACCCATCCCTTTGTGCACTACATCATGGATCTCCTTCCAGAGCCCATCCCTTTGTGCACTACATCATGGATCTCCTTCCAGAGCCCATCCCTTTGTCCACTACATCATGGATCTCTCCCCAGAGCCCATCCCTTTGTACACTACATCATGGATCTCCCTCCAGAGCCCATCCCTTTGTGCACTACATCATGGATCTCCTTCCAGAGCCCATCCCTTTGTCCACTACATCATGGATCTCTCCCCAGAGCCCATCCCTTTGTGCACTACATCATGGATCTCCTTCCAGAGCCCATCCCTTTGTGCACTACATCATGGATCTCCTTCCAGAGCCCATCCCTTTGTCCACTACATCATGGATCTCTCCCCAGAGCCCATCCCTTTGTACACTACATCATGGATCTCCCTCCAGAGCCCATCAATTTGTACACTACATCATGGATCTCCCTCCAGAGCCCATCCCTTTGTCCACTACATCATGGATCTCCCTCCAGAGCCCATCCCTTTGTATACTACATCATGGATCTCCCTCCAGAACCCATCCCTTTGTCCACAACATCATGGATCTCCCTCCAGAGCCCATCAATTTGTACACTACATCATGGATCTCCCTCCAGAGCCCATACCTTTGTCCACTACATCATGGATCTCCCTCCAGAGCCCATACCTTTGTCCACTACATCATGGATCTCCCTCCAGGTCCCATCCCTTTGTATACTACATTATGGATCTCCCTCCAGAGCCCATCCCTTTGTATACTACATCATGGATCTCCCTCCAGAACCCATCCCTTTGTATACTACATCATGGATCTCCCTCCAGAACCCATCCCTTTGTACACTACATCATGGATCTCCCTCCAGAACCTATGCCTTTGTATACTACATCATGGATCTCCCTCCAGAACCCATCAATTTGTACACAACATCACAGATCTCCCTCCAGAACCCATCCCTTTGTATACTACATCATGGATCTCCCTCCAGAACCCATCCCTTTGTACACTACATCATGGATCTCCCTCCAGAGCCCATCAATTTGTACACTACATCATGGATCTCCCTCCAGAGCCCATCCCTTTGTCCACTACATCATGGATCTCCCTCCAGAGCCCATCCCTTTGTATACTACATCATGGATCTCCCTCCAGAACCCATCCCTTTGTCAACAACATCATGGATCTCCCTCCAGAGCCCATCAATTTGTACACTACATCATGGATCTCCCTCCAGAGCCCATACCTTTGTATACTACATCATGGATCTCCCTCCAGAGCCCATCCCTTTGTACACTACATCATGGATCTCCCTCCAGAGCCCATCCCTTTGTATACTACATCATGGATCTCCCTCCAGAACCCATCCCTTTGTCCACAACATCATGGATCTCCCTCCAGAGCCCATCAATTTGTACACTACATCATGGATCTCCCTCCAGAGCCCATACCTTTGTCCACTACATCATGGATCTCCCTCCAGAACCCATCCCTTTGTATACTACATCATGGTTCTCCCTCCAGAGCCCATCCCTTTGTATACTACATCATGGATCTCCCTCCAGAACCCATCCCTTTGTATACTACATTATGGATCTCCCTCCAGAGCCCATCCCTTTGTACACTACATCATGGATCTCCCTACAGAACCCATCCCTTTGTACACTACATCATGGATCTCCCTCCAGAGCCCATCCCTTTGTACACTACATCATGGATCTCCCTCCAGAGCCCATCCCTTTGTCCACTACATCACAGATCTCCCTCCAGAACCTATGCCAGTGGATGTCCACAACATGGGCTCACCTGAGTGATGGCGTCCTGGAGCTCTCTGTTGACCCCGTCAGCCAGGTGGGAGATGGAGGAATCTCCAGCAGCTTCTGTCTGGTCTAGATTCTCCATACTGCCAAGGTTCTCACAGCGATGGGCAGACGCGGCCAGATCCTGCTTTTTGGTGACCAGTTTCTCCAGCATTCCCTGTTGGGTGAGAAGTTATTTACAGGAGTGGCAGATGAAGAAACTTTGGCAATGGTAAGGTGAACATTGCTTGTAAATATTCATGTTTAAATTTATGGGTATAATGCCCACCTGAGTTGCCTCCCTTTGTTCCTGTGCCTCGTTAAGTGTGTCTGGAACATCAGCTTCATTTTGGTTGAGCCAATCTTTGAAGTCACGCTGGAGGTACTGTGATGTGGAGTTGAGTAAGTCTCTATACTGCTGCCACTTGTCTAAGACTTCCTGGAGGCGATCCTAAGTGAATATAAATGTTACATACTGACCTGCTGCATTACAGTTTGTGGAACATGTGATCTAAGGTTTTAGAGGAGGTGAGTGATGTACAGGGAGGGAAGATGTGGAGATGGGTCTGGAGGTGACTGCTGTACAGGGAGGGAAGATGTGGAGATGGGTCTGGAGGTGACTGCTGTATAGGAAGATGTAGAGATGGGTCTGGAGGTGACTGCTGTACAGGGAGGGAAGATGTGGAGATGTGTCTGGAGGTGACTGCTGTACAGGGAGGGAAGATGTGGAGATGGGTCTGGAGGTGACTGCTGTTCAGGAAGATGTGGAGATGTGTCTGGAGGTGACTGCTGTACAGGGAGGGAAGATGTGGAGATGGGTCTGGAGGTGACTGCGGTAAAGGAAGATGTAGAGATGGGTCTGGAGGTGACTGCTGTACAGGGAGGGAAGATGTGGAGATGGGTCTGGAGGTGACTGCGGTAAAGGAAGATGTAGAGATGGGTCTGGAGGTGACTGCTGTACAGGGAGGGAAGATGTGGAGATGGGTCTGGAGGTGACTGCGGTAAAGGAAGATGTAGAGATGGGTCTGGAGGTGACTGCTGTACAGGGAGGGAAGATGTGGAGATGTGTCTGGAGGTGACTGCGGTAAAGGAAGATGTAGAGATGGGTCTGGAGGTGACTGCTGTACAGGGAGGGAAGATGTAGAGATGGGTCTGGAGGTGACTGCTGTACAGGGAGGGAAGATGTGGAGATGGGTCTGGAGGTGACTGCTGTAAAGGAAGATGTAGAGATGGGTCTGGAGGTGACTGCTGTACAGGGAGGGAAGATACGGAGATGGGTCTGGAGGTGACTGCTGTACAGGGAGGGAAGATGTGGACATGGGTCTGAAGGTGACTGCTGTACAGGGAGGGAAGATGTGGTGATGGGTCTGGAGGTGACTGCTGTACAGGGAGGGAAGATGTAGAGATGGGTCTGGAGGTGACTGCTGTACAGGGAGGGAAGATGTGGAAGATGGGTCTGAAGGTGACTGCTGTACAGGGAGGGAAGATGTGGAGATGGGTCTGGAGGTGACTGCTGTACAGGGAGGGAAGATGTGATATTTGCAAAGAGGAGGTATAGGGACTTGAAGAATCTGCTTTTGGGGAAGAGAAGTCAATAAATAGATAAGCATTATGGTATGTTTATTTTGTAAATGGATACAACATTGATTTGAAGCAATGATATGGAAACATTTTGAACAGAGTTGAATATCTTACCATTGTGTGTATATCCTTACTGCTGCCCCTGTTCTGTGCCAGACAATTCACACTACACACAATAGGTATCTCTGACAGTAAACTTCCCCCATGTGAACACAGCTGTGCATATGGATGTACTCCTCAGCCGAACCGTCATTTGACATAACGTTCTACAGCCCTGGATCCATATCTCACCAGGTGTCCCACCCAACACACCTATTATCCTCAACTACCATTTCTTTCATCCTATTGTATCCATCCTATTTAAATAATGAAATTGCATTTCATGTAATTTCAGGCTTCGTAATACCGTAAAATGATTCTTTCAGTAACCAGTGTCAATGTAGTGTTTGACCTGCAATAGTGCTGTGTATTGATTTTGTGATTGCGTTGTGTTTTCATTAACCCTGTGTACACGTAATCCATGCAGGAGGAAACTGCAATGTACTTTGTCCACAACTAACACATAATTGAATCAAAGGATTTAATATCAGCTTCCTCCAAACGGTTTCAGAAAGTTTCTGGCGACTGTACAAAGCCAAGCAACAGCAGACTAATTCTTGAATTCTTAGTCCTCTGAAGAATTGACAATAGTTTGTGTTGACTGTAGATTCCCTAGCAACAACAGACTAATCCCCCAATAACGAATGTGTCACAAGACATCATGTTGCTTCCAGTGAGATAACTAGGACATGTTGCCATCATTACGTTTCTGGAGGGAGGGGTGTGGCCAAAACGTATCAGAACATATACATGTTATAACTATTCAAGCCTCATGCATTATTGGCACCTCCAACCAATATTTCAGTGCTCAAATAATTCAATTTACACAGCCTGATTCAACCTCTTTCATCCGAAAAGTGAAAATCCTAGAAGTGAAAAAGTTGACCTGTTGAAAACCTCATGAAGTCATCCCTATGAAGCCATACAGGGGAATATGTAGCAAAGTGATTGCTGGGTGGGATTAACTCTGATTAACAACATCCCTATGAAGCCATACAGGGGAATATGTAGCAAAGTGATTGCTGGGTGGGAATAACTCTGATTAACAACCTCCATTTGAAGCCATACAGGGGAATATGTAGCAAAGTGATTGCTGGGTGGGATTTACTCTGATTAACAACATCCCTATGAAGCCATACAGGGGAATATGTAGCAAAGTGATTGCTGGGTGGGATTTACTCTGATTAACAACATCCCTATGAAGCCATACAGGGGAATATGTAGCAAAGTGATTGCTGGGTGGGATTAACTCTGATTAACAACCTCCCTATGAAGCCATACAGGGGAATATGTAGCAAAGTGATTGCTGGGTGGGATTAACTCTGATTAAGAACACCCCTATGAAGCCATACAGGGGAATATGTAGCAAAGTGATAGCTGGGTGGGATTAACTCTGATTAACAACCTCCCTATGAAGCCATACAGGGGAATATGTAGCAAAGTGATTGCTGGGTGGGATTAACTCTGATTAACAACATCCCTATGAAGCCATACAGGGGAATATGTAGCAAAGTGATGGCTGGGTGGGATTAACTCTGATTAACAACATCCCTATGAGTGAGTGAGTGAGTGAGTGAGTATGGTTTTACGCCGCTTTTAGCAATATTCCAGCAATATCACGGCGGGGGACACCAGAAATGGGCTTCACACATTGTACCCATGTCGGGAATCGAACCCAGGTCTTCGGCGTGACGAGCGAACGCTTTAACCACTAGGCTACCCGACCGCCCCTCATCCCTATGAAGCCATACAGGGGAATATGTAGCAAAGTGATTGCTGGGTGGGATTAACTCTGATTAACAACATCCCTATGAAGCCATACAGGGGAATATGTAGCAAAGTGATTGCTGGGTGGGATTAACTCTGATTAACAACATCCCTATGAAGCCATACAGGGGAATATGTAGCAAAGTGATTGCTGGGTGGGATTAACTCTGATTAACAACATCCCTATGAAGCCATACAGGGGAATATGTAGCAAAGTGATTGCTGGGTGGGATTAACTCTGATTAACAACATCCATATGAAGCCATACAGGGGAATATGTAGCAAAGTGATTGCTGGGTGGGATTAACTCTGATTAACAACATCCCTATGAAGCCATACAGGGGAATATGTAGCAAAGTGATTGCTGGGTGGGATTAACTCTGATTAACAACATCCCTATGAAGCCATACAGGGGGATATGTAGCAAAGTGATTGCTGGGTGGGATTAACTCTGATTAACAACATCACTATGAAGCCATACAGGGGAATATGTAGCAAAGTGATTGCTGGGTGGGATTAACTCTGATTAACAACATCCCTATGAAGCCATACAGGGGAATATGTAGCAAAGTGATAGCTGGGTGGGATTAACTCTGATTAACAACATCCCTATGAAGCCATACAGGGGAATATGTAGCAAAGTGATTGCTGGGTGGGATTAACTCTGATTAACAACATCCCTATGAAGCCATACAGGGGAATATGTAGCAAAGTGATTGCTGGGTGGGATTAACTCTGATTAACAACATCCCTATGAAGCCATACAGGGGAATATGTAGCAAAGTGATTGCTGGGTGGGATTAACTCTGATTAACAACCTCCCTATGAAGCCATACAGGGGGATATGTAGCTGAGTGATTGCTGGGTGGGATGTAACGCTATTACCACTTCCCCAGGAAGAACACACCTCAAATACTGGTCATGTTTTCGCACTGAATATGCGATGTTGCATTTCATCAGATTTGTTTGAGGAACATACAAATGTGTTTGAGGAACATACAAATGTGTTTGAGGAACATACAAATGTGTTTGAGGAACACCTTGGCAAAACTGATTGTGAGTAATAAACTGAAGAGACATCAAATTTGTAGTTTATGATCTTAAGATGTCAGAATAGGGTAATGTTACTGAAAGTCAAAGATGCCACAAATACTCTCCATCTACATTTCTTCCGAGTGGTTGACGGCATATTTGTGTACTTCCTACTTAATGTCAAAGATGTCTTACAGCATTGCTGCAGACAAGACTCCGATACACCTGGTCTGAGATACTCGATTCATACGGCATAGATAAGGATTACTCCACATTATTCTGTTACCATGGCAACTATATACATATGTCTCCATGCACATCATGCTCCATGCAGAAACAGAAGAAACACAACGTTTGATATTCAGCATTTATTTGGGATAAAATCCCCCAACATGGGTCGTGTATAGACGTGTAATAATACTTGTGGTAGAGTACAGCCCTTACAGAGATACAACTGTTACAAGAAATACTCAAGGTGCACAACAATCACATAATTAACAATGGAAATAAATAAATATTATCACAGACTTCTGACTTGCTCCCCTATAACAAGAGAGATGAGGACGGAAAAAACTGTCACTTGATTACTAGTGACAGAACATCAACATTTACATGGCAACACATTTATCTGGACGGGATTTGATAAAACACATATATCAGTACGGGATATGATAAAAAAGATAATATAAAGTTACGTGTAAAAAATACTTCAAAAGTAACATATTTAAAACTATCAGAATGTTCGATGATTCAACGTGGCATAGTTTGAATGAGCGGAAGTTGCCACATGCTTGAGCATAGTTGTCCCCGTTACCTATCTGATTCTCATCCTTCAGAACAGTGTTGTACACGAGCATCCTGGGCTGTGTCTCTACACTTGAGACTTTAACCTACACTGAGGAACATCGTCTAGCAGTTAAGTATCTTTACAGACTACCGGTAACTACAACCTGCCATCCACTACTCTATGCACATAAGTCAACACTAGCACGTGGCATGAAGCCAGCCCTGGCCTCCTGGCCAACCAGGGACCAGGCCTGGCCTACACCAGACACAGACTTGCACTTCACACAGTAAAGCAGAGAAAACACACTAATAAAGAGCAAAGCAAACCATTAATAAAATCGAAACTTTACATATGGCGAGTAATGTGACATGTTTGCCATCTGCAAAATAAAATAAACAAAAATTTATGTAAAATAGATCAGGAATGTAAATGGCAAAATTTTGATGTAAAAAAAAGGGTATTATGATGATTTCTGAATCTCAACTTCAATATTCCTCTGAAATGCAAGACCATGTCTGCCTGCCTTAGAACACTACAGTAAGATCTCGGAACATCAATATGCGTGGCAGGTCACCACGACCATGACATAGGTCACATCTACATGCATGGCCCAGCCACCGTCTGCATCACCTCGGCAGTCTGGGTCACCATGACATAGGTCACCTCAACATAGGTCATAGGTCATCACGACATAAGTCACATCACTCAATGTCACTCTAATATCACCCACACTGACATGCACGAGTTTCTTCCTGTTTGTCAATACAAACATCTCCTCTACCCTTAACACATGTTAGGCATTGTTAGTCATCGGTATATATGTGTTTATATGTTGGAATTCAGGTCAAGCATTCATCACATCTCAGTCTGGCACAAAGTCCACTTGAAACAAACAAGACTGTTCCCATGGCGATTGTACTACTTCTGGCAAGCAAGAAGAGGCCGGGTGAATGCGGCCGGAGAGAAGTGATGAAGGGAGATAACTCTAGTACCAGTACAGGTCTATGTGATCCAGGATCATCTGCGAGGGACAAAAAGCATCAGTGAGGAGAGAAGCAGCATGCACCACATGCACAGCTTAGATTCTCAACATTTCCTTCCATAACTTTCTGTTTCAAAATTTCTTTGAAAAAGCCAAACGGAGATGCCAAAGGCCCCATGTGCCAACTTGTCGTTTTCTCAGCGTGAAAGTTTAGTAATAGTAATCCCCAACTGTAACAGGGAACTGTGATACTCCCTCCAGTCCCGCTATCTCCCTGATAACTCCACACTGCTGTAGGGGCCAGCGGACAGCTGTCGCCATGGTTACTGTGCTGTAGACATTAAAGAGTCCCCAATGACAAGTTACACCAAACATCAAGTAGCCTCCTCCTCCTCCTCCTCCTCCCACCGTCAGACTGTACCAGCGCTCCTGTCATCTATGACATAATCACCAGCTACACTCGCGTTAATCAAGCAAGAATTTCCATGCCCCAGGTTTTCGCTCCTTTTCCCTCACTGTTAGAAGCTCACCCCACAATGCCATCCCCATTCCATCCTGTGATGCAGAGATTCCCCCTTATGCTGTCCCAATTCACATCGATTCAACTCACTATCAATGCTGTTCCAAAACCCTCATTATACTGTCCCCCCTACTACACAAATTTCCCAATAATGCTGTTTGAATTCCCTCATTATGCTTCTGTAATTGACCCAAACTACACAAATTCCCCAATTTCGCTATTCCAATTACCACATAATGATGCTGTAATTCCCCATATTACACAAATTTCCCAATAATGCTGTTCCAATTCCCAAATTATCCTGCTGTAATTGACCCATACTACACAAATTCCCCAATTTCGCTATTCCAATTACCACATAATGATGCTGTAATTCCCCATATTACACAAATTTCCCAATAATGCTGTTCCAATTCCCAAATTATCCTGCTGTAATTGACCCATATTACACAAATTTCCCATTTTCTCTATTCCAATTACCACATAATGATGTTGTAATTCCCGATATTACACAAATTTCCCATGTAATGTTGCTACTATGGGGGCTTGGACTGCGGAACTGGCCTCAAGACACCATGGGTGAGGTGGCCTTGACGGATGACACAGGACATCCCACTTCTCTCATTAGTTGGTGATCTTACTTCAGTAAAACCTCTCATCATACACCGCTTGTCATAGCTTGTCATTGGGCTACCGAGGGATGAACAAGTGTTGACAGTGTTAAAGAAACTCGGTTAGAATTCACTCAGGAAACAGAAGGAAAGTGTGAAGATTTTCAAGAAGTGCAAAACCAGGCAGCAAGCTCACAGCAGACAGAAATAACAGCACAGCAGTCTCACAGCACGCAAGAAATCTCATGGCACACAAGAGATCTCACAGCACGCAAGAGATCTCGCAGCTAACCCAACTAACAGTGTTAGCCAATCACTGCAATCTGCAACACCAGTAAGCAGACCAAACACGCAAACATCAGATGTAAATGATTATAAACAGCATGCAAATCATGTAACAGACAGCCATGGCAACAGAAATGTGGAGTCATCCCTACACCTAACACTACATGGCACCATGGGCCGGCATCGCTATCAGAATGTGATTAACAGAGATCAGAAACATGGACCACCTTAACATATCCCTCTTGCCATGTGTTCCACAAAGACCAGTGACATGACCACCCCGTCAGTCATGTGTTCCACAAAAACCAGTGACATGGTCCACCCCACAAGCCATGTGTTCCACAAAGACCAGTGAAATGGACCACCCCTTCAGCCATGTGTTCCACAAGACCAGTGACATGTTGACATGTACCACCCTGTCAGCCATGTGTTCCACAAAGACCAGTGACACGGTCCACAGACCAGTGACATGGACCACCCCTTTGGCCTTGTGTTCCACAAAGACCAGTGACCGGACCACCCCTTTGGCCATGTGTTCCACAAAGACCAGTGAGATGGACCATCCCTTCAGCCATGTGTTCCACAAAGACCAGTGACATGGTCCACCCTGCTAGCCATGTGTTTCACACAGACCAGTGAGATGGACCATCCCTTCAGCCATGTGTTCCACAAAGACCAGTGACATGGTCCACCCCGCTAGCCATGCGTTCCACACAGACCAGTGACTTGGACCACCTCTTTGGCCATGTTTTCCACAAAGACCAGTGACATGGACCACCTCTTTGGCCACATCCGGCTGCCCCTGGAGCACTCACCTTGATCTGTTGGGCGGTGGACTGCAGGTTGACGTAGCTCTCCTCCAGGTTCTGGAGTTGTGACTGCACCTGCTGGGCCAGACGGGGGAGGCGTGGGGCCATCACCACTAGCTGCTGCCCCTTCCGGCTCACCGAGTCTAGCGTCAGGCGGTAGTCCTCGATCTCCCGGATCAGAGCCTGCAGGGGAAGGGATCAAACAGGGTAGTGTATCAGAGGGATCAAACAGGGTCAGTGTACCAGAGGGATCAAACAGGGTCAGTGTACCGGAGGGATCAAACAGGGTCAGTGTACCAGAGGGATCAAACAGGGTCAGTGTACCAGAGGGATCAAACAGGGTCAGGGTACCAGAGGGATCAAACAGGGTCAGTGTACCGGAGGGATCAAACAGGGTCAGTGTACCAGAGGGATCAAACAGGGTCAGGGTACCGGAGGGATCAAACAGGGTCAGTGTATTGGTGGGATCAAACAGGGTCAGGGTACCTGAGGGATCAAACAGGGTCAGTGTAAGGGAGGGATCAAACAGGGTCAGTGTACCGGAGGGATCAAACAGGGTCAGTGTAACGGAGGGATCAAACAGGGTCAGTGTACCGGAGGGATCAAACAGGGTCAGTGTAACGGAGGGATCAAACAGGGTCAGTGTACCTGAGGGATCAAACAGGGTCAGTGTAACGGAGGCAAACAGGGTCAGTGTATCAGAGGGATCAAACAGGGTCAGTGTACCGGAGGGATCAAACAGGGTCAGTGTACCAGAGGGATCAAACAGGGTCAGTGTATCAGAGGGATCAAACAGGGTCAGTGTACCGGAGGGATCAAACAGGGTCAGTGTAACGGAGGGATCAAACAGGGTAGTGTATCAGAGGGATCAAACAGGGTCAGTGTAACGGAGGATCAAACAGGGTCAGTGTACCTGAGGGATCAAACAGGGTCAGTGTAACGGAGGATCAAACAGGGTCAGTGTACCGGAGGGATCAAACATGGTCAGTGTACCGGAGGGATCAAACAGGGTCAGTTTAAAGGAGGGATCAAACATGGTCAGTGTAACGGAGGATCAAACAGGGTCAGTGTAACGGAGGGATCAAACAGGGTCAGTGTAACGGAGGATCAAACAGGGTCAGTGTACCGGAGGGATCAAACAGGGTCAGTGTAACGGAGGATCAAACAGGGTCAGTGTAACGGAGGGATCAAACAGGGTCAGTGTACCAGAGGGATCAAACAGGGTCAGTGTACCGGAGGGATCAAACAGGGTCAGTGTACCGGAGGGATCAAACAGGGTCAGTGTACCAGAGGGATCAAACAGGGTCAGTGTAACGGAGGATCAAACAGGGTCAGTGTACAGTCATAACTATCACTTCTGACAACTTCAGGGCGGTCGGGTAGCCTAGTGGTTAACGCGTTCTCTCGTCACGCAGAAGACCCGGGTTCGATTCCCGACATGGGTACAATGTGTGAAGCCCATTTCTGGTGTCCCCCGCCGTGATATTGCTGGAATATTGCTAAAAGCGGCGTTAAATCATATTCACTCACTCTGACAACTTCATCTACAACTAACAACTCCATTCTGTTTTTCACCAGACGTTTACTTCAGTGTGTGTTTTTGCTGATAAACTTCAAATTCATCAATAATCCAACATAATGACAACCTACTCATGTTAATCTCTCTCATGTATGCTATTGTTGTTACTGTTAATCCTCCACCTACTATATATATTCTGTACCATGTTCATCATTCAGGCTTGCTTGACAACAGTATAAGGATCTACACCGAAACATTGCCTTTACAGTAAAGGTGTTTACTTCAGGTGTACAGTCAGGTGTACAGCCAGGTGTACTGCCAGGTGTACAGCCAGGTGTAAAGCCAGGTGTACTGTCAGGTGTACTGTCAGGTGTACTGCCAGGTGAACTGGCAGGTGTACAGCCAGGTGAACTGCCAGGTGTACAACCAGGTGTACAGCCAGGTGTACTGTCAGGTGTACTGCCAGGTGTACAGCCAGGTGTACAGCCAGGTGTACTGCCAGGTGTACAACCAGGTGAACTGGCAGGTGTACTGCCAGGTGTACAGCCGTTATATAGCCAGGTGTACTGCCAGGTGTACAGCCAGGTGTACTGCCAGGTGTACAGCCAGGTGTACTGTCAGGTGTACTGCCAGGTGAACTGGCAGGTGTACAGCCAGGTGTACAGCCAGGTGAACTGCCAGGTGTACAACCAGGTGAACTGCCAGGCGAACTGCCAGGTGTACAGCCAGGTGTACAGCCAGGTGTACTGTCAGGTGTACTGTCAGGTGTACTGCCAGGTGTACAGCCAGGTGAACTGCCCACTGTACAGCCAGGTGTACTGCAGAGCGTACAGCCAGGTGAACTGCCAGGTGTACTGCAGAGCGTACAGCCAGGTGTACAGCCAGGTGTACTGCCAGGTGTACATCCAGGTGAACTGCAGAGCATACAGCCAGGAGAACTGCCAGGTGTACTGCCAGGTGTACTGCCAGGTGAACTGCAGAGCGTACAGCCAGGAGAACTGCCAGGTGTACAGCCAGGTGAACTGCAGAGCGTACAGCCAGGTGAACTGCCAGGTGTACAGCCAGGTGTACTGCAGAGCGTACAGCCAGGTGAACTGCCAGGTGTACAGCCAGGTGTACTGCAGAGCGTACTCACCCTATGTTTGTCGATCTGCCTCTGCGTGAGCTCCAGGGAGCTGACATTGAGAGAGTTGTGAGACATGAGTCGGTATGATGTCTGCAGCAGCCACTTCTCACAATCCTGCTGCGCCTCATGGAAGTCAAGGTGGTCATCATAGATTGCCTGCAGGTCGGCCACCACCACCTGCAACACAGCACCAGTGGACATAAGCATGTTGATTTAATGTAACCATCACTATCGTAACTGCTGGCAAAGTTAGGAGATAACATACTGTGTCTTCAATTTAGAGATTGACTACTTATAGATTTAACCATGCTAAATAGAAACCGTAACCAAATGTGCAATGTCAAATCAACTGTTTCAATCAGAGGTGGTTATTTTGATTTGATACCTCTTTCTGATCAATCAGAGATGAGCAATGTCCAAATTCATGGTAAAACTGCATTTAAGATAACATGTTTTGATCAACAAACTGGGTGTTAACAGTATTTCAGTCCATAAGGCGAGATACTGTGTAAGGAGAGTGGAGACATACAAGATGGGGGGGTGGAACCCCGGTGCTGTGAGGAGAGTGGAGACATACAAGATGGGGGGGTGAACATACAAGATGGGGGGTGGAACCCCGGTGCTGTGAGGAGAGTGGAGACATACAAGATGGGGGGGGGAACATACAGGATGGGGGGGGGAACATACAAGATGGGGGTGGAACCCCGGTGCTGTGAGGAGAGTGGAGACATACAAGATGGGGGGGTGAACATACAAGATGGGGGGTGGAACCCCGGTGCTGTGAGGAGAGTGGAGACATACAAGATGGGGGGGGGAACATACAAGATGGGGGGGTGGAACCCCGGTGCTGTGAGGAGAGTGGAGACATACAAGATGGGGGGGTGAACATACAAGATGGGGGGTGGAACCCCGGTGCTGTGAGGAGAGTGGAGACATACAAGATGGGGGGGGGAACATACAAGATGGGGGGGTGGAACCCCGGTGCTGTGAGGAGAGTGGAGACATACAAGATGGGGGGGTGAACATACAAGATGGAAGGGTGGAACCCCGGTCCTGTGTGAGACATACCCTGGCTCTGTTGCGGACAGCATCATAGCGAGCCTGGACATCGGTGAGAGAATCGGCAACGTCGGGGTTGTTGCACAGCGCCTCCAGGTTGGCCACACGGTCGGCCAGCTCGTTCACAAGTCGCTGACGGTGGTCGGTGTCTGCCAGGATCATCTGCAGCAGCAGCAATCATTCTTACCTTATGAATTCATGTATTGGTCATTTCAAATCTAAAACAATTACACTGCATGTGATTTGATTATTTGACATGGTAAAGATCTTCACATTGTATCTTGGAATATGTTAAATAGTTGAGAAAACTGACAAATGGTAGAGGGAATTATAGGGGCAGTAGGCAAGTATGAAAATATGCTGGATCATCCCAAACCTGTTTTACTCCGATGCCAACTCTTACCATGTGTGTCTCTTCTTTTCAAACTGAATGCTCGGAAGCTCTGGTGGGACAGTTTGTTATTGTGATTTCTGCCATGGCAACCATGGCTACTGAGTGATTGAGTATTGTTTTACGCCACTTTTAATCAATAATCCAGCAATATCACGGTGGAGGACACCAGGAATTTGGTTCACACATTGTACCGATTTGGGGAATCGAACCCGGGTCTTCGGGGTGACGGGCAAATGCTTTAACCACTCGGCTCCCCCACCGCCACCATGGCAACTATGGCTACTGACCTTGTACTTGTCCAGGATGGTCTTCTTCTCTGCCAGCTGTGCCCGCGGCTCGGGGTCCAGCTCCAACTGACTCTCCACCTCCGCCAGCCACTTGACGATCATGCCGAAGTACTCCTCGTACTCATGCCAGCGCTGCTGAACTCCCTCCAACATGGCCGTGCAGTCATTGATGGACGAGTTCAGCTTCTCCCACTGATTGGTCATCTGTGTCACCTGACTCTCGATGGTCCTCTTGCCATTGGTGGAGGTGACCGGCAGGATCTTCTCAGCCATATCACATACGTAGTTGACCTTCTGTAGACCGTCGTCCATACTGGCCGTCACATCCTGTATAGAAACAAGAGAAATATCAAACTGAACTTTCCCATTCTTTGTCAAACCAGAAAATTGTAAACCTTTCAAAACTTTCTTTGGCATAATTAATCTGCTATGAATCAGAACCAAATTGATCAGACAAATACAAGAAAGACCTCAACAATATCTAAGAGTCTGGCTTGTTCTGGCTTGTTCACCTTAATGTCTGCGATCCTGTCCTGTATGGCTGTCCAGTCCCCGGCAGTGTCACTGCACGCCTGCACACGCTCACACATCATGGCCAACCACTTGTTGGCCGACTCCAGGGCGTCATCGTACACTCGGTGGTCATGGACGTTGTCCTTCAGCTTTTGTAGGGTGCTCTGTCACAGAAGAGGGAGACTGATAGTTCCAGGTTCATGGGCAGACTGATACTGACAGACAGAGGGAGACTGATACTGACAGACAGAGATAGACTGATACTGACAGACAGAGGGAGACTGATACTAACAGGCAGAGGGAGACTGATACTAACAGATAGAGGGAGAATGATACTAACAGGCAGAGGGAGACTGATACTGACAGGCAGATGGAGACTGATACTGACTGGCAGAGGGAGACTGATACTGACAGACAGAGGGAGACTGATACTGACAGGCAGATGGAGACTGATACTGACAGGCAGAGGGAGACTGATACTGACAGGCAGAGGGAGACTGATACTAACAGGCAGAGGGAGACTGATACTGACAGGCAGATGGAGACTGATACTGACAGGCAGAGGGAGACTAATACTGACAGGCAGATGGAGACTGATACTGACAGATAGAGGGAGACTGATACTGACAGACAGAGGGAGACTGGTTCATGGGGAGGCAGAGGGAGACTGATACTGACAGGCAGAGGGAGACTGATACTGACAGGCAGAGGGAGACTGATACTGACAGATAGAGGGAGACTGATACTGACAGGCAGAGGGAGACTGATACTGACAGGCAGAGGGAGACTGATACTGACAGGCAGAGGGAGACTGATACTGACAGACACACGGAGACTGATACTGACAGACAGAGGGAGACTGGTTCATGGGGAGGCAGAGGGAGACTGATACCGACAGACATAGGTAGACTGATACTGACAGGTAGAGGGAGACTGATACTGACAGGCAGAGGGAGACTGATACTGACAGGTAGAGGGAGACTGATACTGACAGGCAGAGGGAGACTGATACTGACAGGCAGAGGGAGACTGATACTGACAGAGGGAGACTGATACTGACAGATAGAGGGAGACTGATACTGACAGGCAGAGGGAGACTGATACTGACAGAGGGAGACTGATACTGACAGACAGAGGGAGACTGATACTGACAGACAGAGGGAGACTGATACTGACAGATAGAGGGAGACTGATACTGACAGGCAGAGGGAGACTGATACTGACAGACAGAGGGAGACTGGTTCATGGGGAGGCAGAGGGAGACTGATACTGACAGACAGAGGGAGACTGATACTAACAGGCAGAGGGAAACTGATACTAACAGGCAGAGATAGACTGATACTGACAGGCAGAGAGAGTCTGGTTCATTGGGAGGCAGAGGGAGACTGATACTGACAGACAGAGGGAGACTGATACTGACAGGCAGAGGGAGACTGGTTCATGGGGAGGCAGAGGGTGGTTCATTTCATCAGTAGAGAGTACATTCAGCATTGTGTTATATCAGCACTATGGTATCTGTACCTACCCTGGCAAGGGAGCAGAGAGCCTGGAACTTGGTTGACAGCTGCATCATGCTGTTGGAGAGACGAGGGTCACTGCTCCGCTGGGCAATTGTGTCCCCTTTCTCTCGAATCTTGTCCAGAGCAGCCTTCTTACTCCCAATCTCATCATACACATCCTGGAGAATGGATGACATGTCATATTAAAATTATCATACCGGATAATCATAATAACAGCGTCACAAACACAAACTCATAGAAAGGCTTATAAAAAATCTGGCCAGTAAGATGTATACACAGGCAACTGCACAACAAGTAACTATAGTGGCCATGTTAAACATTTACAGAAACAAAAACCTGTGCCAGGAATTTGAAAAAGGTCCTTCTCTTTGATGTGAGATTTACCTCCCCTTCTTGGTACTGATAGTGGGAGATTTACCTCCCCTTCTTGGTACTGATAGTGGGAGATTTACCTCCCCTTCTTGATACTGTGTGTGATTTACCTCCCCTTCTTGCTGGTGTTGTAAGACTTACCTCCCCTTCTTGGTACTGCTGTTGTTTGCGGCTGAGGTTGGGTTTGGGATCCATCAGCCCACGAACTTGGGCATCCATCTTGTCTATCCAGTTCATTATGGTGACATGGTCATCGTCCAGCTCTACCCAGTTGGCGATACACGACTCCAGGTTTGTCTCCACGTCTGACACCGCCATGGAGAAGACAGACCAGTCCTCACGCAGACCTTCCATTTCCCGCTGGATTACAGACCGACCTTGGGGTGAGGTGCTCTCACAGACACGCTCTCCCAGAGCACCAGCCCGGTTCACCATCTCCTGACCTTGCCGCAAGTCGGCCTTGAACTCCTTCAGCTGCTGCAGCCGGTCCTGTAGGGTGCGCTTGTCACCGCTGTAGTCGCTCATCCGCTGTAGCCGATGCTTGGTGTTGGCTAGCCAGTCCAGACAAGCAATGTATGCTTTACGATAGTCCTCATGACCTTTGACCTGCTCCTCAGCCTTGACAAAGGCATCCTGGAGGAGGAAGTGACATGGTATTACCAAAAGAGAAACACTCAAAAATATAAGGAAGGGCTTCAAATTATTAATTTTAAACTCCAGGTCAAATTTGGAACGTACATCTAGTGTATTACAATAATTTAAAGTTATTTCATCATGCCACTTGAGGTCCATTTTTGATTTTGAAAAGAGAAGATGGGGGACTTGGACCACATGAACCCAATACCACTTATCTCCATCTTGCTGAAGTCTGATGACCAGCCAGCAGTACTGTGGACCTGGTCTGATGTGAAACACGGGGCATTCATGGACAACACACAGTGATGATAGAATCTCTTATCTACAAATCTGGGCCCAGTCACAGAAAGTGATCTTAGCGCTACGTATATCGTAAGCAAACATTAAAGAATGGGAATTAACTAGATTTTGATGATAGAATCTGGTGTGGTCAGTGACTAGACTTTATGATACATTAAATCCAGCACTTTTTTCCTGACACCAGGTCTGGACTCTCTGATGCCATGTAGCCCACACTCACCCTGCTCTCTGTGATGACAGCCTGGTACCTGGCCGAGAGTCCGGACACATGGCCGCGGGGACCGGAGTCCTTCACCTGCCCGGCCTTCTGCTCCAGCTTAGCCAGCATGTCCTTGTGAGCAGCGATGTCTGCCTGGAGGGCCTGGGAAGAAGATGCACAATATCTGAAGAACTGTTTCTAGACATACAATACATAATCTTTGTGAGCAGCGATGTCTGCCTGTAATGCCCTGGGAGGTTGGTTGGTTGGTTGGTTGATTAATGCCACACTCAGCAATATTACAGCTATATGATGGCGGTCTGTAAATAATTGAGTCTGGACCAGACAATCCAGTGATTGACATCATGAACATCGATCCACACAAATTGGATACGATGACATGCATCAAGCAAATCAGTGAGCCTGACCACCCGATCCCGTTAGTCGCCTCTTACGACAAGCATAGTCGCCTTTTATGGCAAGCATGGGTTGCTGAAGACCTATTCTACCCGGATTTTCATGGGTTGCCTTGGGAGCAGACAGACAATATCTGAAGAACTGTTAGACATACAGTACATAATCACTGATAAACTAAGAGGTTGTATCACCTTGAATTTCTCCATGTGTGATCTCTTTTCAGGGAGGTCCGTCTTGTACTCTGAGTCAGACCGAAGCTTGTTCTCCACGTCAGTGAGCCAGATGTTGAGCTGGTCATACAGCCGGTCGAAGTCTCCCCACTGGGACAAGGCAGTCTCCAGACTGCGCTTGGCTTGGGACATTTCCGTCAGCAGGTTCTCGTACTCGGTCTTGGCTGCCTCAGTGTCCTGCCGCAGCGTCTGACAGCCCCTGTTGCTGGTGGATGGCAACGTCTTCTCACAGGTGTCCAGCAGGCTCCGCAGCAGGCTGTGTCCGCGGTCCATGGCGCCTTGTATCTCCTACAGGAACACACACGCTGGATCAGTATCTCTTTGACATCTTTGAAACACCTCTCAATAGGAATACTGAGGTATTATAGCATATTTAAAAACTGATGCATACTGAGGTGTAAAATTGAAGCCTAAAAATAAATGAGATCTGAGACAAGGTCAAATACCATTCATATGACAACATCTGAAAATCCATCAGTCAGTTATTTCATGGCGTGTCAGCTAAATGTGGGTGGGGAACCGGGATTCAAACCCACCAATAGGTTTCTGGTGTGCCCGAGGGATGCAACTCTGCACAGCGAATTGCTGCACCTTAGTCAACAGGGCCACCATTGCCCCCGGATGAGGATGAAAAGATAAATGGATGGGAAACCCTGTGAAGGCGTCTCCAGGTACAATGATGATAAACATGTCATGATGATTTAATATGATGATAAATGATTATTCCTTGAGAAGCTTATGTTAAAACAGATGCAAAGGCCGCTGTATTATACTCAACTCATGTCCACAGGTACACAGGATACACAGGTACACAGGATACACAGGTACACAGGATACACAGATACACAGGATACACAACTGACAACATGCCGAGACATGGGAGCACTGTCTGCACACTTCATATATGGAGTCCATTTAACAGACCACGGACAGACAGTGACAACTGTCAAGTCTACCACAGATATCCAACCATCTATCCAATCTACACGAACATGCAAACTGTCATACACGGGACACCACTGTCACATTCATGTGCAAAAGGAAAACTGTGAGGTAAACAAGGTTGAAAAGAAATTCTACCATGACATTGAAGAATGCTTGATTCTGATTGGTTAAAAAGAGGTTTCCTTTTTGCTACGGAAACCCCTTTAAAATACAGTAAGCCTTTTCACACAAAAACTATGGGCATGATTACATCGACAGCCTACATATTGATTCAAAAAACAAATGGCTGCCGATCAATCACCAGGAACTGTAAAACGTATCAATATTTCCTCTATTTCAGGCTGGCTCTCCAATACAAGCCTGGTCTCGAATACATGCCAAGTCAATGCCTCTCACGAAACTAATAGATGGCCAAGCGTCTATTAGAGGAAATACTGTAGTTTGATATCGGATGTTTTTGGCCAAGATATGTTGTTCTAGACCATAATCCTGACTGCTTCGGGGATGAGATTACAAAACTCTACAAAGGCATGTCTTTTGCATACAAATGAAATGTTTATGAATATGTCAGGGACATGTGCAAAGCGAACAGACTCGGAAAAGGCAATTTCGCCTGGTTCCAAATTAAAGTAAAGAGGTATCTACTCTACAGTCAGACTACATCAAATTTTAAAACACAGGTTTATCTCCTAAATATTGACTGTAACTTTTGATGGCATGGTTTGAGTCACTGACAAGATGCTGTGAATTCATTCAACATCACCAGCTGCTTTCATCCACAAGCATTCTCTCAGCGACCTGGTTTCAGTTGACAAAAACTTAAAACACAACATGCTTTCACTTGACATGGATACTTTCACTTGACAACATGTCTAAATAAGGACATGCTACAACACCGCCACATGATAAGAATGCTACAAGAGGCTGTAAGTGGGACGAGCATGCTCACCAGGTAAAAGTTGCCCTGCAATACAACAGTAACCATCATCATTAGAGAACATGGGCTGGAATACAGGATGAATGATTGTCACAGACATGGGAGATATGGGACATCAGTGTGGCTGGACTGTCACAGGGGTAAACATGCAGGTATGAACAATGCAATGTCGATGCTGGAAATGCAGGTATGAACAATGCGATGTTGATGCCACATTGTGGCTCCATGACAATTGCAGTATGTCTCACACTGGCGTCGACACACAGGTAAACATGCAGGTATGAACAACGCAATGTCGATGCTGGGAATGCAGGTATGAACAAAGCGATGTTGATGCCACATTGTGGCTCCATGACAATTGCAGTATGTCTCACACTGGCGTCGACAACACTGGCGGACTCACCTCGGCATGCTCCAGTCTGGCCGTGACCTTGTCCCGCGACCCCTGGTCATCCTCTAGGGTCTGAATCCGTTGTCGTGTTTCTCTGAGCCACGCCTGGAACTGCTGCAGACTCTCCTTGTAGTTCATGTGGTTGGTGAAGTAGAATTCCAGGTTACAGACGATGTCCTGTGAACAACCAGTCAGGCATGAAACACTGTCGTCATAGTCTACATTTTAATACTTTACATTTTCACTGACAAATAACAATCATCCTCAGCTATGTGATGTCTTGTGTCAATGTTAAGCAATAACTGTAGCTCTGTACTACACTGTCCTTCATCTAAGTGCTATGTACACACCTTGCAGTGGGCGATGACAGCCTGGTAGCGGGTGGTGATTTGCGTAATGGCGTGTGACGTTTTGGCATCAGCGTTGGTCTGAAGCAAGGCCTGGGCTCTCTCGCTGACACGGTCCAGAGCCGACTGGTGGGAGATAATCTCCTCCAGGTGGCGCTGCAACATGGAACAGCAATGGTTATCAATAATACATCTGGTGCTAAAAGATTTAAGTAACATTGGGATAAGTAAGGATAAAATACAAGGATGACCAACTTCTTTATTACGATTTGGAGTGACGTTTTGGTTTATGTTCTAACACTGTCATCAAGCAAGTGACCATTGCCACGTCTCCATAAAGACAACAAATAACTTTGAGAGGCATTTAGAAGTTGGAGTACCAAGTAAGGATAAGTGAAGCTGTCTCACCTGGTACAGCTCCCACTGGAGCTTCTTTTCCTCCACGTTGGTCTTCAGGTCCAGCTCCGACCGCACCTGGTTCTCCGTGTCCTTCAGCCACTGACTGAACGTCTGGTAGCTCTCCTCGAACTCCTCCCAGCGCGTGAGACACACCTCCAGGTCGGATTGCGCCTGCACCAGCTGACCACGGAACTCCTCAAAGTCTTTGTGCATGGCTTGCAGTTCCTGGCGCATCTTGGTCTGACCCTGAGGGGATGTACTGGGCAGAGTGGCCTCCCCTGCCTTGGTTGCGTGCGACAGTCTCTGGGTGCCCTCAGCCAAGTTGTGCAGCAGGGACTGGAAACAGAAAACTCATTCATAGACGCACCAGGGTTAAGACATTGGTTTTGATTTCATAGAATGGAACCTTGTCATGGATATCGATTGAATATAACATAACAGCAGGAATTTCCACATATTCTTGCCTTCAACACAGTGGACAGGGAGTAGGGACCTATCTCTAGTGACAGAGCTATAAGCTTAGCACTGATGGGGTCTAGATCTGGCACATATGAATCCAGTCCATTGTAACAAATCTCATCCTGTGTACAGCTGCATGGACCAGAATCTTGGGACATGATAATGTCAGTTCCAGGAATGTCCTGGGAGCCCCGATGTGAAGATGTCCCGTCTGACAGGTCACACGTTCTCAAACTGTGACCTCCTCTGTGTCTGTTGGGGGCGGGTGTCTCCTTCTCCCCACCCTCCCCGGCCACAACAACAGCGTCGATACCCAAGGTCATGTTGTGGGTGCAGTGATGCACCTCCTTCATAACAAATCACAGGTACTGGTAGTATATCTGCTCCTCCTCCTTTTCACAATGAATCAAAAGGTTCACGAGTCCTCCACAGAGCTGCCCCCCACCATCTCAGAATGCATGACGGCCTGGAGTGTGGTCAGGCTACATGCTGACACTATTCACCAGCTCACGAGTATCGAGACACAAGACCTGATTTCCACATGGATAATCTCAGCCCAGAACGTATAACCCTCTGACACCCTGCTGGGTTAATCCTCACTGTGACATACCAATCAGAATGTAATCTAATAATCAGCCTATAACCTACATGCATGGCTGCCAGCCAATACAGGCCTTGGCCCAGGCTCAACAAACACCATGAACAGTTGACTGCCATGTCCTTGGAGTACACCCACATGATCCTCAGGCCAGCTGTAAGACACTTAACCCTCAGACCCTCAGTCATGGGTGTGAAAAGCAGATTGGGTGAGTCAGGTCAGAGGTAGCTTGAACAACATGGCCATGACAGCGATCATGATCATCTAATCATGTGGTGAATCATGTGCTACATTGTTGAAGTCTGTACAGAGGACGGTACAGAGGACGGTACAGAGAACTGTACAGTGGACTATACAGAGGACTGTACAGAGGACGGTACAGAGAACTGTACAGTGGACTATACAGAGGACTGTACAGAGGACTGTACAGAGGACTATACAGAGAACTGTACAGTGGACTATACAGAGAACTGTACAGAGGACTGTACAGAGGACTGTACAGAGGACTATACAGAGAACTGTACAGTGGACTGTACAGAGAACTGTACAGTGGACTATACAGAGGACTGTACAGAGGCCTATACAGAGGACTGTACAGAGAACTGTACAGAGAACTGTACAGAGGCCTATACAGAGAACTGTACAGAGGACTATACAGAGGACAGTACAGAAGACTGTACAGAGGACTATACAGAGGAGTGTACAGTGGACTTTACAGAGAACTGTACAGTGGACTATACAGGGGACTGTACAGAGGACAGTACAGAGGACAGTAAAGAAGACTGTACAGAGGACTATACAGGGGACTGCACAGAGGACTATACAGAGGACTGTACAGAGGCCTATACAGAGGACTGTACAGAGGACAGTACAGAGGACTGTACAGAGGCCTATACAGAGAACTGTACAGAGGACTGTACAGAGGCCTATACAGAGGACTGTACAGAGGACTGTACAGAGGACTATAAAGGGGACTGTACAGAGGACTATACAGAGGACTATACAGAGGACTGTACAGAGGACAGTACAGAGGACTGTACAGAGGACTGTACAGTGGACTATACAGAGGACTGTACAGTGGACTATACAGAGGACTGTACAGAGGACTGTACAGAGAACTATACAGAGGCCTATACAGAGGACTATACAGAGGAGTGTACAGTGGACTATACAGAGAACTGTACAGTGGCCTATACAGAGGACTGTACAGAGGACTATACAGAGAACTGTACAGAGGACTATACAGAGGACAGTACAGAGGACTGTACAGTGGACTATACAGAGGACTGTACAGATGCCTATACAGAGGACTGTAAAGAGGCCTATACAGAGGACTGTCCAGAGGAGTGTACAGTGGACTATACAGAGAACTGTACAGTGGACTATACAGAGGACTGTACAGAGGACTATACAGAGAACCGTACAGTGGACTATACAGAGAACTGTACAGGGGCCTATACAGAGGACGTTACAGAGGACTATACAGAGAACTGTACAGTGGACTATACAGAGAACTGTACAGTGGACAATACAGTAGACTATACAGAGGACAGTACAGAGGACTGTACAGAGGACTGTACAGAGAACTGTACAGTGGACTATACAGAGGACTGTACAGTAGACTGTACAGTAGACTATACAGAGGACAGTACAGAGGACTGTACAGAGGCCTATACAGAGAACTGTACAGTGGACTGTACAGAGGACTGTACAGTAGACTATACAGAGGACTGTACAGAGGACTATACAGAGAACTGTACAGTGGACTATACAGAGAACTGTACAGAGGCCTATACAGAGGACTGTACAGCGGACTGTACAGAGGACTACAGAGAACTGTACAGTTGACTATACAGAGAACTGTACAGTGGACAATACAGTAGACTATACAGAGGACAGTACAGAGAACTGTACAGTAGACTGTACAGGAGACTATACAGAGGACAGTACAGAGGACTGTACAGAGGCCTATACAGAGGACTGTACAGAGGACTGTACAGAGGACTATACAGAACCGTACAGTGGACTATACAGAGAACTGTACAGAGGCCTATACAGAGGACGTTACAGAGGACTATACAGAGAACTGTACAGTTGACTATACAGAGAACTGTACAGTGGACAATACAGTAGACTATACAGAGGACAGTACAGAGGACTGTACAGAGAACTGTACAGTGGACTATACAGAGGACTGTACAGTAGACTACAGTAGACTGTACAGTAGACTATACAGAGGACTGTACAGAGGACAGTACAGAGGACTGTACAGAGGCCTATACAGAGGATGGTACAGTGGACTATACAGAGAACTGTACAAAGGACTGTACAGAGGACTGTACAGAGGCCTATACAGAGGACTGTACAGAGGCCTATACAAGGGACTGTACAGAGGAGTGTACAGTGGACTATACAGAGAACTGTACAGTGGCCTATACAGAGGACTGTACAGAGGACTATACAGAGAACTGTACAGAGGACTATACAGAGGACAGTACAGAGGACTGTACAGTGGACTATACAGAGGCCTATACAGAGGACTGTCCAGAGGAGTGTACAGTGGACTATACAGAGAACTGTACAGTGGACTATACAGAGGACTGTACAGAGGACTGTACAGAGGACTATACAGAGAACTGTACAGTGGACTATACAGAGAACTGTACAGAGGCCTATACAGAGGATTATACAGAGAACTGTACAGTGGACTATACAGAGAACTGTACAGAGGACTATACAGAGGACTGTACAGAGAACTGTACAGTGGACATTTATGTACTGCCAAACACAATCATCCTGGTTAGACATTGTAACCAGCTGGTGATAGTCTCATTGATGATATGTGGTTGTTTTTGTTGCACAGTCAGCAAGTTTCCAGCTTCATCACGGAGGCATGAGACTAACTGTTTTTTGTTTGTTTGTTGTTTCATCCTCACTCAGCAATATTCCACCTATATTACAGCGGTCTGTAAATAATCAAATCTGGAACAGACAATCCAGGGATTGATAACATGAGCATTGATCAATGGAATTGGGACACGATGCAATGCATCAACCAAGTCAGTGAGCCTGACCACCCAATCCCGGTAGTCACCTCTTACGGCTAGCATGGGAAGCTGAAGACCTATTCTACCCCTTATTGTCACGGGTGGAGACTGAGTCTGGACCAGACAAACCACTGAGTAGGGTCATGGGGGCGTAGTGACACAGTCAGCCTGGCCTGACAAACCACTGACTAGGGTCATGGGGGCGTAGTCACACAGTCAGTCTGGACCAGACAAACCACTGACTAGGGTCATGGGGGCGTAGTGACACAGTCAGCCTGGCCTGACAAACCACTGACTAGGGTCATGGGGGCGTAGTCACACAGTCAGTCTGGACCAGACAAACCACTGACTAGGGTCATGGGGGCGTAGTGACACAGTCAGCCTGGCCTGACAAACCAATCCAATGCCTCTTAGAACAAGCATAGGTTACTGGGGACCTTATCCAACTCAGAATTCAACAGGGAAATAACATGTACCTCTGCACGAACAAACTACACGCTGGCAACTGTACATCACTGACCTGCACGAACAAACTACACGCTGGCAACTGTACATCACTGACCTTGCACGAACAAACTACATGCTGGCAACTGTACATCACTGACCTGCACGAACAAACTACATGCTGGCAACTGTACATCACTGACCTTGCACGAACAAACTACACACTGGCAACTGTACATCACTGACCTGCACGAACAAACTACACACTGGCAACTGTACATCACTGACCTGCACGAACAAACTACACACTGGCAACTGTACATCACTGACCTGCACGAACAAACTACGCACTGGCAACTGTACATCACTGACCTGCACGAACAAACTACACGCTGGCAACTGTACATCACTGACCTGCACGAACAAACTACACGCTGGCAACTGTACATCACTGACCTGCACAAACAAACTACACGCTGGCAACTGTACATCACTGACCTGCACGAACAAACTACATGATGGCAACTGTACATCACTGACCTGCACGAACAAACTACATGCTGGCAACTGTACATCACTGACCTGCACAAACAAACTACACACTGGCAACTGTACATCACTGACCTGCACGAACAAACTACATGCTGGCAACTGTACATCACTGACCTGCACGAACAAACTACACGCTGGCAACTGTACATCACTGACCTGCACAAACAAACTACATGCTGGCAACTGTACATCACTGACCTTGCACGAACAAACTACACACTGGCAACTGTACATCAATGACCTGCACAAACAAACTACACACTGGCAACTGTACATCACTGACCTGCACGAACAAACTACACGCTGGCAACTGTACATCACTGACCTGCACGAACAAACTACACACTGGCAACTGTACATCACTGACGTGCACGAACAAACTACACACTGGCAACTGTACATCACTGACCTGCACGAACAAACTACACACTGGCAACTGTACATCACTGACCTGCACGAACAAACTACACGCTGGCAACTGTACATCACTGACCTGCACGAACAAACTACACACTGGCAACTGTACATCACTGACGTGCACGAACAAACTACACACTGGCAACTGTACATCACTGACCTGCACGAACAAACTACACACTGGCAACTGTACATCACTGACCTGCACGAACAAACTACACACTGGCAACTGTACATCACTGACCTGCACGAACAAACTACACGCTGGCAACTGTACATCACTGACCTGCACGAACAAACTACACGCTGGCAACTGTACATCACTGACCTGCACGAACAAACTACACACTGGCAACTGTACATCACTGACCTGCACGAACAAACTACACACTGGCAACTGTACATCACTGACCTGCACAAACAAACTACACGCTGGCAACTGTACATCACTGACCTGCACGAACAAACTACACGCTGGCAACTGTACATCACTGACCTGCACGAACAAACTACACGCTGGCAACTGTACATCACTGACCTGCACGAACAAACTACATGATGGCAACTGTACATCACTGACCTGCACGAACAAACTACACGCTGGCAACTGTACATCACTGACCTGCACAAACAAACTACACGCTGGCAACTGTACATCACTGACCTGCACGAACAAACTACATGATGGCAACTGTACATCACTGACCTGCACGAACAAACTACACGCTGGCAACTGTACATCACTGACGTGCACGAACAAACTACACACTGGCAACTGTACATCACTGACGTGCACGAACAAACTACACACTGGCAACTGTACATCACTGACCTGCACGAACAAACTACACACTGGCAACTGTACATCACTGACCTGCACGAACAAACTACACGCTGGCAACTGTACATCACTGACCTGCACGAACAAACTACACGCTGGCAACTGTACATCACTGACCTGCACGAACAAACTACACACTGGCAACTGTACATCACTGACCTGCACGAACAAACTACACACTGGCAACTGTACATCACTGACCTGCACGAACAAACTACACACTGGCAACTGTACATCACTGACCTGCACGAACAAACTACATGCTGGCAACTGTACATCACTGACCTGCACGAACAAACTACAAGCTGGCAACTGTACATATCTGACCTGCACGAACAAACTACACTCTGGCAACTGTACATCACTGACCTGCACAAACAAACTACACGCTGGCAACTGTACATCACTGACCTGCACGAACAAACTACACACTGGCAACTGTACATCACTGACCTGCACGAACAAACTACACACTGGCAACTGTACATCACTGACCTGCACGAACAAACTACACGCTGGCAACTGTACATCACTGACCTGCACGAACAAACTACACGCTGGCAACTGTACATCACTGACCTGCACGAACAAACTACACACTGGCAACTGTACATCACTGACCTGCACGAACAAACTACACACTGGCAACTGTACATCACTGACCTGCACGAACAAACTACACACTGGCAACTGTACATCACTGACCTGCACAAACAAACTACACGCTGGCAACTGTACATCACTGACCTGCACGAACAAACTACACGCTGGCAACTGTACATCACTGACCTGCACAAACAAACTACACGCTGGCAACTGTACATCACTGACCTGCACGAACAAACTACATGATGGCAACTGTACATCACTGACCTGCACGAACAAACTACACGCTGGCAACTGTACATCACTGACCTGCACAAACAAACTACATGCTGGCAACTGTACATCACTGACCTTGCACGAACAAACTACACACTGGCAACTGTACATCACTGACCTGCACGAACAAACTACATGCTGGCAACTGTACATCACTGACCTGCACGAACAAACTACACGCTGGCAACTGTACATCACTGACCTGCACAAACAAACTACATGCTGGCAACTGTACATCACTGACCTTGCACGAACAAACTACACACTGGCAACTGTACATCACTGACCTGCACAAACAAACTACACGCTGGCAACTGTATATCACTGACCTGCACAAACAAACTACACGCTGGCAACTGTACATCACTGACCTGCACAAACAAACTACACGCTGGCAACTGTACATCACTGACCTGCACGAACAAACTACATGATGGCAACTGTACATCACTGACCTGCACGAACAAACTACACGCTGGCAACTGTACATCACTGACCTGCACGAACAAACTACACACTGGCAACTGTACATCACTGACCTGCACGAACAAACTACACACTGGCAACTGTACATCACTGACCTGCACAAACAAACTACACGCTGGCAACTGTATATCACTGACCTGCACAAACAAACTACACGCTGGCAACTGTACATCACTGACCTGCACAAACAAACTACACGCTGGCAACTGTACATCACTGACCTGCACGAACAAACTACATGATGGCAACTGTACATCACTGACCTGCACGAACAAACTACACGCTGGCAACTGTACATCACTGACCTGCACAAACAAACTACACGCTGGCAACTGTACATCACTGACCTGCACGAACAAACTACACACTGGCAACTGTACATCACTGACCTGCACGAACAAACTACACACTGGCAACTGTACATCACTGACCTGCACGAACAAACTACATGCTGGCAACTGTACATCACTGACCTGCACGAACAAACTACACGCTGGCAACTGTACATCACTGACCTGCACGAACAAACTACACACTGGCAACTGTACATCACTGACCTGCACGAACAAACTACACGCTGGCAACTGTACATCACTGACCTGCACGAACAAACTACACACTGGCAACTGTACATCACTGACCTGCACGAACAAACTACATGCTGGCAACTGTACATATCTGACCTGCACGAACAAACTACACACTGGCAACTGTACATCACTGACCTGCACGAACAAACTACACGCTGGCAACTGTACATCACTGACCTGCACGAACAAACTACACACTGGCAACTGTACATCACTGACGTGCACGAACAAACTACACACTGGCAACTGTACATCACTGACCTGCACGAACAAACTACACACTGGCAACTGTACATCACTGACCTGCACGAACAAACTACACGCTGGCAACTGTACATCACTGACCTGCACGAACAAACTACACGCTGGCAACTGTACATCACTGACCTGCACGAACAAACTACACACTGGCAACTGTACATCACTGACCTGCACGAACAAACTACACACTGGCAACTGTACATCACTGACCTGCACGAACAAACTACAAGCTGGCAACTGTACATATCTGACCTGCACGAACAAACTACACACTGGCAACTGTACATCACTGACCTGCACAAACAAACTACATGCTGGCAACTGTATATCACTGACCTGCACGAACAAACTACACACTGGCAACTGTACATCACTGACCTGCACGAACAAACTACACACTGGCAACTGTACATCACTGACCTGCACGAACAAACTACACACTGGCAACTGTACATCACTGACCTGCACGAACAAACTACACACTGGCAACTGTACATCACTGACCTGCACGAACAAACTACACACTGGCAACTGTACATCACTGACCTGCACGAACAAACTACATGATGGCAACTGTACATCACTGACCTGCACAAACAAACTACACACTGGCAACTGTACATCACTGACCTGCACGAACAAACTACATGCTGGCAACTGTACATCACTGACCTGCACGAACAAACTACACACTGGCAACTGTACATCACTGACCTGCACGAACAAACTACACACTGGCAACTGTACATCACTGACCTGCACGAACAAACTACACGCTGGCAACTGTACATCACTGACCTGCACGAACAAACTACAAGCTGGCAACTGTACATATCTGACCTGCACGAACAAACTACACACTGGCAACTGTACATCACTGACCTGCACGAACAAACTACACACTGGCAACTGTACATCACTGACCTGCACGAACAAACTACACGCTGGCAACTGTACATCACTGACCTGCACGAACAAACTACACGCTGGCAACTGTACATCACTGACCTGCACAAACAAACTACATGCTGGCAACTGTACATCACTGACCTGCACAAACAAACTACACGCTGGCAACTGTACATCACTGACCTGCACAAACAAACTACATGCTGGCAACTGTACATCACTGACCTGCACGAACAAACTACACACTGGCAACTGTACATCACTGACCTGCACGAACAAACTACACGCTGGCAACTGTACATCACTGACCTGCACAAACAAACTACATGATGGCAACTGTACATCACTGACCTGCACGAACAAACTACATGATGGCAACTGTACATCACTGACCTGCACAAACAAACTACACACTGGCAACTGTACATCACTGACCTTGCACGAACAAACTACACGCTGGCAACTGTACATCACTGACCTGCACGAACAAACTACATGATGGCAACTGTACATCACTGACCTGCACGAACAAACTACATGCTGGCAACTGTACATCACTGACCTGCACAAACAAACTACACACTGGCAACTGTACATCACTGACCTGCACGAACAAACTACATGATGGCAACTGTACATCACTGACCTGCACAAACAAACTACACGCTGGCAACTGTACATCACTGACCTGCACGAACAAACTACATGCTGGCAACTGTATATCACTGACCTGCACGAACAAACTACACGCTGGCAACTGTATATCACTGACCTGCACGAACAAACTACATGCTGGCAACTGTATATCACTGACCTGCACTCTCTCTATTTTGCCCTCGATGACGGATCGCTCGCCAAACGTGTCTGAGCATGTGGCCAGCTTCTCAATGGCGGTGCGGAGCCAGGACACAAAGTTGCTGCATGCGTCAATGTAGTCCTGGTGGTTGGCCACGTACTGCTCGTTCCGGGCCAGCAGGTCCTGGGCCTGTTCCTTCACAGTGGTGTAGCGCGATGCAATCTGCGAAGTGTCGGTAGATGCCTGACTAGCTGAACTCTTCTCAGCCAAACCATGGGCCTTGCTGGTCACAGATTCCACCATCTGCTCATAGGAGACTATGTCCTGGTACAGCACCTGCAACAACACAGAGTGAGTGAGTGAGTGAGTGAGTGAGTGAGTTAGACTGAGTGAGTGAGTGAGTGAGTGAGTGTGACTGAGTGAGTGAGTGAGTGAATGAGTGTGACTGAGTGAGTGAGTGAGTGACTGAGTGAGTGAGTGAGTGAGTGAGTGAGTTAGACTGAGTGAGTGAGTGAGTGAGTGTGACTGAGTGAGTGAGTGAGTGAGTGAGTGTGACTGAGTGAGTGAGTTTGACTGAGTGAGTGAGTGAGTGTGACTGAGTGAGTGAGTGAGTGAGTTTGACTGAGTGAGTGAGTGAGTGTGACTGAGTGAGTGAGTGAGTTTGACTGAGTGAGTGAGTGAGTGAGTTTGACTGAGTGAGTGAGTGAGTGAGTGAGTGAGTGAGTGAGTGAGTTTGACTGAGTGAGTTTGACTGAATGAGTGAGTGAGTGTGACTGAGTGAGTGAGTGAGTTTGACTGAGTGAGTGAGTGAGTGAGTTTGAGTGAGTGAGTGAGTGAGTGAGTTTGACTGAGTGAGTGAGTGAGTGAGTGAGTGTGACTGAGTGAGTGACAGGCCAATGTCTTAACATCTAGGCTACCTCACCGCATCTTAGAGTGAGTAGACAGACATTATCATCAAAATGAGGAGATCTTGGAACACTCCAACATCTGACAATTCCTAGTCCATTTCTGATATCCATAAAAAGACACATACTGACCTGTACCCATAACAAAGTCTCCCCGAAGGGTAATCAACGTCACTGTCCATGAGGACTTTCTGATGAATCAAACTGATGGTAAAGTTGTCGCACAAGGAGATGTGTGTGCTTTCTCCACAAACACTCACTCGATGGACACTCTTTGGTCTCACCTTGACTCTCTGAAGCTCGGCCCGCTTCTCTCCAATGTCGGCCTTAGGCTGTGCCTCCCTCAGTTTCTTCTCCATGTCCTTCAGCCAGCGGAGGACCTGGTCGTTGCTGTCACTGAACTCTGTCCAGCGCAGCAGACAGGCCTCCAGCAGCACCTTCGTGTCGGACACCTCGCTCAGCAGGACGGCCCAGTCAGTCTGCAGTTGACTAAGGTCTTGCCGGATCATCTCCCGTCCGGTCACCGATGTGTTGGTCATGGTCTTCTCACCCCAGGTGTGTGCCGTGTGCAGCAGGGCCTGCCCCTCCTCCTTCAGCACCGTGAACTCCTACAACATCCGCACATTGTCAGACTATCCTCCGGAGCTAGCCCAAGGCTTATCTACAACATCTGCACATTGTCAGACTATCCTTTCGGAGCTAGCTCAAAGCTTATCTACAACATCCACACATTGTCAGACTATCCTCCGGAGCTAGCCCAAGGCTTATCTACAACATCCACACATTGTCAGACTATCCTCCGGAGCTAGCCCAAGGCTTATCTACAACATCTGCACATTGTCAGACTATCCTCCGGAGATAGCCCAAGGCTTATCTACAACATCCACACATTGTCAGACTATCATCTGGAACTAGCTCAAAGCTTATCTACAACATCCACACATTGTCAGACTATCTTCCGGAACTAGCTCAAAGCTTATCTGCAACATCCACACATTGTCAGACTATCCTCCGGAGCTAGCCCAAGGCTTATCTACAACATCCACACATTGTCAGACTATCCTTCGGAGCTAGCCCAAGGCTTATCTACAACATCCACACATCATCAACTATCCTCCGGAACTAGCTCAAAGCTTATCTACAACATCCACACATTGTCAGACTATCCTCCAGAGCTAGCCCAAGGCTTATCTACAACATCCACACATCATCAACTATCCTCCGGAGCTAGCCCAAGGCTTATCTACAACATCTGCACATTGTCAGACTATCCTTTCGGAGCTAGCTCAAAGCTTATCTACAACATCTGCACATTGTCAGACTATCCTCCGGAGCTGGCTCAAGGCTTATCTACAACATCCACACATTGTCAGACTATCATCTGGAACTAGCTCAAAGCTTATCTACAACATCCACACATTGTCAGACTATCTTCCGGAACTAGCTCAAAGCTTATCTGCAACATCCACACATTGTCAGACTATCCTCCGGAGCTAGCCCAAGGCTTATCTACAACATCCACACATTGTCAGACTATCCTTCGGAGCTAGCCCAAGGCTTATCTACAACATCCACACATCATCAACTATCCTCCGGAACTAGCTCAAAGCTTATCTACAACATCCACACATTGTCAGACTATCTTCCGGAACTAGCTCAAAGCTTATCTACAACATCCACACATTGTCAGACTATCCTCCAGAGCTAGCCCAAGGCTTATCTACAACATCCACACATCATCAACTATCCTCCGGAACTAGCTCAAAGCTTATCTACAACATCCACAACATCGTCAAACTATCCTCCTGAACTAGCCAGCAGCCGATATATTTTACTAGACAGCCTTCAGCAGCCATTGATGGACATCACGTGGGAAGACTGAACAAACGAATTGCGAAAGCCTGTTTATCTGGACCGTCCATACTGAAGCTGTCCAGATAACCAAGTCTCTTGACCGAGTACCCTTTGAAAACATGTTATCCTCCCGAGTTGATGTTCTTGACTAATGAGGGTTCACTCAGTGTCCTAGGCCCACTTGCACAAAGTGATCTTAGCACTAAGACTATCATAAGCTTACGTTAAAGAATGGGATTTATGATCATCTTAGCACTAAGATCCTCTCACCTGCAGTTTCTCCAGCTGTGCCTGTATGGTGTATCTGTCCCCAGATGTGTCCGCGCACACCGACAGTCTGTCCCGCGTGGACTGGAGCCATGACGTGGCGTCATTGTAAACATCTGCGTACTGCTCATGGTCCTGAACGTGCTGCTCATAGCGCTTCATCAGGTCCTTGGAGAGGGTGATGAGTGCGGTGTACCTGGAGCTCATCTGGGTCAGCTGGGTGGACACACGGCTGTCTTTGGACGACTGCATCAGGATCTGGGCCTGCTCCGCCAGACCGTCGAACGCTGTCTGATGGCGGAGAATCTCCTCATGCACTGCCTGCATCAAGCAACACATCCGTGTGATATAACAGGTCAGTCTGAACAAACTATCTCCGAGAAAGACACCATTAGTTAAAACCCAAACAGATTTTCGCTACAAGACTGACAGCCTTATGTATTGAATCAGCAGTTAACTCCATCTGAGCTGCATGAATATTCCCTGCCCTCTATCCCATTGAAGGTCATAAATGCTGCATGTGTACCTTCTGTTTGTCCATCTGGATGCCCTTGTCCTCCAGCGTGGCCTTCTGTTCTGAGTCGGCCTTCATGTCCGCCTCTGTGTCTTTGATCCAGTGACTTAAGTCATCGTAGTATTCCTCATAGCGGTGCCATTGGTCTCGCAGGTTCTCTGTGGAAAACAAGGGCAATGATAAAAGAAATACTTTAATACATTTGGGGCAATAACCTGTATTAATGTAATCAGTTTCTCAAAGCAATCTCTTATAGTGTTATTCTTGTGAAACATGGCCTAAAACACCATGTACACGGCAGTCCAGGTATCAGTCAATTCCAAGACTCACCAAGGAGGTTGAGGAGATCCTGTAGATCCGTGTCCAGCACCTTGAACTCCCCAGACAGCATGTCCAGCTCCTGCTTGACCAGCTCCTGACCCTGAGTGGACGTTTCCGGCAGCACCTTGTTCCCCTTCTCCAGCACGGCACTCAGCTTCTTGTGTCCCGCCTCCACCGTGTTCCAGATCTCCTGAACCTTGTGGAGCTGGGCCTCAATGGCATGGCGGTCTCCACGCACGTCACTGCACAGGTTCAGGCGGTCCTTGGTGGCACTCAGCCAATCAGTGCCCTCCATGTAGGAGTCTCGGTACAGCTGGTGGTCGCGCAGGTTGGTCTCGCAAGTCTGGAGGAGGTTCTGTTGGATGAGACAGTAATGTCAGTTCCTTCACACAAATTGTGTCTGTGTGAGTAAATATTCAAATGAGCACATATACTCACCACCAAAAGTAACACGAAACACAGAAACATATAGAGAAGTATGTACATTAAGAAGAGATGTTTCCAATGTGTACCAATTAAATGACAAAACTAACAATCAGTCAAGTGTTACCACAGAGTGTCTTTATTCTTATCACGATATCCTGCATGTGATTTCCAAACTTTACATGCTAATCCTACACGAGACAAATGGTGCATCCCACGGATCTCATGGATCTCATGGATCCACAACGTCACTTGTGATGCGGTCGTGAGCGTCGGTTCAAGAAACATAATAGTATGTTCGTTTGTGCATCGAACCAATTGTAATATCTCTTGACTGTGAGTAATTCGTCATAGATTAACCAACATGTATGGTATTCGTGTTTCTGTTTTTGCAGTACTATTACAGTAAATTACCTTGGCTTTGGTCTTCAGTGTCTCGTAACGAGCAACAATGTGGTGGATCTGGTCGCTGAGATTGACATCCTGACTGGTCTGCCTCAGTGTGTTGGCCTTATCGTTCATGCTGTCAATAGTGCTCTGCTGGGAGCTGATGTTCAGCTGCAACACCTGCACACAACGTAACAGTAAACTCAGTACAGTGTAGGGCAGGCTAACAAGATTGATGATTGGATTATAGTTGATGGGAACAAAGCATTAATGATTATCAATATGAAAATTGTGTTATTGATAATATCTTACATGAACAATTGTGATGAAAAAGTTTATTGATAATTGATAGATATTAAGTAAATGATTATCGATCTCTAAGATCTATATCGATAGCCAGCCCTAGTACAGCGCTTCACACACTGAAACAGCTAAATCTCTGCTCACAATAAATCCGACAACGTTGGTGAAACAAAGGGACTGACCTTGACCCTGTCCAGCTGTAGTTTCTTCTCCTGTAGCGTGTTCTGCAGCTGGGAGTCTGCCTCCACCTGGTTCTCAAGGTCGCACAGCCACCTTTGCAGTTGGTCAACACTGTCGTCGTACACGGTCCATTGAGCTAGACATCCCTCTAAGTTGGTCCTTGTCTCATTCAGGTCGCCGGCGAGGGAGTCGAACTCCTGCTGCAGGGACTGCATGTCCCTCCGCATGTTGTCCCGGCCCGTGACGGACGTGTTGGGCAGCACAATCTGCAGGTTGTCCAGAGCTATCTGCAGCATGTGCAGACCTTCCTCCTTCTCGGACATCAGATTCTGGAGGACATAATGCACTCATGACAACATAGCTCTCCAAGTGAAGATCAGTGTCTTAAGTAAACCATGCTTGTTGTAAGAGGCGACCAACTGGATCGGCTTCATTGATTTTGTTGATGCATGTCATCGCATGCAAATTTTAAAAAATGATGCTCATGACGCCAATCACTGGATTGCTAGGTCCAGGCTCAATTAACTACAGACTGCTGTCATAGGACGGGAATATTGCTGAGTGTGGCATTACACAACAAACAAACTTAGCTCACAACGTACTGCCACAAATACCTGGAGGACAACATAGTCAATATTTTTCAATTCTTTCTAGTATATCATTTTACGTGCCTGACCCTCCAAGATACTGACTTGTACCCCATGCGTGTTATCAAAACCTCCATATTGACCAGAATCCCATGTGTGTTATCAATACCTCCATATTGACCAGAATCCCATGTGTGTTATCAATACCTCCATATTGACCAGAATCCCATGTGTGTTATCAATACCTCCATATTGACCAAAATCCCATGTGTGTTATCAATACCTCCATATTGACCAAAATCCCATGTCTGTTATAAATACCTCAATATTGACCAGAATCCCATGTGTGTTATCAATACCTCCATATTGACCAGAATCCCATGTCTGTTATCAATACCTCCATATTGACCAGAATCCCATGTCTGTTATCAATACCTCCATATTGACCAGAATCCCATGTGTGTTATCAATACGTCCATATTAACCAGAATCCCATGTGTGTTATCAATACGTCCATATTGACCAGAATCCCATGTGTGTTATCAATACCTCCATATTGACCAGAATCCCATGTGTGTTATCAATACGTCCATATTGACCAGAATCCCATGGTTGTTATCAATACCTCCATATTGACCAGAATCCCATGTGTGTTATCAATACCTCCATATTGACCAGAATCCCATGTGTGTAGTGACCAGAAACTGCCAGAGTGTCCCTACCTGGATGTCCTTGATCTTGTCCTGCACGGTCACCTTGTCACCTGTCACGTCGCCAGCGCCGGCAACCTTCACCTTCATCTGACCGATCCAGTTCTTGCACTGCTGGAAGGACTGGGTGTAAGCCTGGTGGTCCAGGACATACTGCTCCCAGCGCCGGCACAGTTCCTGCAACAACAGGCCAACCTTATGCTTATGTGTTGATTCAGATACAAACAAGTCAGCTACACTTGTAACAGTCTTACTGACCTCCACACCTTTCCTATCATTGTTAAGGTGAAATGGTCAACATTAAATGTGTTCTCATGGCATCTTCATCAAAGGTATCTCGCTGATTTAATTATTGATTCATGACTATCCTGGAGGTTGTCGTGTACCCTGATCTGTTCTCACCTTGACGTTGACCGAGAGCGAGTGGTACTTGGTGGCAAGCTGGGAGGCCTGGGACACAACTCTAGAGTCCGTGCTCAGCCTCACCAGGTCCTGGGCGGAGTCACTGAGAGAGTCCAGATCTGATTGGTGCTCAGCAACATCTGCCTGTAGAGCCTGTAGGAGAAGTAAGAGATCAGTTTCCTCCATCGGCAAACAAGCCGTATGAGATGCCATGTACTGGACAAAATGAGTAAGTTTGATCACCCCGGGGCAACATGAGGCACACGTCCTGAAGAGTGAAGTCTGATACTGACCTTGAGTTTCTCCAGCTGCGTCTGTTTGTCCTGGAGCGTGGCCTTGAGGTCAGCATCCCGCAGGCGGCTCTCCGAGTCCTTGATCCAGGCAGCACAGCGATCATGCCACGACTCAAACTCTTTCCACTGGTCCATGCAAGTCTCCAGGTCAGTCTTGGTCTGTGTGTATAAAGTGATTTCATCATGGGCTGTGTTGTAGGAAACGTGCCACTGTTAAGTGTACAAAAGCGATGTGATCAAAAGGTTGGATCTGGATGATTCCACCATAAGCGGGTGAAGTCCTACCAGTTGGTCTGCTTAACACAAGAACCCTTGGAACTCTAACCTGTTTACTCAGTTCTCTCTCACAACAATACAGACTGTCTTATGGTGTTCCACTATGTCTGTACAGTGAACTCTGTGGATGTCTAACTGGCCTACCTTGGCGAGGGCGGTGATGAATGCCTCCCAGTCGTCCTTCAAGGCTTCTGTCTCCCTGCGGATGATGTCCTTTCCCTGCGGGGCTGTGTTTGGCAGCACTTTCTCCGCGAGCTGAGCCACGTTCTTCACACGCGGCTCTCCCTCCATCTTGGTTGCCAGAATGTCCTATCAGACAAGGAGACTAGTTGAAGCCCGCCACAGTAAAACCAAACATTCAATGTTACAGAGCAGTAGGGACTTCCACTTACAGCAACTCAAACTCATGCACTTTAACCACTTTACAAGCTTGTCGATACATCCATTAGTGAAGCTACAAATGCATTTAATAGTTGATATTGTTCACATGCAGTTTGATATGGCAATCCCTCCAACACACACTCTGCAGTACTCTCTAGACAGATCTACTCAAGTCAAACAAGCACGGGGCACCCAAGAGAAGTAGGCCAAAGCAACCACACACACAAAGCAAACATGACTAGCAGTTAAATCATGGCGACATCAGCCAGTCTCTACTTGTTTGTTACTTCTACCAAGGGACACCTTGTCCAGGACTGCATCAAGCATGGTTAGATTGATCGCTGAGACAGAGGTGCAGCCATATAATGTTGAAACTGACCACGAGGGTGGCGTCTCACCCCTGCTGGACGTAGCTCATAATATAAACCATGCAGTTACAATTAGTATCTGATGAACTTGTCATGCATATAATATTAATAGTATTTATAGATAGCATGCAACAGACAGATTCTACATGACCGTGGAAATGTTTCAAGGGCACACTGTTAGTGCTGTCCTGGCAGCCTTCAGTGAGGTGAGGTACGCAGGGGGGTTGGGCAGTGTATGATGAGACATACTTTACTGTACCCACCCTAGACACTCCACACCACCACCACCATCAGCAGCAGAACAAGCAGTTGATACCAGATGTGGGGTGAGGAGAAATGGGGTTAAATGTCGCGCACAAGACTATTACACCTATAGCGATGTGCATGCACATTTTCTGAGTGCCTGCTAGTACTAGTCTGGACTAATGGCGGTTTTATAGTGCCAGCTTTGTTTTGTTTGTTTTGCACTAAGCAATATTCCAGTTATATCACGGCGGTCTGTAAATAATTGTATCTGGACCAGACAATCCAGTGATTGACATCATGAGCATCGATCTCAGCAATTGGGAAATGATGACATGCGTCAACCAAGTCAGCTAGTCTCACCACCCGATCCCGTTAGTCGCCTCTTAGGACAAGCATAGTCGCCTTTTACAGCAAGGATGGGTTGCTGAAGACCTACTCTACCCAAGATCTTCATGGGTGTATTGCCCTCCTTGCCCTCTGAGATACCCTGTCACAGTTATAACATGAATACCCCACACGGACACAAAATACTGAAAACGAGCCAACCAGTGCTTGTATTATCTCATTAATGACGAGCACTAGGCAGGGTAAGAACATGTACCATCTTTTAACGTGTTTTGGTATGAAGCCACCGGGGATCGAACCACCAAACACCAGAGAGTCTGCTACCCTACAGGGAACAAACCAGGGGAACAGGAGACGCCCACCATCCCTCCCTGTCACTACCCAGGATCTTCAATTTCCTATTGCACAAATGCAGTCAGTGTTCCCTAGTTTGTTAAAATCCTAATCAATCCATGTATAGGATTGTATCTTGTTAGTCTCTGACATCTAGAACTAAGACTACCAGGTGCAGTAGCTCACCAAGGGAGGTAACTGTTCTACACACTCTGTCTAGAGACATTAAGGTCCAATAACTACATCATGTGTCTGAGCCAGAGAATGAATCAGATTTAATGGCAGCAAATGTGAAGATGTGTCGCAGCTTTACATCTGAATGTCAGGATCATTACATCTAGAGAGATAAGTATATTCATATTCATATGGAACATGGCAGTTACTCACAAGTAAAGAAATAGACTGCATGTGATTCTGAGGCATTTGATTGGCATTATATTTCCATAACTAAAAACGATTTAGGCCACGCCCACGTAAGTAAGCTGTCTTTGAAGTTATTATGGCTGATGTATGTATTTAAAAGAACTGACTTCAATATGTGTTTGCATTTATGAGTTATACCAGTGAGCACTTGTGTTAATCCATAAACACAAAACATATTGAAATCAATGTTGAATGGTGTGTGACCAGTGTGAGTTAGTTATTCTGCATGGTCTCACAGCACGTCCAGCAATACGCCAGGCACCAGTGGCAACACCAAGACTTGGCCTTGTACCCACAGATCAACGGCCCCTAAGGTCATCTGAACAATGTTTTGTATGATTTTCAGTCTATAACAGAGATGTAGAGTGCCAGTTTCTCCGTCTAGGTTAGGAGGACTAAGTCCTCAGTTAGCAGAAACAATCAAACGAATCTCATCTAAGTTGTAATTCCTGGATGTCATTAGATGAGGGGCATGATGACATTAGTGATGGGACACAATGAGATGACGGGTCGCGATGAGATGTTGCCTAGCAACTAGATAGAAAACCACTCAGTAAATCACTTACACATCGTCTCTGTTAGGAGAGAGAGGATCATGGGATAGATTAGTCAACTGCCAAAAGTCACACACAAACATTAACACCCAGTACAAGATTAACACCAGATTGAAGCCATTGGTCAGCACCAGTTATTGTCAAATTCAGCAGATCAAAGTAATAATGGGGACAGGTGTTCTGAGGCAACAAGCAGTCTTACAGGCATCTCCCAGTATAGACCTAAGTGTCCCGATGACGGCTACCAACAAAATAAACATACACAGCTTTCATCTCCGTCAGTAGCATAAGAAACAAAACTTTTCTTTGATAAATTACAAATATTGAAGGACTTTATGTTGACAATAATTCCTTTCTTCAAACAGGAATTAATATTTTGTGTTTATGAATCACATCTATCCCAACTTTCAATTGTACGTTCATCAATAAGATAAGGACTCAGTAAACCATGGTACGCGTGACACCTACCTGTATCTTGTCCAGCCTGCTCTGGATGGCGTGGCGATCCCCGGACACGTCGGAGCACACAGACAGCTTCTCACGGATACCGTTGAGCCACTCCACACAGGCGTTGTAGGCGTCGTTGTACTGTTGATGGTCTGTGACGAAGGTGTCGTACTGCTGCACACGTTCCTGCAACCATGTGAACAGTCTCATAGCAACTCAGAATACAGAAGGTCTTGGCATGACATCTTATACTGGAATATTTGGCAAGTTAGATCCTTGTGTCTGTAATTACCTTGGCGGCAGTGCAGAGTTTCTTGTAACGAGTGCTGGTCTGCGAGATGAACGCCGCCAGCTGGGGATCACTGCTGCTCTGGGCCAGAGACTGCGCCTTGTCTGTGATACTGTCCATCACACGCTGGTAGGACAGCACATCCTGGTGGAGGGCCTGAAACACAAGGGGAGATAACTATGTAATACGAAAGGAGAAAACTACAAAACACAATCGAAAATAAATCATAACACAAGGGGAGATAAATCTGTAACACAAGGGGAGATAAATCTGTAACAAGAGGAAATTAATCTATTACACAAGGGGAGATAAATCTTTAACACAAGGGAAGATAACTCTTTAACACAAGGAGATAAAGCTGTAACACAAGGGGAGATAAATCTGTAACAAGGGAACATAATTCTGTAACAAGAGGAGATAAATCCGTTACACAAGGGGAGATAAATCTTTAACACAAGGGGAAATAAAGCTGTAACACAAGGGGAGATAATATGTAACATGTGAGAAACTATGTACTAATTAGGAGGTAACTATGTTATACTAATTTCACCATAAGGATATGACAGACACATCTAGATGGGAGAAATATTCCATGAGATGGACAATTTCAAACATGTTGCTCCTTGAAATCAACATAAACCGAGTTTCAGCAAAGCCCTCCACACACCTTGTAGTGGAGCAGCTGGGACTTCTTCTCCTCCAGGGTGGCCCGGAAGACAACCGGCCCCTCCAACTGCATCTCCATCTCCCGCAGCCAGTTGCCCACCTGGCTGTAGCTGTCGTCGAAGGACGTCCACTGCACCAGGGCCACCTCCAGTTTGCGCTGAACGGCAGAGAGGTCATCAAACAGAGACTCCCAGTCCATCTTGAGTCGCCGGAGGTCCTGTCGGATGCTCTCTCTGCCGTCCGGTGCAGTCGTGGGGTAGAGCCGCTCGCCACATTCCATAACAGCACTCAGCTTGCCAAAACCAGCGTCACGTTCTCGTAGCAGGTCCTACAATAAAACAGAACTTTACAACATATTCAGTATTGATCATGTACTCTCAATATTGGCATGTACTGAGACCCTAATTCCTTCCATAAACCCAGTCCTTACATATTCAGATTACCTCACATGCTAAATATTCCAAGACACTTTTCTGGGCTGTACTGCAAAACAGGTTGTAGCACCACAGAACTCTACACCCCTCAGCTATCCTCCCAGCCACCCCTCCCCCCCCTCCAGCTATCCACAAGGCCCCCCACCCCTCCCCAGCTATCCTCCCAGGACCCCCCACCTTACTCCCACAGCTATCTTCCCAGGCCCGCCCCTAACTCCAACAGCCTCACACCCCGTCCCTCCCTGCCCCCTTTAGTTACACCCCCCAACCCCTCAGTTACCTTCCCCACCCCCCATCCCAGTAATCCTGGAGGGAAACGAGGTATGTTCCATTCCTCACCTGAGCTCTCTCCAGCCTCGTCTCCAGCTCGGCTCGGGACCCGCCAGAGTCGGAACACTCGGCAAACTTGGCCTTTGCTTTGGCAAGCCACTGGGCGCAGTCGGAGTACTTGTCCCTGAACTGTTTGTGGTCCTCCACATTCTGGCCCGTCTTCCTGATCAGGTCCTGCAAACAAGGAGGGATACATTAGCATCACACTTCACTTCATCAACCAGAAATCCTTTCAGAATCCTTTCAGTGTGGATATATGTACAAGCAGTTCAAGACTGTGCGGCCTCTGATTAAATAAATACTGCCTGATGTGGTTGGTCATTTGCTGTTTACCTAGGTCTACAAATTGAAATTGCTTTTAGGTGTCACTTAAATCCTGAAACAATGTTGGAACATCATGCATGCATCAGTCGCGATGATGATATATCTGACATGCGCCAGTTGTGACCATGACGATATATCTGACATGCATCAGTCGCGATGATGATATATCTGACATGCGCCAGTTGTGACGATGATGATATATCTGACATGCGCCAGTTGTGACCATGATGATATATCTGACATGCATCAGTCGCGATGATGATATATCTGACATGCGCCAGTTGTGACCATGATGATATATCTGACATGCATCAGTCGCGATGATGATATATCTGACATGCACCAGTTGTGACCATGATGATATATCTGACATGCATCAGTCGCGATGATGATATATCTGACATGTGCCAGTTGTGACCATGATGATATATCTGACATGCATCAGTCGCGATGATGATATATCTGACATGCGCCAGTTGTGACGATGATGATATATCTGACATGCGCCAGTTGTGATCATGATGATATATCTGACATGCGCCAGTTGTGACCATGATGATATATCTGACATGCGCCAGTTGTGACCATGATGATATATCTGACATGCGCCAGTTGTGACCATGATGATATATCTGACATGCGCCAGTTGTGACGATGATGATATATCTGACATGCGCCAGTTGTGACCATGATGATATATCTGACATGCGCCAGTTGTGACGATGATGATATATCTGACATGCGCCAGTTGTGATCATGATGATATATCTGACATGCGCCAGTTGTGACGATGATGATATATCTGACATGTGCCAGTTGTGACCATGATGATATATCTGACATGCGCCAGTTGTGACGATGATGATATATCTGACATGCGCCAGTTGTGACCATGATGATATATCTGACATGCGCCAGTTGTGACGATGATGATATATCTGACATGCGCCAGTTGTGACCATGATGATATATCTGACATGCGCCAGTTGTGACGATGATGATATATCTGACATGCGCCAGTTGTGACCATGATGATATATCTGACATGTGCCAGTTGTGACGATGATGATATATCTGACATGCGCCAGTTGTGACGATGATGATATATCTGACATGCGCCAGTTGTGACGATGATGATATATCTGACATGCGCCAGTTGTGACGATGATGATATATCTGACATGCGCCAGTTGTGACGATGATGATATATCTGACATGCGCCAGTTGTGACCATGATGATATATCTGACATGCGCCAGTTGTGACCATGATGATATATCTGACATGCGCCAGTTGTGACCATGATGATATATCTGACATGCGCCAGTTGTGACCATGATGATATATCTGACATGTGCCAGTTGTGACCATGACGATATATCTGACATGCGCCAGTTGTGACCATGATGATATATCTGACATGCGCCAGTTGTGACCATGATGATATATCTGACATGCACCAGTTGTGACCATGATGATATATCTGACATGCGCCAGTTGTGACGATGATGATATATCTGACATGCGCCAGTTGTGACCATGATGATATATCTGACAGACCTACCTTTGTGTTGGTGAGCAGAGTCTGGTATCGGTTCGACAGCTGTGACACAAAGTTCCCGATGCGAGCCTCTCCGGTCAGCTGCTGAAGAGTCTGGGCATCATCTGAGAACTTGTCGATGTCGCGCTGCTTGCCTCGGATCTCCTGCATCAACTCCTGGTAATGCCATCAAAAATAATAATGTTATAAACTGACAATATCATGCTTATAACATTACAAGTGATACTGGCCCCACTCCTACAGAAATATGTGGGTAGTAATAAAAGTGCTTTCATGATCAACACAACTGAAGGCAGGAAAACTAAGATTACTCAAGAGTTAAACTTTTATCCATTTACAGACGAATGAAACCAAGGTGAGGCTGGCCGGAGCCAGAGCCGGAGCAGGAATACGGGACATGCAGAGTCATGCTGTGACTGCAGTCAGACCAGGAAGTCGGCCACTACCATGTCCTTCACAACAGATGCATGGTGAACTGTGCGATTACTGTATGAGGATGATATGGAACAGTTGTGAGATTAAGAACGGAATAGCTGATGTGAAAGGATGATAAATTGATATGCTCTTTGTCCTCATGGACTGTGAATAGTGAGTGAGTGAGTGAGTGAGTATGGTTTTATGCCGCTGTTAGTAATATTCCAGCAATATCACGGTGGGGTACACCAGAAATGGGCTTCACACATTGTACCCATGTGGGGAATCAAACCCAGGTCTTCGGCGTGACAAGCGAACGCTTTAACCGCTAGGCTACCCCACCGCCCCTGGACTGTGAATAAGCAAGTGTGAGTGACAGTAGGAGTCAGTGACTATGAACCCTATACAAACAAGGCTGTGTTGTCATACATTATACAATGCAATGACAATTAGTTGATGGAGATTAGTAACAGCTCTGATACAGAATCAATATATTACTTGTCATGCCACTGCTTTAAACTATTCTATGGTAACTTGACACATGACTATATCTGTTCTCGCCATTCCTGGTCCCTGTGCAGGCGGACCACCGTTGTCTACACTACCGCTAGATGTGACAGATGCAGATGACGGACAGGGCAACCAAAACAGATGAAGGCACGAGATGCGTGAAGCAGGTCTCTTCCAGTGGACAGGAGGAGGAAGTAAAATTTGTACGACCAAAGTATGAATAATTCAAGCCTTTCCATCCATGTCTTAGAACATGAAGACATCGGCCTCCTACTCATGCACAATGTAGAACTACTTGATGAAGCGTCCAGCAGTCGCCAGTCTCCTACTCATGCACAATGTAGAACTACTTGATGAAGCGTCCAGCAGTCGCCAGTCTGGTGCTGCCAGTCATGCATAACGAAACCTTGGGCTTGACTTCACCAGGGATGGGTGGGTAGGGGGTAGCGGGTAGGGGGTTGAGGGGATGGGGGGATTGTGTGAGGGTAGGGGGATGGGGGGGGAAGGGAAGGGGGTACGGGGTTGTGGAGATAGGTGTCAGGACCAGAGGATGGAACCTAGGATGGGTGTTGGACCAGAGGATGGAACCTAGGATGGGTGTTGGACCAGAGGATGGAACCTAGGATGGGTGTTGGACCAGAGGATGGGACTAAGGATGGGGACTGAAGATGGGTATAGGTACCTGAGGATGGGACCGAAGATGTGTATGTTGATCAGAAGATGGGTATAGGTACCTGAGGATGGGACCGAAGATGTGTATGTTGATCAGAAGATGGGTATGGGTACCTGAGAATGAGTGAGGTGAGGGTGTGAAATGGGGTTTAATGTCGCATTCAAGATATTTACACTTGGTAATAAATACACTGGGACCAGAGGATGGGACCTAGGATGGGTGTTTGACCAGAGGATGGGACTAAGGATGGGTGTTTGACCAGAGGATGGGACTAAGGATGGGTGTTGGACCAGAGGATGGGTATTGATACCAGAGGATGGGACTAAGGATGGGTGTTGGACCAGAGGATGGGACTAAGGATGGGTGTTGGACCAGAGGATGGGACTAAGGATGGGTGTTGGACCAGAGGATGGGTATTGATACCAGAGGATGGGACTAAGGATGGGTGTTGGACCAGAGGATGGGACTAAGGATGGGTGTTGGACCAGAGGATGGGTATTGATACCAGAGGATGGGACTAAGGATGGGTGTTGGACCAGAGGACGGGACCTAGGATGGGTGTTTGACCAGAGGATGGGACCTAGGATTGGTGTTGGACCAGAGGACGGGACCTAGGATTGGTGTTGGAGCAGAGGACGGGACCTAGGATGGGTGTTGCACCAGAGGATGGGACCTAGGATGGGTGTTGGACCAGAGGACGGGACCTAGGATGGGTGTTGCACCAGAGGACGGGACCTAGGATGGGTGTTGGGACTCCAGGATGGGGACCTAGGATGGGTGTTGCACCAGAGGACGGGACCTAGGATGGGTGTTGGGACTCCAGGATGGGGACCTAGGATGGGTGTTGGGACTCCAGGATGAGAACCTATTGTAGGGATGGTACTGAAGAGTAGTGATTGGTGGACTGATGATTGGGAATAGATGAAACGTGAAAACAGTGACAGAGAGTCTAAAGGGACTTGGGGACATGGAAGCAGTTTGGTCAAGTTTGTAACCCCAACTCTATCAAGGGTTATCATTCAAAAGCTGTGCTGATACTCTGCCTGGAAGCATTTGACGAAAGACAATGACTATTTTTTACAAACTCCACTAAGAATTTTACTTTAATTTTATTTGATGATAATTCACAATTTAGAAGTACTAGGGGTGAAACATTGAGCATATGTCACGATACGATATGCATCACGATACATAGGTCACGATACAATACGCATCACGATTCATAGGTCACGATACGATAGCATCATGATTCATAGGTCACAATACGATACGCATCACGATACAAAGGATACGATCTGATACGCATCACCATACATAGGTCACAATACAATATGCATCAGTATATATAGGTCACGATACAATACGCATCACGATATGATATGTATCACGATATGCACATTTACGTCAAATCGCATTGAAATATAGAAGAGCAGGTTCGGAAGAAACAACTTGCTGTAGACAAGTTTGCAGCGGGAATATTTTGGAGTGAGCTTGAAGCACTAATTAGTACACACTTTGCAATATTTGACTGACAAAAACGCTTGGGGGCCATTAAATGACTGGTCAGTAATTTATTTGGCAAGTGTATCATCTCATATCAATACAGAAATACAGAAGGTATGTATCCTGTATCGTATCTGTGCACTGATGTGTCGTTTCACCTTAACAAGTACATGAGCACAGCTTTCCAGTGATAGCCCTTGTGCATACAGCTGGCATAAAGTCAACAACAGCAGAAGAAGAAGCAAAATGAGCAATGAGGTGTTTATGACATTCCCAATCCCACATGCCAAGCTGGACTATGTCGAAGGGAGCCTGGCTTACGATATCCCGCTGGTCGGCCGCTGCAACTACATCAACCTCATGGGAGATTGTCTCCATCATGTCCTGGAGGTGGCAACAACATCAGTCAGCAACATCGACCTACACCGACCTCAGCCAGCGTATTACATGAACATACAGACTGCTAGTACTAACATTACCACAGTTTACAGAGTTCGTGTGCATTCCAAATGAAAATACAACATTAAAGCAAGTCACAAAACATTGACACAATCTCTCCATCAGTCCAGTGCTCCACTGTTGCAGTGAAACAAAAGCTGACATAAATAAGCTAATGGTCACAGCCACTTATCAAACAATATTTAGGCTTACATACAAAAAAATTCAAACTTAAATTACTATGGAATGACAAAAGCTGACATCTCCCCCTCCATGATATCACTTCCTGTGATATATCCCAGCATACCTGGCAGACGGAGTGTTGTTCCTGTTTCTCCTCGATTGTTGATCTCAGCGGCACTTCCTTGACCTGCTTCTCCATGTCCTTGACCCAGGATGTGACCTTGTCGTACTTCTCCTCATAGATGACCCAGTAGTGCAGGGCTCTCTCCAGGTTCTCCTTGAGGGAGGACAACTTGGAGGTGTAGTCCCCCCAGTCCAGCCTAAGGACATCCAACTCCTGCTGGATTGTCTGACGACCCTTCATGGCTGTCGTGTCCATCGTCAACTCGGCATTCCGCTCACAGTCCTTGACCTTTGAGACCCCATCCGGTACTGTTGTCACCAGCTCCTGTAAAAGAAAATAGCAATAATAATAAAGAATAAGAATAAATATTCTCCTGGTTATTTTAGTTCATGACTGTGAACCAGACCCGTGAAGATCCGGGCTAGAACAGGTCTTCAGCAGCCCATGCTTGCCATAAAAGGCAACGTTAAAAGCGACTGACGGGATTCGGTGGTCATAAAAATAAACATTTTTGTGTCATATTGTCTAAATTCAAACCTGACAAAGCATGAGTTACTCATAAAGAAATCTTACATGGCGAGAGTTTTTCCACTGAGAAGTCTGTTGGTATGATGTGACACAGGAATGCTCTATGTATAGGGCCAATGTACTGACAGGCATCATTACACAGTGCTCACAGTGTCATTGAGGTCAAGGGCTAGCTCATTGTAGTATTTTGAAACCAGTCTTGTTTGTATTTAGAAGGAAAATATACAGGAACATATCTTCTACTTCACAAACACTGACAATTAGACCTGGACAAATGTATGGCCTATACTGACATGCAGCCTGTCCAGCTTGTTCTGGATGGTGAGTCGGTCCCCGGACGTGTCGGCACACATGCTCTGCTTGTCCTTAGTCTGAGTCATCCAGTCCAGCGCAGACTGCAGGGAGTCCTGGTAGTTCTGGTGGTGCGCCACATTCTGCTCTGACTTGGCGATCAGGGTCTGGAAGAGTCACAGAGACACGTGAACATCAGCAGACTGACATCATCAAGACAGACAGACAGAGACACACAGACAGAAAGACAGACACACAGAGACAGACAGACGGACACACTACACAATTTCCTAAATCATGCATAAAATACTTGTCACCAAAGTACTGGTTGTGAGAAGCAACCAATGTTCTCGAACCTTCAACTTCCTGCCAGCTAAGTGACACGTTTTACCAGTAATGAAACAGTTGTGACAGCTACATGAACAAGACTGACAATGAACCTCCTACTGACAATGAAGTCTGCAGTCATGACTACCTCATAAGTGTTCCATATGAAACTGACCATAGATTGTTACATTTGGCTATTCCATTCTAGGGGGATAAGAACTTCATTAAAAACTGAAGTCAATCAGGCTCCATGTGACTGACCTTTGCATCTGCAGCGAGTTTCTCATATCTGGAGTTGATTGTGGTGATGAAGGCGGCGACGTCGGAGTTAGACGTGCTGTGGAGGACACCCTGGGCCTTCTCCACGACTGAGTCCACAAGACGCTGGTGAGAAGTGATGTCCTGCAGCACCGACTGAAACACATAGCACATCTCCTTGTACACATAGCACATCTCCTTGTACACATAGCACATCTCCTTGTACACATAGCACATCTCCTTGTACACATAGCACGTCTCACAATCTGGGCCTTGTACACATAGCACGTCTCTCAATCTAGGCCTTGTACACATTGCACATCTCTCAATCAAGGCCCTGTACACATAGCTCATCTCTCAATCTAGGTCTTGTACACATAGCACATCTCCTTGTACACATAGCACATCTCCTTGTACACATAGCTCATCTCACAATCTGGACCTTGTACTCTTAGCTCATCTCTCAATCTAGGCCTTGTACACATATCACATCTCACAATCTGGGCCTTGTACACATAGCTCATCTCTCAATTGAGGCCTTGTACACATATCATAATCTTGACCTTGTACACATATCACATCTTACAATCTAGGCCTTGTACACATAGCTCATCTCACAATCTGGACCTTGTACACATATCACATCTCACAATCTAGGCCTTGTACACATAGCATATCTCACAATCTGGGCCTTGTACACATAGCATATCTAACAATCTGGGCCTTGTACACAAAGCTCATCTCTCAATCTGGGCCTTGTACTCAGAGCTCATCTCCCAATCTAGGCCTTGTGCTCATAGCTTATCTCTCACTCTAGGCCTTGTACACATATAAAATTTCACAATCTGGGCCTTGTACTCATAGCTTATCTCTCAATCTTGGCCTTGTACACATATAAAATCTCTCAATCTAGGCCTTGTACACATAGCACATCTCACATTCTAGGCCTTGTACACATAGCACATCTCCTTGTACACATATCACATTTCACAATCTAGGCCTTGTACACCTAGCACATCACACAATCTGGGCCTTGTTCACATAGCACGGCTCACAATCTGGGCCTTGTACTCATAGCTCATCTCTCAATCTAGGCCTTGTACTCATAGCTCATCACTCAATCAAGGCCTTGTACACATAGCACATCTCGCAATCTGGGCCTTGTACACATAGCACATCACACAATCTGGGCCTTGTACACATAGCACATCTCTCAATCTAGGCCTTGTACTCATAGCCCATCTCTCAAGCTGGGCCTTGTACACATATCACAATCTAGGCCTCGTACACATAGCACATCTCACAATCTGGGCCTTGTACACACAGCACATCTAACAATCTGGGCCTTGTACACACAGCACATCTAACAATCTGGGCCTTGTACACACATCACATCTAACAATCTGGGCCTTGTACACACATCACATCTCACAATCTGGGCCTTGTACACACAGCACATCTAACAATCTGGGCCTTGTACACACATCACATCTAACAATCTGGGCCTTGTACACACAGCACATCTAACAATCTGGGCCTTATACACACAGCACATCTAACAATCTGGGCCTTGTACACACAGCACATCTAACAATCTGGGCCTTGTACACACATTACATCTAACAATCTGGGCCTTGTACACACAGCACATCTAACAATCTGGGCCTTGTACACACATCACATCTAACAATCTGGGCCTTGTACACATAGCACATCTAACAATCTGGGCCTTGTACACACATCACATCTAACAATCTGGGCCTTGTACACACATCACATCTCACAATCTGGGCCTTGTACACACATCACATCTAACAATCTGGGCCTTGTACACACAGCACATCTAACAATCTGGGCCTTGTACACACATCACATCTAACAATCTGGGCCTTGTACACACATCACATCTAACAATCTGGGCCTTGTACACACAGCACATCTAACAATCTGGGCCTTGTACACACATCACATCTAACAATCTGGGCCTTGTACACACATCACATCTAACAATCTGGGCCTTGTACACACATCACATCTAACAATCTGGGCCTTGTACACACATCACATCTCACAATCTGGGCCTTGTACACACATTACATCTAACAATCTGGGCCTTCCTGCAAGTGCAGATTTACTCACCCGGTGGTTCTGCAGCTGCAGCCTCTTCTCCTGCAGGGTGTTCTTCACATCCACGTCTGCCCTCAGAGACGCCTCCGTCTCCGCCAACCACCGCATCAGTTGCTCCTGGCCATCAGCGTAGGACGACCACTGCATCAGGAAGGTGTCCACCTTGCGCTGAGCATCGTTCAAACCACTGAACAGTTTCTCCCAGTCCTCCTTGGCGGTCCTCAAGTCCTGCCGCACCTTGTCCCGCCCTTGTGAGGCGGTGTCAGGGAACAGTTTTTCCCCCGCTTCTATGGCCAGGTTCAGCTTCTGAAGGCCATGCTCCTTCTCAGAGAACAGGATCTAAAACAACCAAATAAAGACGTAAATAAACGCCTCTTGGGTATCATAAAACGTTATTATTCCATTTTCATTTGGTTATAATTTAGAAAAGATTTTCCTTGGCATCTTGTCTCCCAATGATCCACCCAGGGGACCCTCACCCCATCTCCCAATCCAAAATATCCATGGCCTCTTATTCCCCAGCCCATCCACCCACCTGTATGACAGCTCTCTTCTCCTCCATGGGCTCTTATTCCCCACCCTATCCACCCACCTGTATGACAGCTCTCTTCTCCTGCATGGGCTCTTATTCCCCACCCTATCCACCCACCTGTATGACGGCTCTCTTCTCCTCCATGGCCTCTTATTCCCCACCCCATCCACCCACCTGTATGACGGCTCTCTTCTCCTCCATGGCCTCTTATTCCCCACCCTATCCACCCACCTGTATGACAGCTCTCTTCTCCTGCATGGGCTCTTATTCCCCACCCTATCCACCCACCTGTATGACGGCTCTCTTCTCCTCCATGGCCTCTTATTCCCCACCCCATCCACCCACCTGTATGACGGCTCTCTTTTCCTCCATGGCCTCTTATTCCCCACCCCATCCACCCACCTGTATGACGGCTCTCTTCTCCTCCATGGCCTCTTATCCCCCACCCCATCCACCCACCTGTATGACAGCTCTCTTCTCCTCCATGGCCTCTTATTCCCCAGCCCATCCTCCCACCTGTATGACAGCTCTCTTCTCCTCCATGGCCTCTTATTACCCACCCCATCCACCCACCTGTATGACGGCTCTCTTCTCCTCCATGGCCTCTTATTCCCCACCCCATCCACCCACCTGTATGACGGCTCTCTTCTCCTCCATGGCCTCTTATTCCCCAGCCCATCCACCCACCTGTATGACAGCTCTCTTCTCCTGCATGGCCTCTTATTCCCCACCCCATCCACCCACCTGTATGACGGCTCTCTTCTCCTGCATGGCCTCTTATTCCCCACCCCATCCACCCACCTGTATGACGGCTCTCTTCTCCTCCATGGGCTCTTATTCCCCACCCTATCCACCCACCTGTATGACGGCTCTCTTCTCCTGCATGGCCTCTTATTCCCCAGCCCATCCACCCACCTGTATGACGGCTCTCTTCTCCTCCATGGGCTCTTATTCCCCACCCTATCCACCCACCTGTATGACGGCTCTCTTCTCCTGCATGGCCTCTTATTCCCCAGCCCATCCACCCACCTGTATGACGGCTCTCTTCTCCTCCATGGCCTCTTATTCCCCAGCCCATCCACCCACCTGTATGACAGCTCTCTTCTCCTGCATGGCCTCTTATTCCCCACCCCATCCACCCACCTGTATGACGGCTCTCTTCTCCTGCATGGCCTCTTATTCCCCACCCCATCCACCCACCTGTATGACGGCTCTCTTCTCCTCCATGGCCTCTTATTCCCCACCCCATCCACCCACCTGTATGACGGCTCTCTTCTCCTCCATGGCCTCTTATTCCCCAGCCCATCCACCCACCTGTATGACAGCTCTCTTCTCCTGCATGGCCTCTTATTCCCCACCCCATCCACCCACCTGTATGACGGCTCTCTTCTCCTGCATGGCCTCTTATTCCCCACCCCATCCACCCACCTGTATGACGGCTCTCTTCTCCTCCATGGGCTCTTATTCCCCACCCTATCCACCCACCTGTATGACGGCTCTCTTCTCCTGCATGGCCTCTTATTCCCCAGCCCATCCACCCACCTGTATGACGGCTCTCTTCTCCTCCATGGCCTCTTATTCCCCAGCCCATCCACCCACCTGTATGACGGCTCTCTTCTCCTCCATGGCCTCTTATTCCCCAGCCCATCCACCCACCTGTATGACAGCTCTCTTCTCCTGCATGGCCTCTTATTCCCCACCCCATCCACCCACCTGTATGACGGCTCTCTTCTCCTCCATGGTCTCCTGGTCTCCGACGGGCTGTTGGCATCCAGACAGTCTCTGGTTGGCCATGTTCAGCCATTGCTGCAGCTCTGTGAGGCGACTGTCGTATGTTTGGTGTTTGTGAACATACTTCTCCCACTTGTTGATGAGGTCCTTAATGAGTGAGAGCAGCCCGTGGTAGCGGTTTGTCAACTGGGACACCTGGGTGCTCAGCCTCACATCGGAGCTTGTGTGCATGAGGTTCTGAGCCTCGTCAGTGAATCGGTCGATCTCTGACTGGTGAGACTGGATCTCTTCACGTTGTCTCTGTCACAGACAAAATATTTCTTGTTTTCAACAGGAATTGACAGCATAAAATGCTCCAATCATTGTCCAAACTTAACTTCAAGTTGCCAATGTTATGTGCAACATTAGCAGCAGTGGAAACTGTTGTAAACATATTTGTAGTTGTATTAATGCCAGCAAATGATTTGTATTCTGGGGAAAAATATTAAGCGCTGACATTGCCGGATTTTAACAGAACCAATTTTAGGGTTAACCTCTGCGCTTCAATTTGGAAATCACCTTGCAACATCAAGTAACCAAATATATAACTATGACAAGCTTTACACTGACCTTGAACTTGTCCACCTGCGTCTGCTTCTCCTTGAGCGTGGACTTGAGTTCATGGTTCTTGACAGCCTGTTCCATCTGCTTCAGCCAATCGGCGCATGACTGGAACTTGGTCTCGAAGTCTCCCCACTGCACCATGGCTTGGTCCAGTGAGGAGCCCACCTGCCTCATCACACCCACATAGTCCTCCCACTCACGCTGTAGGTGCTCGATCTCCCGCCGCAACACATCACAGCCTTGGGGAGATGTGTGCTTGGCCGTCTGTTCACACAGCTCCCTTGTCTTGTTCAACTTCCTCTCTCCATCAGGAACAGAGGCTTCGAACTCCTGACAACAGTAATGTGAGAGTGAGTGAGTGAGTGAGTGAGTGAGGGAGAGAGGGAGGGAGCGATTATTGCTTAATGCCATATCAGCAATCTTACAGCTATGGCAAAACAGTTGTGATGTACAGAATGCATCTGATAACAGTGACAACTCAATTCAAGAAAGACAATCAAATACATTCAGACAAACCTCATAAAATGACACAAAACCAATATGTGGCCATGGAAACATTTTCATCTCAACTGGGAAAGACGAAAAAAAGAGTAAACCGCATCTTAAAAGGAATCAGCTAAACTGACATCAACTAATATATAGCAAGTCCTACCTTCAGTCTCTCTCGCTTGCTCTGCAGAGAGAGTCTGTCCCCGGAGCGGTCAGCACACGAGTCCAGCTTCTCCCGGGACAGGTTGAGCCAGTCCTGAAGGTCGTGGTAGGCATCCTGGAACTGCTGATGATACTTGACCCCCTCCTCCAGGCTCCCAAGCACCCCCCGGGACTTGTCGCACAGGCCGTCATACTTCTTCTGAAGCTCTCCGACAAACTTGTTGACCTTGGCGGAGGGCGATGACTGTGTGAGGCTGTGCGCCTTCTCTGTGAGGTTGGACATGATGTGTTGGCGAGACACGATATCCTGGTGGAGAACCTGCACAAGGAAGATGGAGGAGTATACTTACTGCTGCACTGAAACCCTTAATCAGTCCTTACAACTTTTGATAAAGGTTACAATAATCACTAAATACATGCACCTTCCCATTTCTTTATCCTCAGTTCCTGAATCTGTATTAAGTCCTGGGCCCACACGACACTTGCAACCCCTATAGTCTTGAATAGACATCTTAGGGTCATGATGTAACATCTCACACTGATGACCCTGTTGGCATCCCTACCATGTGGTCTGTAGCTGTGTCCCTCCCCTCCAAAAACATCACACCCTAAGGCCCTTGTTGGCATCCCTACCTTGTGGTCAGTAGCTGTGTCCCCTCCCCTCCCCAGCATCACCCCCTAAGGCCCCTGTTGGCATCCCTACCTTGTGGTCAGCAGCTGTGTCCCTCCCCTCCCAAACATCACACCCTAAGGCCCTTGTTGGCATCCCTACCTTGTGGTCTGTAGCTGTGTCCCCTCCCCTCCCCAACATCACACCCTAAGGCCCTTGTTGGCATCCCTACCTTGTGGTCTGTAGCTGTGTCTGTGTCCCTCCCCTCCCAAACATCACCCCCTAAGGCCCTTGTTGGCATCCCTACCTTGTGGTCTGTAGCTGTGTCCCTCCCCTCCCAAACATCACCCCCTTAGGCCCTTGTTGGCATCCCTACCATGTGGTCTGTAGCAGTGTCCCTCCCCTCCCAAACATCACACCCTAAGGCCCTTGTTGGCATCCCTACCTTGTGGTCTGTAGCTGTGTCCCCTCCCCTCCCCAACATCACCCCCTTAGGCCCTTGTTGGCATCCCTACCTTGTGGTCTGTAGCTGTGTCCCTCCCCTCCCAAACATCACACCCTAAGGCCCTTGTTGGCATCCCTACCTTGTGGTCTGTAGCTGTGTCCCCTCCCCTCCCCAACATCACCCCCTAAGGCCCTTGTTGGCATCCCTACCATGTGGTCTGTAGCTGTGTCCCTCCCCTCCAAAACATCACCCCCTAAGGCCCCTGTTGGCATCCCTACCTTGTGGTCTGTAGTTGTGTCCCTCCCCTCCCCAGCATCCCCCCCTAAGGCCCCTGTTGGCAACCCTACCTTGTGGTCTGTAGCTGTGTCCCCTCCCCTCCCCAACATCACCCCCTTAGGCCCCTGTTGGCATCCCTACCTTGTGGTCTGTAGCTGTGTCCCCTCCCCTCCCAAACATCACCCCCTTAGGCCCCTGTTGGCAACCCTACCTTGTGGTCTGTAGTTGTGTCCCTCCCCTCCCAAACATCACCCCCTTAGGCCCGTTGGCATCCCTACCTTGTGGTCTGTAGTTGTGTCCCCTCCCCTCCCCAACATCACCCCTAAGGCCCCTGTTGGCATCCCTACCATGTGGTCTGTAGCCGTGTCCCTCCCCTCCCCAACATCGGCCCCTGTTGGCGTCCCTACCTTGTGGTCTGTAGCTGTGTCCCTCCCCTCCAAAACATCACACCCTAAGGCCCTTGTTGGCATCCCTACCTTGTGGTCTGTAGCTGTGTCCCTCCCCTCCAAAACATCACACCCTAAGGCCCCTGTTGGCATCCCTACCATGTGGTCTGTAGCTGTGTCCCTCCCCTCCCCAACATCACACCCTAAGGCCCCTGTTGGCGTCCCTACCATGTGGTCTGTAGCTGTGTCTCTGTGTCTCTCCCCTCCCCAACATCACCCCCTAAGGCCCCTGTTGGCATCCCTACCTTGTGGTTCTGTAGCTGGGCCTTCTTCTCGGGCAGTGTAGCCTTCATCTCATCCTCCTCCTTCAGATTGACTTCCGTGTCCAGCAGCCACTTCTGAAACTGCTCGAAGTTGTCGTCATACGCGGACCACTCTAGCAGGCTGCACTCCAGCTTCCTCTGGGTCGCTGCCACCTCATCACACAGTGAGTCCCAGTTCTCCCGCAGGTTCCGGATGTCCTGGCGGATCACCTCTCTGCCCTCCGAGGCAGTGGTAGGATACAGCTTCTCCCCGGCATCTATTGTCTGCATGATGCTGTGGCGGCCGCTGTCCTTCTCCGCAGCCAGTTGCTGTACAAGGGAAAGCAAGCAATGAAGGATGTGAGGAAGTGTAATGTGACATGATGTTTCACTTAATGTTGTGCACAGTTCAGAAACATTAGTGAGGGATTGGTGCAATGTTACCTGATAACTATCACCAGCATTACAACTAGGACCTACATGACTACTTCTGTGAACAAGACAACGGTGAGCTAGCTGGGCTGCCAGTCCTACCTGCAGTTTGGCGAGTCTGTCCTCGACGTCGTGTCTGTCGCCGGCGAGGTCCCCACACACCTCCAGCCTCTTCCGTAGCGTGGACATCCAGTCATCGCACTGCGCCAGGTTGTTCTCATAGGACTGCTGCTCATCCACGCTGTCCTGCCACTTCCGGATTGCATCCTGAACAAGCAGACAAGTCTCACGATCAGCTCACCAACGATCTGCTGCAAACCTTTCTCACTGTTCTTACAAAAGGAAATGTATGTGTGATATATTACTTGGTTGAGTTATCTGACATGATTCTGATGACCTCCTACCTTGATGCCAGCTTTCAGAGTCTCGTACTTGGAGGCGAGTTGGGTGCTGTAGCCGATCTGCCTGGCATCAGCTCCCTGGACTTGAGAGGCCATGGTTTGTAGGTTGCTAAACTTGGCCTGCTTGTCATCGATCTCACGTTGAAGAGCCTGACAGACAGTCATGCATGAGCGTTATGATTTAGGACTCACAGGTTATGTTACAACAAGAGACAGTATATGCTTGGCCTCAATCTCACGTAAAGCCTGACGGACACATGCACCAGCATTAGGACTCTGGATATGTGTGTTGTAATATCCCTGCAATATCTGGGTCAGCCTGAAAATAACAGGCTCGGCCAAACAAACCTAAAAAACAACAACCAAAAGGATTGATATGTATGAAGAATGTCCCACAATCAACAAAGACATTGAGTCTGACCACCCAATCACAACCAGTTGACTCTCATGACAAGAATTTGTTGCTGGGACCCTTTCTATTGTGGAATTCCATGACAACTTAGGGTATGTAGCTCACAACCTCTGTTTCAGCTCACAACAAGAGGCAGAAATGGACCCTAGGACGGCATACCTTCAGCTCACAACAAGAGGCAGAAATGGACCCTAGGACGGCATACCTTCAGCTCACAACAAGAGGCAGAAATGGACTTTAGGACGGTATACCTTCAGCTCATAACAAGAGGCAGAAATGGACACTAGGATGGCATACCTTCAGCTCACAACAAGAGGCAGAAATGGACCCTAGGACGGCATACCTTCAGCTCACAACAAGAGGCAGAAATGGACACTAGGACGGTATACCTTCAGCTCACAACAAGAGGCAGAAATGGACACTAGGACGGTATACCTTCAGCTCACAACAAGAGGCAGAAATGGACACTAGGACGGTATACCTTCAGCTCACAACAAGAGGCAGAAATGGACGCTAGGATGGCATACCTTCAGCTCATCAACATGTCTCTGTTTTTCTTCTAAAGTTGACTTCAAATCTGTGTCCTTGACCTTGCTGTCGGCGTCCCGCAGCCAGTGTCCAAGTTCCTCACATGACCCATCATAGTTCTCCAGAGCTTCCAGCGCCTGGACCAGTCCCTGCTGCATGTCGCCCATCTTGCCCTGCAGCCCTTGCCAGTCCTGGTCCAGCGTCTCCAGCTCATGCCGGATGTTCCTCTGACCTTGGGTAGCGGTCTGCGGTAGCGTCTTCTCCCCGTGCTGGTGTGTGCTGTGCAGCTTGGACTCCCCCTCACTCAGGCTAGACTGGAGGTCCTGTGGATGGCAGAATAACACAGAGTGGACTTGTGGTAGATAGGACATGAGTGAGTGAGTATGGTTTTACGCCACTTTTAGCAATATTCAGCAATATCACGGCTGGGCACACAAGAAATGGGCTTCACACATTGTACCCATGTCGGGAATTGAACCTGGGTCTTCAGCGTGACAAGCGAACGATTTAACCATTAGGCTACCCGACCGCCCCAGATAGGACATGAGGAGGGATAGAGTAAGCAGTCTCCAGCTGTTTAATGGTATGGGATAGCTTTGTGAAACAAACTCGCCATTGCATAGCATTAATTAATACATGTAAACTTTCGGCCTGTTTGAAATTGTGTTCTCTTCAAAACTTAAAATTGGATTATGCTGTTGATGATATGTCTTAATGTAAACACTTATTACAGTAGAACACAGAAGGAGCACTGTACCTTTACTCTGTCCAGTCTGTTCTGCAGCGCCTGTCTGTCCCCGCTGACCTCGGAGCAGACAGCTAGCTTGTCCTTGGTGGAGATCATCCAGTCGCAGGTCTGTTGGTGGTTGTCCTGGTATAGCTGATGCTGGTCCACGTGCTGCTCTGCCTGCCGTAGCTGGGTCTGTCAGGGGGAGCGTGAGAGATCAACATTACAGTGTCAGCACAAAGAGGGAGGAAAGTAGGGATGCTGGTTCTGTCAGGGGGCGTGAGAGATCAACATCACAGTGTCAGCACAAAGAGGGTGGAAAGTAGGGATGCTGGTTCTGTACTACCTTGTGAGCACTGGAAGGGCACTGACAAACACATTATCATAATCAGGGGTAATCTAAGCCTGTGTCTATCAGATCCTGTGCCACAACATGAGGGACACAACTCTACCCAGTTCACTGGGGCACCAGAATACCAAATCATCTGCCTCGGCAAATTGTCTGCATGTATATTGTAGTTCCACACTAATTATGGTTGTGTAATATGAACAGTTTCATGAGGCAGATGTTGTGCAGAAGTCCCACTTCAATAGTTGCCATGTCACACACATACAAATCAACACTCAACACGAGTTGGGCAGATCAGAGGAAGACGGCTTCTCACAGTGACACTCACCTGGGCCTGAGAGCGAAGCTGGCTGTACTTCTGGTTGAGCTGGGTGAGTCTGTTCTGTACTTGGCTGGAGGCAAGTGCTCTCCCCTTGTCTGTGATGCTGTCAACCATGGTCTGGTGGGACAGGATGTCTTGGTGTCGAGTCTGCAAGGAGAAGGAAACACACAGGTACACGTCTATCACAGGAAATACATCATTTTGTGCATTTAAATTGTTTAGCAATTTACATCTGTGCAGGTTATAGAAGAGGGCGTACGTGATGAATCATGGCCAGGAGAACCAAAGAACCATAGGTACAGAAACTCACCCTTTATTCATGGCTGGCTATGGAAAGGGAACATAATCTCATAAAGTTTTTTTAATGCTAATTTTAATGTATGGGAACACTTAACACATTAGCCTTCATATAAAACAAAGCAACTGTGTACACTGAAGTTTGTAGATTCCCCACAATGTTCCACCCCCTGTCCCACCCACCAGCCTGGTTCAAGCCGCTCCCCATCCAACCAACCTGGTTCAAACCACCCCGTCCCACCCACCAACCTGGTTCAAGCCACCCCATCCCACCCACCTGGTTCAAGCCATCCCGTCCCACCCACCTGGTTCAAGCCACCCCATCCCACCCACCGGGTTCAAGCCACCCCGTCCCACCCACCGGGTTCAAGCCATCCCGTCCCACCAACCTGGTTCAAGCCACCCCATCCCACCCACCTGGTTCAAGCCACCCCGTCCCACCCACCTGGTTCAAGCCACCCCGTCCCACCCACCTGGTTCAAGCCACCCCGTCCCACCCACCTGGTTCAAGCCACCCCGTCCCACCCACCTGGTTCAAGCCACCCCGTCCCACCCACCTGGTTCAAGCCACCCAGTCCCACCCACCTGGTTCAAGCCACCCCGTCCCACCCACCTGGTTCAAGCCACCACGTCCCACCCACCTGGTTCAAGCCACCCCGTCCCACCCACCTGGTTCAAGCCACCCCGTCCCACCCACCTGGTTCAAGCCACCCCGTCCCACCCACCTGGTTCAAGCCACCACGTCCCACCCACCTGGTTCAAGCCACCCCGTCCCACCCACCTGGTTCAAGCCACCACGTCCCACCCACCTGGTTCAAGCCACCCCGTCCCACCCACCTGGTTCCAGGCACCCAGTCCCACCCACCTGGTTCCAGCCACCCCGTCCCACCCACCTGGTTCCAGCCACCCAGTCCCACCCACCTGGTTCCAGCCACCCCGTCCCACCCACCTGGTTCAAGACACCCCGTCCCACCCACCAGGTTCCACCCACCCCGTCCCACCCACCTGGTTCAAGCCACCCCGTCCCACCCACCTGGTTCCAGCCACCCAGTCCCACCCACCAGGTTCCAGCCACCCCGTCCCACCCACCTAGTTCAAGCCACCCAGTCCCACCCACCAGGTTCGAGCCACCCCGTCCCACCCACAACGTTCCACCCACCAGGTTCGAGCCACCCCGTCCCACCCACAACGTTCCACCCACCCCGTCCCACCCACAACGTTCCACCCACCTTATACTGCTGCAGCAGAGCTTTCTTCTCTTGTAGTGAGTTCTTCAGCTCAGGTTCAGCGCCAACATGCTTCTCGGTATCTATGATCCATTTGTTGAGCTGATCAAAGTTCTCATCAAAGGAGGACCACTGCATGCGTGAAGTCTCTAGCTGGCGTTGAGTGTTGTTCAGCTTGTCCTGGAAAGTCTCCCAAGTGTCCCTCAAGGCCCGCAGGTCCCGCCGGATGTTCTCACGACCCTGGTTCGATGTGTTGGGGAACAGCTTCTCCCCATGCTCCAGCGCCGCATTAAATCTGGCCAGTCCATCCTCCTTGTTGACCAGAAGATCCTGCAGTAAACATGGATGTCAATGAATTATGCCACCATGATGTAAACTGATTTGATCAGAATAACATGTATAGCTTTAACAGGTAGATTGGCAAAGAAGACAATCTATGGATAACAACGTCTTTTTTTTATGTAATGGCATAAGGCCTTATAAGGATCAATACTGAAACATCGCCATTACAGTGCATTAAGAAGTTGTTATCCAAATGTGGCCGAGTTGATTTTATTGCTATTTTGTAAATATTTTAGTAAAGTCTTTTAATTGTCTCGTTTCTGTTTTAGCCTGTTTCTGTCTCAAGCTAGATTACTTGAGCAGTATGAAAACAACAACAATTAGACTAGCTCCAGTACTAGCAGAAGATCATGACTCAACAGCCATGAACAGTGAAGCTGCTGACAGGATGGAAGATTCTGCCCAAGAAGAAACTGGTGATGATCAAGGAATTCTTGTGGCAGTGGGACCTTCTTTTAACGGCACTCAGAATAGAGGACAACCAGGAGCTAACTGCAGTGGAATTGTTAGAAGCTACTGATGAAGCTGCTGCGCCACTTGCAGAAGCCACTATAGCCCACCCTACCCCACCGACAGCAGCCAGACGTTCCAATCGATCAACTCGGAAGCCCTCTTGGATGACATCAGGGGAATACCTGATGAGTCACCAGATCCCAGACCAAGACAGGGAGAGGAGATCTCGGACTATCCAGGAACTTGCTTCCAGTGGCGTTTTGGAACATTTATCTCGTGCATTTATTTCGATTGTTGATGGTAGTATTAAATGACGAGGACGTCATTATTTGGGAGGGGGTAGTATGTGGCCGAGTTGATTTTATTGCTATTTTGTAAATATTTTAGTAAAGTCTTTTAATTGTCTCGTTTCTGTTTTAGCCTGTTTCTGTCTCAAGCTAGATTACTTGAGCAGTATGAAAACAACAACAATTAGACTAGCTCCAGTACTTACATAACTACTAACATAACAATAGCCACTTTCACCTATACAGTCACCAACAGCACAAGCGTCTTGCTTTGTTTTCCTTCCCAGCTTCTGTGTTATGTAAGTAAAAGGTTTCTTCTGTTTTTTGCTGACTTTGCTAAATTAGTTGGTCACTTACACTTGAAGGATATCAGTGGTTCTTTGGACTGGATTTCAAATCAGTGGACGATATATTTGTTGTGTTCAGGATCTCTATAAGGTTAGTTTGTGTTTGGTTCATAGTTATGTATCTTGTAGATATGTCTGTGTATTTAGTTTTATGAATTAGATGCATTAAGGTAATGCATTGATTGGTAATTATATATATTTTATAATATATGTCAAACTGAAAATAGTTTAAAAACATAAACTAGTACTTCATCATAAGTATACATGTTATCTCGATATCTTCAGATATTCCATACTTTCCCTCTTAATTTGTTAAACACTTCAGTTAAATCTAAACTAAATCTATAATCTAATTTAACTATTAATCACTACTGAAATACCATCTAACTACATGTGTGAATGCAGTATGTATGTGTGTAGATTATGATTGAATGGATACATATGAAAAGGTCATTTTACATGTTCTTAATTTTATTGGCCATTTCTTTTTTCTTATGCGGCCTTATTGTTTAAATTTGTTCTAGAATATGGCAATTGATGCCTGTGATCTGCCAACGCTGACATAGTTGCCAGCTCATTGCCACACAGTGGTAAGTTATGTGTACATTTTGTGTATATTGTGTTTATATTATATTTATATCATGGCAATCTGTAGAGGCGGTATTTGTGTAACCGTCTTAAGTATTTCTATATGTAATTTGGCTTAAAACCACAATGGTAAGTGTAATTACTGCTCAGCATGTTTGATACATTAATGTAAAATATCACGTGTAAATGTTTATAGTATGCATAGCATATTAAACTGGATGAGCCGTTTATACATTGGTGTGTTGATACTATGATATGTTTTATTTCATTTATTAGATATTTTCATTGTATTTTTAGAGTACAGAGTTCAGAAACAACTAGCGTGTGCGCAAATAAAATCAACTGTCAACTCACACCCCAGTAGCCTGTTCTGTGTTTACTGCACTAACCGGAGCCTTGCCCGCTACTACACAAACATTTTGTCTACTTTGTCATCCATCGACTTCTAAGAAATGCCTATCAAATAATTCATAAATTATTGTTACATCAGGCAGAGTATTGCATTGAAATCAGAAAATACTTCTTGAGTTGAAACAGATGTCATTCCGCATAAGAAGGAAGCTAAGGATACCTTGCAGCACATACGAGAGTGCAATACCAGTATCCTATCACAGTGGATCCAGGAACTCGGAGTAGCAAGAGACTTTTTGTACCTTTAGTTTGGCCAGTTTAAGGCGCAGCGCCTCTTCATCTCCGACCCCGGACACACAGTCTTCCAGCTGCCGCTGGGCATCTTCCAGCCACCCCATCGCATCCTTCATGTTGTCGGAGAATGTCTCATGGTCAGCAATGTTGCTGTCACACTTCTCACTCTGGTCCTGAACACAGCAAACAAACAAGCAGTCAGTGGCCGCACGTCGTGTCGATGCTTTACTGTTCTCAGTAGATAGAAATAGTAGGTATGTTCTGAACAAGGAGATATTGTAGCACTGTTAGTCAGGCCTTACCTTGACAGACTCAGTTAGTGTCTGGAATCTGTTGAGCAGTTGTGCTGCATGTGACGCTGTGCGGTTGTCGCCAGTGGAGCGAGAGATCTGACCAGCAGTATCTTGGAGTTCCTCAAACTCTCTCCTTTTAGCTGCAATCTCTGCCTCCAGTTCCTGACACAGACAAACAAATACATCAAGATAACACAACACAACATCTGGTGGCGTTTCAGGCCCGAGTTCCATGACTGGCTCATCACCCTGGCTGTGTAGGGATGGATTATTGTGTATAGGCTACAGCCGGAAAACCCATGTTATCAACAATTAGAGGGTAAGGTACAACGATTCTTTGCTATATAAATGACAGATAAAACACATGTACTGTGTCATTACAGACTGTCTGAAGTAACTTGGTCAGGACAATCTGGTAACATGCTTGTCTGCTTGGTGACCTTTCACTGACCTTGAAGTTCTGCTGCTGTTCATGTTTGCCATCCAGGTCTGACCTCAAGGCTGACTGGTTCCTCATCCGGGACTCAGCATCCTTCAGCCACTGGCTCAGTTCTTCATACCGGCCGTCGTGGTCCGTCCACTGGTCGATCGATGTCTCCAGCTTATTCCTGATCAGAGAACACACCTTGAATACTCTTGGATCTTAAGACTTAAACGTTCACAGTGCCTTAAAGATACTGAAAAAAGCTTGAACAAATATGAATGATATTTTTAAAATAAGGTTCCAGAAAAATTAATTGTGCTTTTGTTGGTGAGATAACATCATAAATAACATCATTGCCTGTAAACTTGCAACCAGCCATCTTAAAACAACATGTTGGAATCAATCTCAGAGGGCAATAAAAGGACCTTTTATTCCCAACAACATGAGAAGCACCAGAGTATGGACGGCAATTCAGTCAAAAAGTACAAAGTTGAAATAACGTACAAAAGTATGCATTAATAGTAAAATGTTACCAATAAAGAATGAATGTTACAAATAAAGGTCATTATTTAAACACGAATAATGAATCCAAAATACAAAATACGAACAACAACCCGCAAACGAAAGACGTCACATGTAAAGAACAATGTGTACCAAAGAACGTCAGTTCACAAAAAGGACACCGAACTACAAAAGGACAATGTTAACAATAAAGAACACCAGATGGCGCCGTAATTTGTTGTCCTTTATTTTAACTTTGTATTTTTTGACCAAATGGCCGCCCACACCAGAGCCTGGTACTCACTGAGTCTGGCCGATCTGTCCCGCCAGGGAGTTCCACTCTCTGTCCATGGCCTTCTTCTGGGCCTCCAGCTCCATCTGTTTGGTCTTGGGCAGGACGGCCTTGATCTTCTCAAGCTGAGCAGCTGCAGATGCTCTCTTCTCCTCCCCTTCCTCCAGTCCTGTCATCAGGTCCTTGATGGTAGACAGCTTGGCCTCCACACTGTAGCGGTCTCCACCGATGTCGTCGCACCAGGAGACCTTCTCCTTGGCCTGGTTGAGCCATCGCGCCTGCTGCTGCTGGGCCTCTAGACAGTGTTGTTCCAGAGTCCCCTGCAGGGAGTCCTCTATCCGCTCAGCGCGGCCTGACAGAGCATCAAACTTCTTTGACATTACGTTGGCATCCTTGGCTAGGTTTGACATTTCTGAGGATGGGTATTTGGCTTGAAGTGAGCGTGTCTTGGCTTGTATGTCAGCCATTCTTTGTTTGTGCTGTGCAAATTCTTCTTGTAGTTCCTAAAACCAAACATATACTTATCTTAAGAGGGAAAAAATTGTCTTCAAATAATTATGTCTGTCTAAGTATTGGAGAGTTTCTAATCTACACAAAATCATAATCCATATGCAATTCACACCTTCTTCCATGAATCTGTCAGTGAATCATTGCTTACCTTTGATTCCATGAATCTGGCAATGATGTCATCGTCACTGCCAGTCACATCGTCACATTTGGCTAGTCTCTCCTTCATCTTGTTCATCCACTCGGTTTCAGCATCAATGGCTTCCTGTAGCTGCTTTTGTTCATCAGAGAAATTGGACATGACAGACTCCAACTGACCAGCTGTTTCCGATGCATGCTCGAACTTGGCAATGATATCCCGCATCTCCTGCTCCATGCCAGGCAAGTCATGACCTCCATTCAACTCACGAAGGTCATTCATCTTCTGGTTGATCTCCTTCAGGACCTCTTGAAAGTAGGGAGCTTCTTCCTGCAGTCACATGAAATATGGGATAGTGAGTGAGTGAGTGAGTGAGTGAGTGAGTGAGTGAGCGAGCGAGCGAGATCATTGCAGCATCTTTTACAAATGTCAAGGCTCAAGGCCAGGTCAGTGTAAGATAAATCGTATTCCTCTTCCTCCATGTCTCAATGACAATGTAGACGTGTCTGGGTCTAGTAATTGGGCTAGTAGTGAGATCATGATGTAACAACATACCTTGAACTTGAGCAACCTGCTCTCCACGCTGACGGCATCATCAAAGTTCTTGAGGCTGTCGTCCAGCTTGTTGCCCATTGAGTTGACCCAAGCTGCAACCTCGTCCTTGCCGGACTGCAGCTGGTCCCAGCACACCAGCTGTGCTTCCAGGTTCTCCCGGTGATCATCAATGATGGTCTGAGACAACGGCAAATATGTCATGATATTTCCAAGTTTATATACAAATCTTACATGTTCCTGATTCTGAGGAAAAGATATAGTGACATGACAGCCATGAACTAGTCATCTGAAACGACTTCAACAGGAGATAAGAGTTATCTCCCTTATGTTCACCATGCGCCATGGTTAAACAGTACCCTATGGTGGTAGCTTGTATTTAATTTCCTGTTTAAGCCTGCGTGTTCCACGACCCACACTGTGAAAAATATATAGTGACATCCTAGTCATTTGAATACGACTTCATTCAGTAGATTAGAGTTATCTCCCCTGTGTTGACCATGCGCCATAGCGAAACACTACCCTATGGTGGTAGTCTTGTATTATTGACTGTTCCATGACCCACCCTGTTGGCAGTCTCCCACTTGTGGTTGACATCATCTAGGTCGGCCTCCACAGTTTCGCACTGGAAGCCGGGGACCTTGGCCAGTTCCTCCAGGAGTTGCACGCCCTTCGTGTTCATTTGGTCAAGCTGGGTCTGGTTGGCATGCAGCTCAAACTCTGCATTCTGGAACACACAGCACACCAAGTAACAACAGAAACCACAACAACATGACTGCTTTGCAAGTATTCTTCCGATAGTAATGTTTGTTGATACATCAAAGAAACGCTGAGGCCTAATTATGAGTACCCTGTATGGTTACAGGCTCATAAGAAGCCCACCCCATGTACTGAGACCCATGAGTACCCTGTATGGTTACAGACTCAGAAGAAGCCCACCCCATGTACTGAGACCCATGAGTACCCTGTATGGTTACAGACTCAGAAGAAGCCCACCCCATGTACTGAGACCCATGAGTACCCTGTATGGTTACAGACTCAGAAGAAGCCCGTCCCATGTACTGAGACCCATGAGTACCCTGTATGGTTACAGACTCAGAAGAAGCCCACCCCATGAACTGAGACCCATGAGTACCCTGTATGGTTACAGACTCAGAAGAAGCCCACCCCATGTACTGAGACCCATGAGTACCCTGTATGGTTACAGACTCAGAAGAAGCCCACCCCATGTACTGAGACCCATGAGTACCCTGTATGGTTATAGACTGAGAAGAAGCCCGTCCCAACTGACTTTACCTTGTGCTGGTCCAGACTCTTTTTGACATCTGCTGGGTTGGAGAAAGCGATCTGTTGATTGACTAGTGGGTTGACGTCGTCCAACACTCTGACCACACCTGTCTTGGCCTCGTTGTACTGCTGCCACAGACTGCCCACGGAGTTGAGGTACTGGTGTTTTTCAGCGATGGTGGCCTGCACGCCCTCCCATACCTGGTTCACCTCACTCAGCTGAGTCTGAAGGGCGGCGGCTTTGCTGGGGTCAGACTGCATGATCTGCCGACCTAGTTCGCGCAGTTGTTCATACTCAGGATTGTTTGCGTACATGTCATCTCGAATATCCTTGAAAAAAGAAGATCAATGATCAACTAAGGGTTAGTACCAAGACATAATTGTCTTATAACTACTTACTTATACAACTACTGTTCTTATACCAGGAACTCATTATCAGTGATATGCCTGTTCACCAGCAGAGAATGGGAACTGGTAGGTAAGATGCTCTGTCATGTGACTATTAACCTTCTAGCGCCTCACAGGCAACTTTAGTTGTATACTGCCAAGGGAGCAGGGAATGCAAATTGCGTGCTGTTCCACTGACCAGGGTTATAATGTATCGCTTTGACCATAGGGTGTGGATTTGGCCCATCATAAATATGCTAATGTTATAACCTGACACGAACCTCTACTTCTCTGATGAGTTCTTTCAGCCCCTGTAGGCTGGACTTGTCCACAGCAGCTGAGGCGATCCTGTCCTGGATCTCCTGGAGCTTGAGGACCAGCTTGTCCTTCTTGACCACAAAGTCATCACTGAGATGTGCCAGCTCCCCGAGATGATTCTCCTTCTGCTGTGCTGCCTCCGACACTGTGTCACACAGATGCTCCAGGCTCTGCAGCTCCGAGTTGAAGTGCAGCGTCCGCTGAGTGGCTCGGTCTTTGATGATCATCTGGGAAGCTCCCATCAAGTCATCCAGCCCGTCTGCCTGCTTGTTCCAGCCGCTCATGCTGGCCTTCAGTTCTGCGATCTCCCTCTTGATATTGTTGACCTCTGCCTCCGTGAGGTCAGGAGACTGTAGGCGGGTCTGAAGAGACTTCAGCTTGGCCTGGGCCTCCTTGTGGTCGTCGTTGTACTTTGTCCAGTTGTCACATAGATTTTCCCGGTTCTGAATCAGGTCCTCAACCTTTGTGTAACCTTCCATGATCCGGTCAAACCGGTCACTGAGCACAGCTGCCTCATCCTTGGAGCAGTTTTGCACCATCTCCTTGAACTCCTGCTGCAGGGCTTGGAAGACAGGGTCGTGCTGACCACACTCTCCTCGCAGACCCTGGAACACAAGACACGACATTCAACATCTCACCAACAAAAGTAGAACATTGTCATTCATCCTCATCTGAAACTGCATCTAATCATCAGCACTTATCACCCACTGTTCCTTCATGACACACCTGAACAATGTCAACTGTTTTATCCTTATACGACAGAAATAGTACACGACAGAGATGGTACACGACAGAGATGGTACACGACAGAGATGGTACACGACAGAGTTGGTACTCAACACTCACCTGTAGCTTAGCAAGTTCATCAGCAACCTCATCAGAGTATATTTCACTCCCAGTATCTAGTTTCCTCTGAATTTTCTTCACCCATTTCTCGAAGTCTTGCATGCGACCGTAAAAGTCACGTCGATGTTGTACGGCTGTAGTCAACATCTTCTGCCGTTCCAGCACCCCGGTGTTGATGTCATTCCAGGTCTGTTTGATGTCATCCTGCTTGTGCTTGAGCTTGTTGAGGCCGTCTGGGCTGGCGTACGGCTGCACCTGCTCAAACCGCCGCTGCAACGCATTCATCTGCGGCTGCTGACTGCGGACCTCATCCTGTAGTGCCTGCAGCAGGAAAACACATACCACTGTAGCAAACTGTAGCAACCCCAACTGTAGCCAATCCAGCTGTAGTAACCCAAACTGTAGCAACCTCAGCTTAGCAAACCCAGCTGTAGCGATGGCAACTGTAGCAACCAAAGCTGTAGCAAATACCATAATAGTATACATCACCTCTCTAAACACCATTAAAGTAAACATCACCTCAGTAAACACCATTAAAGTAAACATCACCTCAGTAAACACAATTATAATAAACATAACATCAGTAAACAGCATTGTAGTAAACATAATAACAGTAAACAACACCTTAGTTAACACCATTAAAGTAAACACCGTAAAGTAAACATCATTAAAGTAAACATCACCTCAGTAAACACCATTAAAGTAAACACCGTAAAAGTAAACAACACTTTAGAAAACACCATTAAAGTAAACACCATAAAGTAAACATCACCTCAGTAAACACCATAAAAGTAAACAACACCTTAGTAAACACCATTAAAGTTAACACCATAAAGTCAACATTACTTAAGTAAACATCACCTCAGTAAACACCATTAAAGTAACCATCACCTCAGTAACCATCACCCCAGTAAACATCACCCCAGTAAACACCATCATAGTAAACATCCCCCCAGTAAACACCATCAAATTAAACATCACCTCAGTAAACACCATTAAAGTAACCATCACCTCAGTAAACATCCCCCAAGTAAACACCATCATAGTAAACATCCCTCCAGTAAACACCATCAAATTAAACATCACCTCAGTAAACACCATCATAGTAAACATCACCCCAGTAAACACCATCATAGTAAACATCAGCCCAGTAAACACAATATAGTAAACATCAGCCCAGTAAACACCATCATAGTAAACATCAACCCAGTAAACACCATCATAGTAAACATCACCCCAGTAAACACCATCAAAGTAAACATCACCTCAGTAAACACCATCATAGTAAACATCACCCCAGTAAACATCACCTCAGAAAACACCATCATAGTAAACATCACCCCAGTAAACACCATCATAGTAAACATCACCCCAGTACACACCATCATAGTAAACATCACCCCATTAAACACCATCAAAGTAAACATCACCTCAGTAAACACCATCATAGTAAACATCAACCCAGTAACACCATCATAGTTAACATCACCTCAGTAAACACCATCATAGTAAACATCAGTCCAGTAAACACCATCATAGTAAACATCACCTCAGTAAACACCATCATAGTAAACATCAGTCCAGTAAACACCATCATAGTAAACATCAGCCCAGTAAACACCATCATAGTAAACATCAGCCAAGTAAACACCATCATAGTAAACATCCCCCCAGTAAACATCATCATAGTAAACATTCCCCCAGTAAACACCATCATAATAAACATCACCCCAGTAAACACCATCAAAGTAAACATCACCTCAGTAAACACCATCATAGTAAACATCAACTCAGTAAACACCATCATAGTAAACATCAGCCAAGTAAACACCATCATAGTAAACATCATCTCAGTAAACACCATCATAGTAAACATCAGCCCAGTAAACATCATCATAGTAAACATCAGCCCAGTAAACACCATCATAGTAAACATCACACCAGTGAACACCATCATAGTAAACATCCCCCAGTAAACACCCTCAAAGTAAACATCCCCCAGTAAACACCATCATAGTAAACATCACCCCAGTAAACACCATCATAGTAACCATCACCTCAGCAAACATCCCCCCAGTAACCATCACCCCAGTAAACATCCCCCCAGTAAACACCATCATTGTAGACCTCCCTGTGGCTGCCTGTAGTCAACTGCTTACCTTGGCCAGGGCCAGCTCGTGCTCCAGCACCTGGATGTCTGTGGTGGATGTGTTGGGATCCTGGGCCAGTCGGTTCTGAAACTTCTGTAGTGTCTCCATGAAGTTGTCCTGCTCTTCATCGAAGGCTGTCCATGCTCCGAACATCTTGTCCATGCGGTGTGTGCGTTCCTCTGAGGCAACAAGAATGTTCCCCCATCGACCTTGAATGACCTCAAGCTCTCGGGGCATGTCGGGCTGCTCCATTAGGTAACCGGCCTCCGTGTTCATCTTCTCAAACAGAGGCAGGTGCTCCTCCGCCTCTTGAAGGAAGCTCTGGTTACATAAAAAGATGAATAGGGATATCACAAACCTGTCCACGGAAGATTATTTGTGATCACCATCAGCTTCAACTAATTTACTTGCTCATACTGAGGCTGTATTTACCAAACCAGATAGTTACTAGATTGATTTGGCTTGTGCATAAATACATACTTCTGAATTTGAGTGAGTGAGTGAGTTGGATTTTACACCACTTATAGCAATATTCCAGCAATATCAAGGCGGGGACACCCAAAATGGGCTTCACACATTGTACCCATGTGGGGAATTGAACCTGGGCCATCGGTGTGTCCAGCGCTCGCTTAAACCACGAGGCTACCACACCGCCCCTTCTGAATATGAACTGAATTTATAAAACAGACCCCATGTAGAGAAGCAACGTATCTGACCTGGTGGACGTCGTACAGCTGGCGCGCCTCCTCCAGTGACCCACATTTGGGCGGCTCGGTGGCACAGTACTTCTCGGCCTTGACGATCCACGGCAACAGCTGCTCCTGCAGGCGCTGGTACTCCTGCCAGTGGATGACGTTGCCCGACAGGGTGGTACTGCGGTCCTTGGCCCGGGCACACAGACTCTCCCACTGCCGCCGCAGGGTTGTCAGCTTCGACTTCAGCGCAGCTGTCTCCCGCGATCGGAAGTTGTTGGACAGTCCGCGGGCATCCTTCTCCAGTGTCTCCAGGGTGATGTGGTTCTCATACACCTCTGACGCGATCGCCTGGAAGCAAGCGCTAGGTGATTACTTCAGTATAACCAACAAGGTAGAAAGGGGACACAATGAAAGAGTACATCTTGGGTTTATTTATAACAAGTAACCATGCGAATGTAAGTAACCACCCCACAGTAAGTAACCCTCCTAAATATATGTGTGTCTGGTAGTCCTTACCTCGGCCTTCGTCAGCTGCTGTTCCGGCAAGTCCCGCTTATTCTCGTACACTTCATTAAGTCTGGTCTCTTTCACATTCAGCCAATCACAGAAGTTGTTTAGTCTCTTGTAGTACTCTGACCACTTTGCAATGGTTGCCTCAAGGTCAGCCAATTTAGCATTGAGACGCACAGATACATTCTCCAAGCGTTTGTCAATATCCGACATCTCAGTTTTGAGTGGTCCACGACGTTCTCGACTAGCTCCTTCCACCAGGGCAGCGTTCAGCTTCTGCATCTCAGAGATGCTGCCCTTCAGCTTGTTGAGGGTCGAGTGGAGTTCCTGGGGACAAGCAACATTCTACTACATCTGATGCTCAGGGAGGGAGACATACTCCATACATGAAACACTGGTAGTCAGTCACTGAACACGAGACAACACACTTCATATAGATAATTCAGTTGTTTTATTTGACATTTTAGAATAATATTTGGATTGGTACAAATATATCCTACACTGTGACATACTGTTATTATTACTGCAACCATTAATTAATTACAAGAATAAGTTTCATCTACATAACATAATCTTAAATCTTGATAACTCTGATCTGTGTGTAATCAAGTTCTGACTGTGCTGAGCCGAAGCACCCACCTTCTTGACTAAGTAGTCACAATTAATGGATAACAACTTTTGGTATAGATCCTTATACCATCATCAGCCTCGCTTTTGGGCATAGATCCTTATACCATCATCAGCCTCGCTTTTCGGTATAGACCCTTATACCATCATCAGCCTCGCTTTTGGGCATAGATCCTTATACCATTATCAGCCTCGCTTTTCGGTATAGATCCTTATGCCATTGTCAGCCTCGCTTTTTGGTATAGATCCTTATGCTATTGTGAGCCTCGCTTTTGGGTATAGATCTTTATGCCATTGTCAGCCTCGTTTTTCAGTCTAGATCCTTATACCGAAACCTCTCCTTTACAGTTAACAAAGAAGTTGTCATCCATAAACTGTGTCGACTTTGTCATCAGTCAACTCTTAAGTAATGCCTATCAAAGAAAGCACCCACCTTCTTGGCCTGGAGGTCCTTCTGAGCCATGTCCTGGCCGGTGGCGATGGACGGCTTGTCCAGCTCAGCCTCTGCCCGCTTCAGGTACTGCATCAGCTGCCCCTTCTCACCCTCGTACTGCTCCCAGTCGTGCACCGTTTTCTGCAACCAACAACAACAGCCGTACAGGCAACAACACCAGTAGAAACAACAACAGCCAAACAGGCAACAACTCCTGTAGAAACAACAACAGCCAAACAGGCAACAACTCCTGTAGAAACAACAACACCAACAGCACCATGGTGTACAGCCAAGTCAGCCATGGTAACAAATGTTATATTTGGGATAACACTTTCTTAGTAAGGTTCAGATTCTTGTACTTTTTCAGGTTGAGTTCCACCCGGGATTCGAACCCATACTGCCAGAGTGAGGCACCTAATCGCCAGCACACAAAATCAGCGATGTAACCCACTCAGCCATCGAGGCTTCCACAAAAATGAAAGTCTGACAACTGGAAGTCTAGATCACATACTTTGTGTTCCTCTCTGACCATTGTGTATATTCCCACGGCTCCCATGGCTGAAAGCTATGAACACACAATGCCATTTTAGAAAGCAGTCAAATGTAACAACTGTCACATTTGGGATAACTTTCTCAGGCAACAACACTCGTAGAAACAACAACAGTGGTACAGGCAACAACACTCGAAGAAACAACAACAGCATTACGGTACAGCCAAGTCAGCCATTGTCAGCCATTAACTGCCATTAACAGTTGATAGTGTATCACAGGAAAGCACTCAATCATTATGACGGCCTCATATGCTGCACAGCTTGAGAAACTAAATATTAGAATTCTTACAAGAGAATCATTACATATAATAGTCTAAGCTTATCCAAGTCCAGCAATGTCCCGACATATCCCTCTTGGCCTTGTGTGACCTTCCGGTGTCATTGCCAGTGTGTTGCACCATCGGCAAGGCAGCTATTTATGTCAGGAGCAATTGTACCGAAGGATAATTTTCCCCCATTCAGGTAGCTTCCTTAACCCACAGCATCCTATTGCCTGTTGTAGATGTTAGCATTGCAGTCATCATGCACTGGAAGTTGGCTATCTGAGTGGGGCCCTGATCTGCCTGATGCTACTCAAACACTGCGACTCCATGTAAGGGAGATAATCCCTGCCAGTCAAGATCGTTGGTGATTACAGCAGATCAATAACTTCACCTGTAGCACCAGGGTGGGGAGGAGGGGGGATGCCAGGTAAGGATGCATCGTTAATGTATCACATGGACAGTCTGGACTTATCAGGAGTGAGACAATACCTATACAGTTCAGTACCTGTAGTTTGGTTAGTTTGGCTCGTGCTAGTTCATTTGTGTCTTTCCATTTCCGTGAGAGGTCGTCCACAGTCTTGCTGACGAAGGACGGTGCATTACGCTCCCTCTGCAGCCTCTTCCCAGCCTCAATGTCGGCGTTGATGTTGGGAGCCTCAGCCTCTAGTCGACTCATGATAGACTGAAACAGACAACCCAGGTGAGAGTACCACTCTTACACGTAGACATCACTGCCACCTCGTCTACAACATCAACTACATCGTCTACAACATCAACTACATACGTCACAAAACAACATGCAGGTAAAATACAGAACAAAACAACAGCCACTTATCTTACAAAAATTACAAATATAGAAAATTAATTTCTAAATCTCTCGTAATATATTATTATGCTTGGATCTAACATATTTTCTCATTTCTGCTTGGCTACATATTTGGTGTTGACAATCCTGATTGTAAAGTACGGCAGGACTGGTGACACGTCTGATGGCTGGGTTAGGGTTCAGTAGCGCCCTTGTCAAGCCATCATATCAGCAAAGGAAACAATGTAGACAGGAAGGATAGGACTAAACTTAAATCCTTGAAGGGATGGCTTTTCTAGAAAACATAGTAATTATTATAATAAAATTTTATGAAATTTTAGGACAGGTGACATACATAAAAAATCCCTGATGTTAAGATACAATGAGTTAATGAGAGATCACTTTCATAATGACCAAATCACTGAAATTTGAAGATAAAGGGAAATGCCTGTTTTGTCCAGTTGCTGAACTAAGTGGTCATGATATGTTTAACTATCAATTACGCCTGTGCTAATATGTAGAAGTGTGCTGCTCTGTTGGCTCCTTCATTCTGCATGTGTGTCCAGCTCGTGGTGAAAAGACACGTCAATAAATCAATAACCACATCTGACTTTATTCAGAAAAAATAAACATATTAAAATACCTATCTAAGAGAGTTACACAACTTCAAAAAAGACCAGCTGATATGTATAATGGTTGATATGGAGGCCATGTGCCTCTCTACAGCAGCCACATCCCTGTGGGTGATATGATGGCTACATCACTCATAGCAGACTGTCCCATGTGGCCTGTACTATTAATCATGATGGTGAATATGATGGAATTAAGATTAATGAACAAGCAACTGCAGACATCACAGGAGTTATTCCCAGTCGTATCCCACCCCCACGCTAACACGAGACGGATGTCAGACAGCTATACCGCGGCCCCGGACGGCCAAGCAACACAAGAAGGAATAAGTAAAGGTGGACGGCTCACATGGTTACAGTAACGCACTCAGGTTAAGTAGCCAGAACTTACCAGGATGCCCACGCCGCGACCCTGGGTAGAGAAGCAGAGTCATCATTGGTGGCAGTCGGGCATGAGGGGTGAGGTGGAGGAGGGGTGAGGGTGGAGGAGGGGTGGGGGTGGAGGAGGGATGGGGGTGGAGGAGGGGTGAGGGTGGAGGAGGGATGGGGGTGGAGGAGGGATGGGGGTGGAGGAGGGGTGAGGGTGGAGGAGGGATGGGGGTGGAGGAGGGGTGAGGGTGGAGGAGGGGTGAGGGTGGAGGAGGGATGGGGGTGGAGGAGGGGTGAGGGTGGAGGAGGGGTGGGGGGTATAGAAAGGGTGGGGACAGTGGAGGATTGAGGGTGGAGGAGGGGTGAGGGTGGAGGAGGAGTGAGGGTGGAGGAGGAGTGAGGGTGGAGGAAGAATGGGGGTGGAGAAGGGGTGGGGTTGAAGGGGGGGTGTGGGTGAAGAAGGGTCGGGAGTGAAGGCAGGGCTGGGGTGGAAGAGAAGTGAGGGTGAAGGCAGGGTGGGGGTGGAGGAGGGGTGGGGGTGAAGGCAGGGTGGGGGTGGAGGAGAAGTGAGAGTGGAGGTGGGGTGGGGGTGGAGGAGGGGATGGGGGTGGAGGAGAAGTGAGGGTGGAGGAGGGTTTGGGGTGGAGGAAGGGTGTGGGTGAGGAGAGGTGTAATTATGGGGTATGGGGATGGTGTGTGCGTGTGGAACGTGGGGACAGTTGACATGGGAGGTGTAGATGATGTCAGAAAGACACATTCAGAGTTTCACTCCGTACACAGGTAGTTCTTAACTCAGGGTATTTCAGGAAGGATATTTACAAACCACAAGTCATATGGCCAATGATATGTAGCCATGGTTGTGTATGTTGTCATGGTGACGGGACACAGACAAGCCATGCTGTTACAGAGACTATCAGTGAGACCTGCACAACACACGACCCCATCTCACCTCATGTTCCTGCAGGTACGCCCGAGCGTCGTCCAGACTGTCTATAGCTGGATGCTCCATCACCTGCCTCTGAGTCTCGTCAAGCCAGTTGGCACGGCGCTCCAAGTTGTCTCGGTACTCAAAGCTCTTCGTGAACACGGAGGACTTCTCTGACGTGTTCTTCATGCCGGAGTCCAGCTTCCCAAACTTGTCCATGATTTCCCTCAGCCGACTCTTCTCCTTGCTGCCATCAGCACCTGGTTCGTCCTTCAGCAGTTGGTCAAGGTTCTCAGACAGCCACTTGGCGTCATCCATGTACTTGCTCTTGTTCCGCATCGCTTTCTGCATCCACAAGAAGACATGGGGAATATGGCACAACACAATAGGTGACGGCATATAACAACATCTGTGTAATCTGGATAAGCATATAACAACACCTGTGTAATCTGGATTAGCATATAACAACACCTGTGTAATCTGGATTGGCATATAACAACATCTGTGTAATCTGGATTAGCATATAACAACACCTGTGTAATCTGGATTAGCATATAACAACACCTGTGTAATCTGGATTGGCATATAACAACACCTGTGTAATCTGGATTAGCATATAACAACACCTGTGTAATCTGGATTGGCATATAACAACATCTGTGTATTCTGGATTGGCATATAACAACACCTGTGTATTCTGGATTGGCATATAACAACACCTGTGTATTCTGGATTGGCATATAACAACACCTGTGTATTCTGCATTGGCATATAACAACATCTGTGTATTCTGGATTGGCATATAACAACACCTGTGTAATCTGGATTAGCATATAACAACAACTGTGTAATCTGGATTGGCATATAACAACATCTGTGTATTCTGGATTGGCATATAACAACACCTGTGTATTCTGGATTGGCATATAACAACACCTGTGTAATCTGGATTGGCATATAACAACACCTGTGTAATCTGGATTAGCATATAACAACACCTGTGTAATCTGGATTGGCATATAACAACACCTGTGTAATCTGGATTAGCATATAACAACACCTGTGTAATCTGGATTGGCATATAACAACATCTGTGTATTCTGGATTGGCATATAACAACACCTGTGTATTCTGGATTGGCATATAACAACACCTGTGTATTCTGGATTGGCATATAACAACACCTGTGTATTCTGGATTGGCATATAACAACACCTGTGTATTCTGGATTGGCATATAACAACATCTGTGTATTCTGGATTGGCATATAACAACACCTGTGTAATCTGGATTGGCATATAACAACACCTGTGTAATCTGGATTGGCATATAACAACATGTGTGTATTCTGGATTGGCATATAACAACACCTGTGTATTCTGGATTGGCATATAACAACACTTGCGTAATCTGGATATGAAATTGAAATGACATCCTAATGACATGGACGAGTGACATAGGATGTGAATAGGCCTCTTTATGTATCTAGTCATCAAACGTATTACCAAAGCGAGATAAACATTGATGGGGATTCCATTTATGTTGGTTCTTGAATAAGTTATTATTATTTCTATTTACAGCTGGCTGTCACCTTCATAGGCAAGGCCAGGAAATCACTAATAGGGATAGGCAACTAGAACATGAAGTACAAGTTACACCGTAGAGGAGGAGGGGATGAAGGGTGGGGTAGAGGCAGAGGTAGGGAGGGATGGGGAAGGGAGGGACAGGGAAGTTCCAGGGATGAGGTAGGGGCAGTTCCAGGGGTGAGGTAGGGGCAGTTCCAGGGGTGAGGTAGGGGCAGTTCCAGGGGTGAGGTAGGCTCAGTTCCAGGGGTGAGGTAGGGGCAGTTCCAGGGGTGAGGTAGGGGCAGTTCCAGGGGTGAGGTAGGGGCAGTTCCAGGGATGAGGTAGGGGCAGTTCCAGGGGTGAGGTAGGGGCAGTTCCAGGGGTGAGGTAGGGGCAGTTCCAGGGGTGAGGTAGGGGCAGTTCCAGGGATGAGGTAGGGGCAGTTCCAGGGGTGAGGTAGGCTCAGTTCCAGGGGTGAGGTAGGGGCAGTTCCAGGGATGAGGTAGGGGCAGTTCCAGGGGTGAGGTAGGGGCAGTTCCAGGGGTGAGGTAGGGGCAGTTCCAGGGATGAGGTAGGGGCAGTTCCAGGGGTGAGGTAGGCTCAGTTCCAGGGGTGAGGTAGGGGCAGTTCCAGGGGTGAGGTAGGGGCAGTTCCAGGGGTGAGGTAGGGGTAGTTCCAGGGATGAGGTAGGGCAGTTCCAGGGGTGAGGTAGGGGCAGTTCCAGGGGTGAGGTAGGGGCAGTTCCAGGGATGAGGTAGGGGCAGTTCCAGGGGTGAGGTAGGGGCAGTGGTGATGGGGTGGGGTACTGAGGCACAATGAGGGGCGAGGTAGAATCAGGGTCAGGGCTGAGGTAGAATCAGGGTCAGGGCTGGGGTAGAAACAGGGTCATGGGTGGGGTAGAAACAGGGTCAGGGGTGAGGTAGAAACAGGGCCAGGGTGAGGTAGAATCGGGCAGGGGTGAGATAGAATCAGGGCCAGGGTGAGATGGAATCAGGGGTAGGGTGAGGTTGAATAAGGGGCAAGCGGTGAGGCAGAACCAGGGGCAGGGGTGAGGTAGAACCAGGGCCAGGGTGAGGTAGAATCAGGGGCAGGGGTGAGGTAGGGGCAGGGGTGAGGTACAATAAGGGACAGGTGTGAGGGATCAAAGGTGGGGCAGGGGTGAGGGAGAAAAAGGGGGCAGGGGTGAGGTAGGAGAGCAGGGGTGAGGTTGGAGTGGGTGAGGTTGGAGTGGGTGAGGTTGGAGTGGGTGAGGTTGGAGTGGGTGAGGTAGGAGCAGGTGTGAGGTAGGAGAGGGGTGAGGTAGAGGGAGGGGTGAGTTAGGAATGGATGTTGGGGGGACATGAATAGGGGGAAGGAAAGGAAGTCTAAACTGTCACATTAGAAAATGACACCAAATATAGTGATGAAGTTTTATAACAATGGTAGGAGGTGGTTTCTATGTCTAAGTCTACACACAGATTACCTTGAACTATTCCCAGCAGGAGCAAGACAACACAGTGTAAAGTTTTATAACACACCTGATGTAAAGCTTTATAACGCACCTGATGTATAGCTTTATAATAAACCTGATGTATAGCTTTGTAACGCACTTGATGTATAGCTTTATAACACACCTGATGTATAGCTTTATAACACCTGATGTATAGCTTTATAACACACCTGATGTAAAGCTTTATAATGCACCTGATGTACGGCTTTATAACACACCTGATATATAGCATTATAACACACCTGGTGCATACCTCCATAATGCACCTGATGTACTTTATAACAGACCTGATATATAGTTTTATAACACCTGATGCATAAAGTATGCACTCATGGCCTAACAAACATTCACAGGCATAAACATTGACTGACAAAATGGCTTCAGAAACTGGTGCCATTTAACTCTGTGTGGACTATTTAATTTCAACACAGCTTTTCTCCAGCCTTCCAAATCCAACTTCTGGACACTTCTGGACACCAAATACGTAAGCTCAGCAAATCATCCACTCAACCACAAGCATAGCTCTGAACCCCCAGCCCTCATCTACCCACACTGCGTACATCCATACACCCCCATACCCCCCACCTGGGTACTACCCCCCCACTACCCTCAGAAGCGCGCCCCAGGCACCCACCTGGAACTGGGCCAGCATGTCCTTGTACTCGTCACTGGTCAGGTCCTCCTTCTGCATCTCCTTCATCAGCCCTTCCACGTCCATGATCCAGCGACTCACTTCCCCCAACCTGTCACAGCCAAGCAAGCAGTGTATGGAACATCTGTATGACACACACATTTGTTTGTTTGTTGTTTAATGCCACACTCACCAATATTCCACTTAGCTGACGGCGGTCTGAAAATAGTCTGCACCAGACAATCCAGTGATTGACATCATGTACATCAATCTACGCAGTTGGGATACGATGACATGCAACAACCAAGTCAGACCACCTGATCCCGTAAGTCGCCTCTTACGACAAGCAAAGTCGCATGTTACTGCAAGCATGAGTTGGTGAAGGCTTCTAATGGAATGTTCACAGGTCATCACAAAGAGACAAAACACAGCAGGTATCACCTCTCTCTAACACACATCACACTCACTTTGTGTTGTAGTCCTTCCATCGCTGCGGGAGCTGCTTCAGCTGCTCGTGGGTGGTGTCGGAGATGGAGTGGAGACGTTTCCACCGCTGCAGGTGGTCGTCATACCGGTTCCGCAAGCTGCGTTCATCCTGGGACAGCTCCAGCAGGTGCTTGGACAAGGAGTCCATGCTGCCCAGGCACTTCTCACAGGTGGGGACCAGGTCACTCTCATGGAACAGTTGCTGCACACAACAGACACAGTTAGTATAGTGCCACCTTATATTTACTGCACACCCCTGGGTTATCTATACTAATGTGCTTAAGACCTACCCTGTCCCTATACCCTTGGGTTATCTATACTAATGTGCTTAAGATCTACCCTGTCCCTATACCCTGGGGTTATCTATACTAATGTGCTTAAGACCTACCCTGTCCCTATACCCTTGGGTTATCTATACTAATGTGCTTAAGACTCACTCTGTGTTTCAGCAAGGCGGCCTTCACATCCTCATTCCGAGCAAGCTGTTCCTGGTGGTGTTTGATGGATTTCTCCGCCGATGTCACATTCTGTAGAAATTTGTCTTCTGGGACTGCAAACTCCAGCTTGAGGAGTTTAATTGGTGCATGGTAGTGTATATTCTGAAAACAGAAAAAAAGTTACTTTTATGTGTTCATTTTATCAAACATCTTTGACAACTACATAAAAACAGAACTAGACTTGGTACACTGGCCTCTAAGATCAATGACAAGACAATTCCATACAAAGATAAAGAAATTCAATAAGAGCACTGCAAAAACCCCAAAAGGAAGGCTTTCAACCCTGCCTATTGTCCACACATACCATTCCTTCCTCCATCCCTGACATTCTTTCCTCCACCCCTGATATTCCTTTCTCCACCCATGACATTCTTTGCTCAACCCAACATTCTTTCCTCAACCCCTGACATTCTTTCCTCCACCCCTGACATTCTTTCCTCCACCCTTGACATTCTTTCCTCCACCCCTTACATTCCTTTCTCCACCCAATGACATTCTTTCTTCCAACCCTGACATTCCTTCCTCCACCCTTGACATTCTTTCCTCCACCCGACATTCCTTTCCTCAACCTGACATTCTTTCCTCTAAACCTTGCCATTCCTTCCTCCGACCCTGACAATCCTTCCTCCACCCGACATTCTTTCCTCCAACCTTGACATTCCTTCCTCCGACCCTGACATTCCTTCCTCCACCCCTGACATTCTTTCCTCCACCCCTGACATTACTTCCTCCGACCATGTTGAGGAAGGAATGTCAAGGGTGGAGAAAGGAATATCAGATTCCTTCCTCCACCCCTTACATTCCTTCCTCAACTCATGACATTCTTTCCTCAACCCCTGACATTCTTTCCTCCATCCCTGACATTCTTTCCTCCACCCCTGACATTCCTTCCTCCACCCCATAACATTCCTTCTTCCATCCAATAACATTCCTTTCTCCACCCCTGATATTTCTTCCTCAAAACCATGACATTCCTTCCTCCAACCCTGTCATTTCTTCCTCCAAACCATCACATTCCTTTCTCCACCCCATGACATTCATTTCTCAATCCCTTGACATTCCTTTCTCCACAATCCCTTGACATGACTTCCTCGACCTCACCTTCCATCGGTTCTCTATTGCCGTCATCTCCTTCTTGAGCCCTGCCTTGTCCTGTTCCTCCAACTGAACAAGGATCTCCTCCCCTACACTCAGATAGTCCAGCAGCATCTTCTGGTTTACTCTGTCAAAGAACAGTTTGTGTTTGCGGATGAGACTCTCAGGGTCATCCTCTTTATCTTCTAACACAGTCTCTGCATTGTCCATCCACTCAGACAATGCATTCTGCTTCTGCTGAAGTAAGCGCCACAATCGTGCAAGATTCTCAAGACGCTTCTCCCAATTTTTGGCAGATGTGACGCAGTTCTGGAATCTCATATTTACTGACTTCATCAGTTCATCTGCTGGAGTGAAGTCCACTGACTTCAGCTTACCCTTGGCACTGTTCACTTTCTGATAGACTTTGTTCTTGCTTTCAAGAATTGATTTTTGGTAGGTGATCTCAGAGAAATAGGCCTTGTGCCTCTCGAGTCTGGCTTCAGTTGCCTCCCCTGACCCATCCAGTCTGTGAGTCTGTAGGAGTTGTTCCCCCTGCTCCAGCCAGCGGCCCAGATCAGCGATGCCGGTCTCCAGGGACTCCACGTTGGGCAGGATGGCCTTGAGTGCTTTGCTCCGGTCAGGCAACTCCTTCCTCAGCTTCAGGATGACCTCCTTATGATCATTAAGCGTCTTCAACATGTCATTGACAACATCGGAGGAGCTGTCCTTCACCAAGGACTGCGCTGTCTTCGTTGTAGTTTTGAACACAGCCTCGATCTCCGACACTTGGGAGCCAAGCACCTGCAACATAAAACCAAGCTTTCTATGAGGGAAATAATCAAGAACTGACTGCTGAAGTCAAACTGAAATCATTCTCTCAGAGTAGATGAAAAAAATCATTCTGATAATTAGATAAGGTGAATTAATTTGTTCTCAGGGTGCAAACAAACATCCTATTCCTGGTAGGATGAAGACTGGTGCCTTACATACATCAAGCCTATGAAGGTAATGACATTGGGAGAGTCCGTCACCGAGTCAGTAAGTCAGCCGCTTTGACCAGCTTGTCAGTTCTACCTCTGTCAGCTGGGAGGGAAGAGGAGCTACTCACATCCAGCTGCTGCAAGTGTTCTTTCAGGGCAGCATGAACACAGGGAATCTGGGGCCCCACTATTTCATCCGTGGTCTGCAACCAGCCCTCGATATGTCGGATGCCCTCTGAGTATTCGTCGCGAGCCCGGCCAATAACCTCCACCTGCTGGAAGTTGGTGAAGCCATCGGTGAGCTCCGTGTAGCGCCGGTTCAGCAGGGCCAGTGTCTGCCTCACCTCCTCCGCCACCTCCGGCCGGGTGGTCTCCATCAGGTAGTCCCCGCTCCGGTTCAGTGTCCGGTGCCTGTCCTCATACTCAGCCAGGTCCTCAAAGTAGAGCTGCAACATTCAGGAAAGTGAGTTTACTTGCTTGCTGCTTAACACCATAATCAGCAATATTACAGCAATATGAAATCAGGGTCAAAGAAAACAGAAAGTCACTGAGCCTGACCATCCAATCCACTTAGTCACCTCTTACAACCAGCAAGTCAGCAATTTTCTGTAGTCTGGACCAGACAATACAGTGATTCATAACATGAGTTATCCACCAATTGTGACAGAATCTGGACAGAAGTGCACCCTGACCTGTTTCTCCTCCGGTGACCTCTGCATGACCTTCTCCCCCTCGGTCAGCCACACGGTCAGCACCTCCACACTGCTGTTGTAGGACTTCCAGGAGTCCAGGAGTTGACCGAGGCTCTGCCCAACACTGCGGATCTCCCCTGATGTCTTCTGCCAACGTCCAGTCACATCGCCAAGGAATCTCGTCAAGTCATTCATTTCAATAGGGTCTGGAATGAGATGTACATGCAACGTTAATTCATAAACTTCCCAAATCAGCAGGAGAGTAAGAGAGTGGCTCACTGCCATTTGGACCGTTAGTTCTTGGTGTCAGGGTGAAACAAAAGGAACAACTGAACAGGGATAGAGATAGAAGAGTGAGTGAGTGAGTGAGTGAGTGAGTGAGTGAGTGAGTGAGTGAGTGAGTGAGTGAGTGAGTGAGTGAGTGAGTGAGTGAGTGAGTGAGTGAGTGAGTGAGTGAGTGAGTGAGTGAGTGAGTGAGTACAGTTTTACACCTCTTTTAGCAATATTCAAGCAATATCACGGCGAGGGACACCAGAAATGGGCTTCATATATTGTACCCATATGGGGAATCGAACCAAGATCTTTGGCGTGATGATCGAACGCTTTGACCACTAGGCTACCCCACCGCCCCGATAGACATTAAAGAAACCCATGAGGTGTGGAGGTAGGGACCAGCACCAGGGCTGTGGGCACAACAAGGGCTGTGGGCACAACAAGGGCTGTGGGCACAACAAGGGCTGTGGACACAACAAGGGCTGTGGGCACAACAAGGGCTGTGGACACAACAAGGGCTGTGAGCACAACAATTGCTGTGGGCACATCAAGGGCTGTGGGCACAACAAGGGCTGTGGGCACAACAAGGGCTGTGGGCACAACAAGGGCTGTGGGCACATCAAGGGCTGTGGGCACAACAAGGGCTGTGGACACAACAAGGGCTGTGAGTACAACAATTGCTGTGGGCACATCAAGGGCTGTGGGCACATCAAGGGCTGTGGGCACAACAAGGGCTGTGGGCACAACAAGGGCTGTGGGTACATCAAGGGCTGTGGGCACAACAAGGGCGGACCAGTCCTCTGCAACTAACCTCCACCATTGTTCTTGTAGGCCTCTGCCTTCTTCTTGGTATCATCATGTGTCTTCTTGTAGTTGTCAAACAGTTGCCCATTCACAACAAAATCCTGCAAAGGAAATCAAAATCATACAATTTTGTTTGTTCAGAAAATTTGATGGAGAATTATCTTTCTCCACTGCTGACCGCCCAATATAGGAAGAATGTTTTAATCTGACAGAAACATAGCATCACTGACTTAATCTGATGCACAAGGACAAACTCTCTATATCACTGACCTGGTAGTCTTCTCCCATGGCTTCTACCTCCTCAAGGCGGCCATATTGGACTGTCCACAGTGCTGCCTTCTCCTCGGCTGCCAGCAAGTATGCCAGTAGGAGATACCGCACTTCCAAGTACTCCAAGCGACACTGTCGTCTTGGCGCATGTTTCACCACTTGCTCCATCCGCTTATGAAGTAAGTCCATATGGGGCGGGTGCAGAACCTCACCCTCATAGCGCCCTGCTTTCTTAATTTGTTGGAAGAACTGTTTCTGTGATTCCAAGTCTTTAAAAAATACTTTGTGTTCACCTAACAAGTTTCTCATCTGCACAGCCATCTCCTCCGCCTCATCCACCTGCTGCTCCCGCTTCTCCAGCAGCCGCTCGGCGTTGTACAGCCACTGACCGAACTGACCGAGTCGGCCTGGCAAACTCAAGTCCAACTTCAGCAGCCAGCGCTGGGTCAAGTCCTCTGCCTCACGCCACTTGGTGTCCAGCTTCTGCCAGTCTGACATGCTCAACTTGGCAGCTTTCCCAGACAACACTTTCTCCCCAATCTTCCGGTAAACTGGCTCTCGCTTGTCCATCTCGGCTTTGAATAACAAATAATCCTGAAACAATATGAGAAACAGAATCAAATATGTGGCTCTCAACAACCAGTCAACTCACAAACTTTAAAGTGTCACCTTCAACAAACTTGCTGCTATGCTTAAAAGGAGCAAGTTATTGAGGAGTTCTTACTGTCAAACTTATGTGGGAAGCCAGCTTGTGGCCTACCTTGAGTTCCGCCTGCCTGTCTGTGACGGGCTGTTTGGCTGCTTCCAGTGTGTCCTTGGCGTCCTGGTTCAGCCAGTTCATCAGGGCGCTGTAGGCCTGCATCTCCTGGTCCGCTGTGTCAAGCTTCAGACTTGGAACACCCTGGAACTGGAACATGCTCGGGACATGAAGCAAGCTGGCTGATGTAGAGGACACTATCTGATTCTTCCCACACATATCTCCGGCAGTATGCACGTAACTATCAGGTTTATGTCTGTTTTGTTTATCAATAGTACAATGGGAATCATCCATATAAGTAGCCATATTTTCACTTTCAGCGGGCTTCTAAACAGTGGGCTTCTAAACAGCGGGCTTCTAAACAGCGGGCTTCTAAACAGCGGGCTTCAGGCAAGAGCTGAAGAAACTGTTGACAAGAACTGTGACAGCGAGTTTCTAATGATCTTTCTTGGAGAAACTGAGTTAACAAAACTTTTGACCATGTTGACAGCCGTTAATTTGTTTTATACTTTTTTATATTTTTGTTTAATAAGGCATAACGATGTAGACAGCTACTCACATTGGCCTCGCCAGCCTCGGGGTATGCCTTGAGGATGGTGGCGACATACGTCATCAAAGACTTCTCGTCTGGCTTCTCCACATCAACATCTAAAACAATCATTGATATATTATTCATAGGGGCAAGGATATCATTGCAATAATTTTCAGCAATTCTCAATGAGATTAATCAAAGATTACAATATACAGAATAACCTACTCGAAAATCAGAATTACAGATTATATCTCATGTGAGGGTTTTGTGTTACTACAGGAGTCTTGTGTTACTACAGGAGTCTTGTGTTACTACAGGAGTCTTGTGTTACTACAGGAGTCTTGTGTTACTGCAGTATTCTTGGGTTACTACAGGAGTCTTGTGTCACTACAGGAGTCTTGTGTCACTACAGGAGTCTTGTGTCACTACAGGAGTCTTGTGTCACTACAGGAGTCTTGTGTCACTACAGGAGTCTTGTGTTACTAAAGGAGTCTTGTGTTACTACAGGAGTCTTGTGTTACTACAGGAGTCTTGTGTTACTGCAGTATTCTTGTGTTACTACAGGAGTCTTGTGTCACTACAGGAGTCTTGTGTTACTGCAGTATTCTTGTGTTACTACAGGAGTCTTGTGTTACTGCAGTATTCTTGTGTTACTACAGGAGTCTTGTGTCACTACAGGAGTCTTGTGTTAATACAGGAGTCTTGTGTTACTACAGGAGTCTTGTGTTACTACAGATGTCTTGTGACACTACAGGAGTCTTTTGTTACTAAAGGAGACTCGTGTTACTACAGAAGTCTTGTGTCACGACGAGCGTCTCACCTTCAGGGTCAAGCAGCCGGGGGATGCCTAGCTCATTCTCGGCCGTGGAGAAGGCATGCTCCAGGTTAACACGGGCGTTCTGCTTGCGGATCTCCTCCATGTCCACCAGGTCGGGGCGGATGTTGTGGATCATCGCGTTGAAGGCCACTCCATCTCGCCAACTCTTCCCGAAGTCGGTGACTTTCAGACCATATTTCCTGCAATGATCATACAGACACAGACCCCGTCATCCTCATACCTCACAACACAGAGGAACCCCCCAACACATACCATTCCACCAATCAGGATGTAGAATTCCCTGGCAGAAAGTTCTTCGCTCACTGCAGACCCAACTTTATTATTAAAGGAAGACTGACTCCCATCAATGATTGTATGTGCCTCATAGCTACTGACTAATGCTCCTAAATGTTGCAATTTCTATCTGATCCAAACTGCACTTCCGATTACCCTATGCTGATCATCACTGAGATGAGTTTTTGCATCCACTCACTTGGCCAGCACGCTGTCCGCCCACGCCAGCAGGCTCTGCTTTGGCAGTGTAGGCTTCTTCTTTTTGGACGGCCCATCTCCGTCCATGTCTCCCATATTTGGCACATTAGACATTGTCTCTTCAATCTGCATAGACATGAACACATGATCTGAGGTGTTACATAACAGACGTCTCTATTACACTTCAAAATTCTACCATATCTAATGTAGGAAAGTTACTTAACAGCTTCATCAGAGGAAGTCAGGTTGATTTCAAATTATCACAGGAGCTTGCAGTTATACTCAGTAGCACATTGGCGTTACAGTGTAGGGTTACCATGGTTACATGATAAAACCCCTGGTTTGTGTGTGCACGTGAGTGCTTGTTTAATTTTTTGTCACTTAACGTCACACTCAGCAATGTTCCAGCTATATGACAGAGGCCTGTAAATGATCAAGTCTGGGCAAAACAATCCAGGGTTTGATATTGTGAGGATCGATCCACGCCACTGGCAAACGATGGCAAGCTATCAACAATGTCACAAAGCCAGCCCACCCGATCACTTGGTAGACCCTCACAACCAGCAAAGGTTGCAGGGCATCACTTTATAATCCCAGACTCTCCGCAAAGAACCACTCCGATCCCAGACTCCCCACGGGGAACCACTCCGATCCCAGACTCGCCACAAGGGACCACTCCGATCCAAGACTTTCCACACAGAACCACTCCGATCCCAGACTCCCCACAGGGGACCACTCAGATCCCAGACTCGCCACAAGGGACCACTCAGATCCCAGACTCTCCACACGGAACCACTCCAATCCCAGACTACCCATGGGGGACCACTCCGATCCCAGACTCCCCACGGGGAACCACTCCGGTCCCAGACTCCCCACGGGGAACCACTCCGATCCCAGACTCGCCACAAGGGACCACTCCGATCCAAGACTTTCCACACAGAACCACTCCGATCCCAGACTCGCCACAAGGGACCACTCCGATCCCAGACTCCCCACACAGAACCACTCCGATCCCAGACTCCCCACAGGGGACCACTCAGATCCCAGACTCCCCACAAGGGACCACTCCGATCCCAGACACGCCACAAGGGACCACTCCGATCCCAGACACGCCACAAGGGACCACTCCGATCCCAGACTCCCCACGGGTAACCACTCCGATCCCAGAATCCCCACGGGGGACCACTCCGATCCCAGACTCGCCACAAGGGACAACTCCGATCGCAGACTCTCCACACGGAACCACTCCAATCCCAGACTACCCATGGGGGACCACTCCGATCCCAGACTCGCCACAAGGGACCACTCCGATCCCAGACTCGCCACAAGGGACCACTCCGATCCCAGACTCTCCACATGGAACCACTCCAATCCCAGACTACCCATGGGGGACCACTCTGATTCCAGACTCGCCACAGGGAACCACTCCGATTCCCAGACTCCCAAATGGGGACCACTCCGATCCCAGACTCCCCACAGGGGACCACTCCGACCCAGGTCTCCCCACGGGGAACCACTCCGATCCCAGACTCCCCACGGGGGACCACTTCGATCCCAGACTCCCCACGTGGGCCCACTCTGATCCCAGACTGCCAATGGGGGCCACTCTGATCCCAGACTGCCCACGGGGGCCACTCCAATACCAGATTCCCCACAGGGGCCGCTCCGATCCCACACTCCCCACAGGGGACACTCCGATACCAGACTCCCCACAGGGACCATTAATATCCCAGACTCCCCACGGGGGACCACTACTATCCCAGACTCCCCACGGGGAAACACTACTATCCCAGACTCCCCACGGGGAACCACTCCTATCCCAGACTCCCCACGGGGAACCACTCCTATCCAAGACTCCCCATGGGGGCCACTCCAATACCAGATTCCCCACAGGGGCCACTCCGATCCCAGACTCCCCACAGGGGACACTCCGATATCAGACTCCCCACAGGGACCACTCCTATCCCAGACTCCCCACGGTGAACCACTCCTATCACAGACTCCCCACGGGGAACCACTCCTATCCCAGACTCCCCACGGGGGACCGCTTCGATCACAGACTCCCCACGGGTGACCACTACTATCACAGACTCCCCACGGGGGACCACTTCTATCACAGACTCCCCACGGGGGACCACTACTATCACAGACTCCCCACGGGGGACACTACTATCACAGACTCCCCACGGGGGACACTTCTATCACAGACTCCCCACGGGGACCACTACTATCACAGACTCCCCACGGGGGACCACTTCTATCACAGACTCCCCACGGGGGACCACTACTATCACAGACTCCCCACGGGGGACACTACTATCACAGACTCCCCACGGGGGACACTTCTATCACAGACTCCCCACGGGGACCACTTCTATCACAGACTCCCCACGGGGGACACTTCTATCACAGACTCCCCACGGGGACCACTACTATCACAGACTCCCCACGGGGGACCACTACTATCACAGACTCCCCACGGGAGACCACTTCTATCACAGACTCCCCACGGGGTACCACTTCTATCACAGACTCCCCACGGGGGACCACTACTATCACAGACTCCCCATGGGGGACCACTTCTATCACAGACTCCCAACGGGGGACACTACTATCACAGACTCCCCACGGGGGACCACTTTTATCACAGACTCCCCAGGGGGGACCACTACTATCACAGACTCCCCATGGGGGACCACTACTATCACAGACTCCCCACGGGGGCCACTAATATCACAGACTCCCCACGGGGGCCACTACTATCACAGACTCCCCACGGGGGACCACTTCTATCACAGACTCCCCACGGGGGACCACTTCTATCACAGACTCCCCATGGGGGCCACTACTATCACAGACTCCCCATGGGGGCCACTACTATCACAGACTCCCCACGGGGGACCACTTATATAACAGACTCCCCACGGGGGACCACTACTATCACAGACTCCCCACGGGGGACCACTACGATCACAGACTCCCCACGGGGGACCACTACTATCACAGACTCCCCACGGGGGACCACTTCTATCACAGACTCCCCACGGGGGACCACTTCTATCACAGACTCCCCACGGGGGACCACTTCTATCACAGACTCCCCACGGGGGCCACTACTATCACAGACTCCCCACGGGGGACCACTACTATCACAGACTCCCCACGGGGGACCACTACTATCACAGACTCCCCACGGGGGACCACTTCTATCACAGACTCCCCACGGGGGACCACTTCTATCACCGACTCCCCACAGGGGACACTGACCTGGAAGTACAGGATGATGGTCCAGATGAGACCCAGGACAATGGAAGGCTTCCCATCTGCGATGTCAGTGGAGTTGATGTTGACCATTTTGATCTGATGAGAAAAGGTAAATACAGGATCAGTGAGCCTCATCTCCAATACATATTGTGACATTCAATCACTCACACTCAGGTCGAAGACGTATCTTCCAATGACATTGTATTGTTTCACGAAAGTAACAAATAGGCATGAAAACAAGTAGATATGTTGTCATGGAAACAGCAACTCACATTTTTCTTCGTGAGGAATGATAATGCTGTGGAAATGTTGCTGAGATGATGTGGACGCTTGAGTCGGGGACCTTTCTCCATTGGCTGGAACAGAAGCAGATGTATGTACAGGACACTGGTTGCCATAGATACATCACACGTACAAAGCACTGGCTGCCATGGAAACGTCACATATACAAGGCACTGGTTGTCACAGATACATCGCATATACAGGGCACTGATTGCCATAGATACATCACACACATGGACACTGGTTGCCATAGATACATCACCACAGGAAAATGGCTGTCATAGATACATCACACATACAGGGCACTGGTTGCCATAGATACATTCACACATACAGGGCACTGGTTGCCATAGATACATTCACACATACAGGGCACTGGTTGCCATAGATACATTACACATACAGGGCACTGGTTGCCATTGATACATCACACATACAGGGCACTGGTTGCCATAGATACATCACACATACAGGGCACTGGTTGCCATTGATAAATCACACATACAGGGCACTGGTTGCCATAGATACATCACACACATGAACACTAGTTGCCATTGATACATTACACATTTACATATTTGGATACAATATTTGGATAGTAAATACGATACAAAAGTAAGATGGTTGACAAATATGTTTTAAATGGATTGAAGTGTTCCTTCAGAATTAGTTGCATGAAAGGATCACAATTAAAGTGATATTCTGGTAAGTCAGTATTCTGCAGTAATCTAGTTGTACCTCCCTGTCCCACTAGTCTCATCTTGCATCTTGATACAATGTTCGTAATGCAGCCGAGTTATTTTATAGTTTTCAGGTTCCTATTCTATGCCAGGACACACTGTAAATAAGTTTCCAATGGGGCTGAAACTAGAAAAGGGAGATCTAACATGGACCATCTTGATTCCACAGTGGAAGTGTGAATTTGTCTGACTCATTGTGTCACACCCTCTGTGCTGTCCTATATATAGCCCGGAATAGTGACGGTGGAGGGGGGCACTGGGGCCTTCAGCAGCAGTAGCAAGGTGTTTGTTTTTAAGACAGAGTCCAGACGGCTAGTGGAAACTTTATTTCACTCGGTCTTTGTAGCAAATCCTGCTTGCACAAGACAAAACCGCTCACTATGTCTATATTTCTGTTTTATCCAGTTCCAATTTGTAACAAAAATAGCACTGTGAACTGGTTCAGATTGCAGCCCTCTCATGCTTCTAGCCAATGAGGACTTCCATCCTTGGCGTTTTACTGAGCGGGGATTTCCAAGGCTGCTTCGTGAGTCTTCCCCAAGCATGAAACCATGAAGATGACAGCACGTTATTGTTACTGCAGACAATTCTGAGCCAGGAATTCATTTTAACAAGTAAAGCTGATAAACTGTATTAAATCTATCAGAGAAAACATTAAACCATAACATGGTGAAGTCAAAGAAATCACTCGAATCTGTTGATTAGAATCACCTCGCCTACTCCCAGAAACAGATTGTCATGCTTTCCCCGTTACATTCATCTGTCTCACTCCTGCAGGCAGAACACCATTAACTAGTCCAGGAATTTGAAATAACATACATCATAAGACATGTCAGATGCAAATTAAAAAATTTCAACCTTTGACGAATACACCAAAAAAAATGACTATATTTGTTCTCACACTTCCACAAAAAATCAGAACGCTTATACTCAGCTAAGCCTTCAAAGTCCTACAACTGAGGTACACAAGATTGTGCTGGGGAGATTAGTCAACAATAAGTTTGTTTTAGTGCCACTGCTTCTATACTGTGGCCTTGAAACTTAACAACACAAAAGCTTTTCTTTGGCTTCTATTATCAAGATCTAACTCCACGTAAGTCACAAAACAAAGCTTGTTATTTAAACATGGTAAGAATCTATTGCTCAAGCTATATTTGCAGCTCCTGACCACAAGCTTTAGTATACACAAGGTAGACAGTTTACTACACAAGGTAGACAGTTTACTGAACACAAGCTGTAGTACACACAAGGCAGTTTACTGAACACTGAAAGGGGGTGGACTTGTTATCAGCACCGTCATTAATCTGCCTCAAGTCGGTCAGTTGGTTGGATCGGGCAGGTGGGGGTATGTGATTAGACTTGAGGGGGGGACCTGGAATGTGGTGAAGTGAGTCGTGATTTGTCACAATCAATAACTATGAACCTGATATCAGAGATCAAGTTTCCCTTCGTGATAATGTCCCCCTCTAAATCTGGCCCCTCTGGCAAGCTGCCAACCACTCCATGCTCACTCAATCTCCGTGATTTTTGCCACACAAAACAATGTCACTATCTTGTTTCCAGTTGTCTGCAGGTGAGTGGTAGAAATCCAGGTACGTGGACTGTGTGGTGTAGACTATCGGACAGATAGACCCACACCAGGTACCCAGCCGCCACACCAACAACACGATGAGACCCGTCCTCTCCACAGCGGGAAACTATCATTTGGATATTTAATAATTAAATGACTGGAGGAGACGAAGATGGTTTTCCCCCAAGGTTATTGATTAATCTGCCTACCTGGGATTAATCACATTTTCCACGCTTGTGACTTGTTGACACTTACAGTGCTCTCCTGGAACATTAAACTATAATCTACTCTCTTCCAAGCAGCATGTGAAGGACAGGTTAAGGACAAGTGTTATGGACAGCCAAATACTTGATTAAAATATGACTACATCTAATTTGCCTGTCAAAGGTTTAGTAAGTGGGAACAGACATGACACACTGACATCTTGAAGTAACTGAAACCTAGCGTATGTGTGTCCGTGTGCATGCATGTGTGCAAGCAGGCATATGCACAGTATGCGCATATGCGTAAAAGTGGGCTGGGGAGTGGGTGTCTGTGTAAGTGAGTGAATTACATCCCACCATGGACTCACTATGTCCGTGAAGCCTGGGGACAGGCATGTATTGAGGGAGGATCTAGTGAATGCAGTTTGATGCCAAGGTCATCACAGAAGCCTACAAAATGTACCGTGTGACCACCCAATGAGCACCATGTGACCACCCAATGAGCACCGTGTGACCACCCAATGAGCACCATGTGACCATCCAATCCCCATAGCAACCAAAGCAGGGCTCACCATCACACGGGTCCCTGTGACCCAATGAGGGACACTGCCATCACACGGGTCCCTGTGGCCCAATGAGGGACACTGCCATCACACGGGTCCCTGTGGCCCAATGAGGGACACTGCCATCACACGGGTCCCTGTGGCCCAATGAGGGACACTGCCATCTACTCACATACTGCTCACCAGTACACGGGTCCCTGTGGCCCAATGAGGGACACTGCCATCACACGGGTCCCTGTGGCCCAATGAGGGACACTGCCATCACACGGGTCCCTGTGGCCCAATGAGGGACACTGCCATCACACGGGTCCCTGTGGCCCAATGAGGGACACTGCCATCTACTCACATACTGCTCACCAGCACACGGTCCCTGTGGCCCAATGAGGGACACTGCCATCACACGGGTCCCTGTGGCCAAATGAGGGACACTGCCATCTACTCACATACTGCTCACCAGCACACGGTCCCTGTGGCCCAATGAGGGACACTGCCATCACACGGGTCCCTGTGGCCAAATGAGGGACACTGCCATCTACACACGTACTGCTCACCAGCACACGGGTCCCTGTGGCCCAATGAGGGACACTGCCATCACACGGGTCCCTGTGGCCCAATGAGGGACACTGCCATCTACTCACATACTGCTCACCAGCACACGGTCCCTGTGGCCCAATGAGGGACACTGCCATCACACGGGTCCCTGTGGCCAAATGAGGGACACTGCCATCTACACACGTACTGCTCACCAGCACACGGGTCCCTGTGGCCCAATGAGGGACACTGCCATCACACGGGTCCCTGTGGCCCAATGAGGGACACTGCCATCACACGGGTCCCTGTGGCCCAATGAGGGACACTGCCATCTACACACGTACTGCTCACCAGCACACGGGTCCCTGTGGCCCAATGAGGGACACTGCCATCACACGGGTCCCTGTGGCCCAATGAGGGACACTGCCATCACACGGGTCCCTGTGGCCCAATGAGGGACACTGCCATCACACGGGTCCCTGTGGCCCAATGAGGGACACTGCCATCTACACACGTACTGCTCACCAGCACACGGGTCCCTGTGGCCCAATGAGGGACACTGCCATCACATGGGTCCCTGTGGCCCAATGAGGGACACTGCCATCTACACACGTACTGCTCACCAGCACACCGGTCCCTGTGGCCCAATGAGGGACACTGCCATCACACGGGTCCCTGTGGCCCAATGAGGGACACTGCCATCTACTCACATACTGCTCACCAACACACCGGTCCCTGTGGCCTAATGAGGGACACTGCCATCACACGGGTCCCTGTGGCCCAATGAGGGACACTGCCATCTACACACATACTGGCATCAGTCATGTTCCCAAGGGGGGTTAAGTGACTATAAAAGTCCAGTTTCCATCCTTGCCAAACTAGGCTGAAATCTATGCATATAACTATATCGACTTCCAGTTCGTAAACATGGATTTCAACGTGCAGATTTCGGTCGAGAATATGCAAATGATGTGTACCGTCAACTGGGCATTGACAGATATTTACAAATCTTTTCATGTTTTTAATCAAGGTGCTCATGTGATTTTATGCACTTCGAAGGATAAGACCTGCTTTATTACAATATAGATCTTGATCATCGATCAGATTATCTTGACTGGGCGCCACCATTTTATTTGAAGCAAATGAAAGTGATATGAGAGGTGGAATCTTATTGTCAGTATCCACTGGTGATGCTAAGATCAGCAGGGGTGGAAACTGGACTTTTACAGTCAGTTAACTCCCTTGACTCAGGAAGATGGTATCAGTAGGTCTAATCCTCCTGCTACACTCCAGCAGGAGTCCATGTACATACATGACGAATGGCCGGTCAACATATGATATCTTCACAGAGTGATATTTCAAGAACTTGAATTCATCTAGCTTATATTTCAATTGACTCTCTAATCCTGACTCGATATCAGGTCAAAACACATGGACTCCCAGTGCAAGTACAACTCATTACAGCATTGGAGGCAAACAGCCCTGAAGGGAGCTTGGTATAAAACCAACAGTTCACTCAGGTGTACAAGCCTTTCTTTGTACAGACCGAGCTGTGTACACTTACAATAAACACACCCTTACATGCCTGACAAGTTTCTGTAATCTGCTGTGAAATGCTACCCGTCATGGAGGGTCATTGTTGCACAGGTTCCCCCATTAGCAGACATGGAGACACATCTCGTCTGTAGGCATTAAATTTTCAGCTTAGTCAGTAAAAATGCCGCGAAACGTGTTTTCTGCATCATACTTAGTCAGCAAATTTGAAGGGTGTCCTAAAAGGTATAATATTTCATGAACAAGTGTATATAGAGATGCAGTAACATTTTCCTTGTACTGCAGCAGAATACATCTGCCCGAAGGAAACCAGAACTGTTGTGAGTCCATCACCCGAATACAAATTAAATACTCATTGTTATGTATGACATCTATGAGAATTTAGCATAATTACGATCAACATTACAACGATTAATTTACGCTAAGCTGTTTTTTATGGACATTTTACAGTAAGCTTTTCCGCAAATAATTTGACTCATTTTGTGTTTACAAAAGTTTTTAGTTGTTTTACGCTAAACAGTACCACTATCAGGGCCATCATGTAGTCAGACACTGAGACACATCTAGTCAAATGTACTACAGGACGCATCTAGTCAAATGTACTACAGGACACATCTAGTCAAATGTACTACAGGACACATCTAGTCAAATGTACTGCAGGACGCATCTAGTCAAATGTACTACAGGACACATCTAGTCAAATGTACTACAGGACACATCTAGTCAAATGTACTGCAGGACGCATCTAGTCAAATGTACTACAGGACACATCTAGTCAAATGTACTACAGGACACATCTAGTCAAATGTACTGCAGGACACATCTAGTCAAATGTACCGCAGGACACATCTAGTCAAATGTACTACAGGACACATCTAGTCAAATGTACTACAGGACGCATCTAGTCAAATGTACTGCAGGACACATCTAGTCAAATGTACTACAGGACACATCTAGTCAAATGTACTGCAGGACACATCTAGTCAAATGTACCGCAGGACACATCTAGTCAAATGTACTACAGGACACATCTAGTCAAATGTACTACAGGACGCATCTAGTCAAATGTACTGCAGGACACATCTAGTCAAATGTACTACAGGACACATCTAGTCAAATGTACTACAGGACACATCTAGTCAAATGTACTACAGGACGCATCTAGTCAAATGTACTGCAGGACACATCTAGTCAAATGTACTACAGGACACATCTAGTCAAATGTACTACAGGACACATCTAGTCAAATGTACTACAAGACACATCTAGTCAGTTGTATGACAAGACACTGAGACACTTCTTGTCAGATGTCTGCTGAATCAAGGTCACTCTGGATTTTGAGTAGAGGACAATACCAAGGTCTCACGATGCCTTGTGACAAGTATAACTGATCCTTTGGTGCTTAATGCGAGATATCTCGGCAGCATCTTGTGGTTTATGTTTCTCATCGTAGAACATTTCCCGTGCGCTTCATGCTGGTAAGCGTCGTGGTACACGACCCCGGGACATCTTGGTGCAGGTTCGCAGGAACCCGATGTTCACGTCTACTAAACACCTACCAGTTTCTCCCCTGATAGCACCTCCAGTAAAGACAGCAGCGCCACTCCATCTTTGATCTCTTCAAACAAGTTGTCAACTTTCAATGGCTGATCCCTCTGGAACAACAATAGTTGGCCATTCTAAGCATGACATGACGACAAGATTACAGGATGAGACATGTAGAAAGTCTACAGCATTCACAGATGCCATAAAGAAGTTTTGTTTCATAGGCATTTCTTGACAGATTAGACAACAGTTTAAGGAAAACAAGACTTTTATTCTGAGATGAGGAGTTGGTCCCTACAGTGGTTGAAGTCCCCCCAATAGCCCCTACAGTGGCTGAAGTCCATCAATAGCCCCTACAGTGGTTGAAGTCCCCCCAATAGCCCCTACAGTGGCTGAAGTCCCCCAATAGCCCCTACAGTGGCTGAAGTCCATCAATAGCCCCTACAGTGGCTGAAGTCCCCCAATAGCCCCTACAGTGGCTGAAGTCCCCCAATAGCCCCTACAGTGGATGAAGTCCATCAATAGCCCCTACAGTGGCTGAAGTCCATCAATAGCCCCTACAGTGGTTGAAGTCCCCCAATAGCCCCTACAGTGGCTGAAGTCCCCCAATAGCCCCTACAGTGGCTGAAGTCCACCAACAGCCCCTACAGTGGATGAAGTCCATCAATAGCCCCTACAGTGGCTGAAGTCCATCAATAGCCCCTACAGTGGCTGAAGTCCCCCAATAGCCCCTACAGTGGCTGAAGTCCATCAATAGCCCCTACAGTGGCTGAAGTCCATCAATAGCCCCTACAGTGGCTGAAGTCCCCCAATAGCCCCTACAGTGGCTGAAGTCCACCAATAGCCCCTACAGTGGATGAAGTCCACCAATAGCCCCTACAGTGGATGAAGTCCCACAATAGCCCCTACAGTGGCTGAAGTCCATCAATAGCACCTACATTGGCTGAAGTCCCCCAATAGCCCCTACAGTGGCTGAAGTCCCCCAATAGCCCCTACAGTGGATGAAGTCCACCAATAGCACCTACAGTGGCTGAAGTCCACCAATAGCCCCTACAGTGGATGAAGTCCCACAATAGCCCCTACAGTGGCTGAAGTCCCCCAATAGCCCCTACAGTGGCTGAAGTCCACCAATAGCCCCTACAGTGGATGAAGTCCACTAATAGCCCCTACAGTGGCTGAAGTCCCACAATAGCCTCTACAGTGGCTGAAGTCCCCCAATAGCCCCTACAGTGGCTGAAGTCCCCCAATAGCCCCTACAGTGGCTGAAGTCCATCAATAGCACCTACAGTGGCTGAAGTCCCCCAATAGCCCCTACAGTGGCTGAAGTCCACCATTGCCCCTACAGTGGCTGAAGTCCCCCAATAGCCTCTACAGTGGCTGAAGTCCCCCAATAGCATCTACAGTGGCTGAAGTCCCCCAATAGCATCTACAGTGGCTGAAGTCCCCCAATAGCATCTACAGTGGCTGAAGTCCCCCAATAGCCTCTACAGTGGCTGAAGTCCCCCAATAGCCCCTACAGTGGCTGACGTCCCCCAATAGCCCCTACAGTGGCTGAAGTCCATCAATAGCCCCTACATTGGCTGAAGTCCCCCAATAGCCCCTACAGTGGCTGAAGTCCATCAATAGCCCCTACAGTGGCTGAAGTCCCCCAATAGCCCCTACAGTGGCTGAAGTCCATCAATAGCCCCTACAGTGGCTGAAGTCCATCAATAGCCCCTACAGTGGCTGAAGTCCCCCAATAGCCCTTCAGTGGCTGAAGTCCCCCAATAGCCCCTACAGTTGATGAAGTCCCCCAATAATAGTCAAGGACCAACCTGTAGGTCCCGTGACCAAATCATGGAAACAAAGGTTTGAAAGTGTTTTTGAGCTTCCTGATGTATACTGAACAATTTTGACTTGGGCTGCCCGGTTGAAAATCCCGGGCATTTTGGGGAAGGGTCAACAAAGGTCAAACAGGGGTCAAAATTCAAAATTGTGTCAATATGCATATCAAATTACACGTCCAGTCATAGGGAACCTAGAAATATATAGTTTGTTATACTTCCGACCTTAAATGGGGGAGCTATGGCCAAAAACGTTGAAAGGTCAACGCACTTTTGGCAGTCGGTGAAATTCACAAACACAGTTAACATTGTCCGATAGTCATGATTTTAGTGTCTAATAATATGTTTTCTGACATGACAATTTCAACAAAGCAACTTTTAAAAGTAAAAAGGGTTACCTTGACCTTGAAAATCGAAAATGGTTGCCATGCTTCAGTAAAGTCATTGGAAACAGGATCCTTGGCCAATAACGCAGCATATTTCAGAATCCATTGTCCAGAAATGCTTCCTTGCCAATACAGTATTCACAGCCAGCACTGCCTCAATATCTGAGTGATGCCAGAGCAAACTGCTCTGTAGAATCGGACGCAGATTCTAGATTCAAGTAATAGTGAAAGTGATTCCGACTCTGCATCTAATCGGTATGACACAGAGTAGGATGATGAACTGTGCACTTAAGTAAGGTTAGAAAAGCATGACTGGACAATGGATTCTGAAATATGCTGCATTATTGGCCAAGGATCCTGTGACTTTGCTGAAGCATTACAATTCTTCATGCAGCCAACCATTTTCGATTTTCAAGGCCAAAGTAACCCTTTTTACTTTTAAAATCAGGAAACTCAAAAACACTTTCAAACCTTTCTTTTCATGATTTGGTCACAGGACCTACAGGTTGGTCTTCTAGTATAAGCCCTACAGTGGCTGAAGTCCATCAATAGCCTCTACAGTGGATGAAGTCCCCCAATAGCCCCTACAGTGGATGAAGTCCCCCAATAGCCCCTACAGTGGCTGAAGTCCATCAATAGCCCCTACAGTGGCTGAAGTCCCCCAATAGCCCCTACAGTGGCTGAAGTCCCCCAATAGCCTCTACAGTGGCTGAAGTCCCCCAATAGCACCTACAGTGGCTGAAGTCCATCAATAGCCTCTACAGTGGCTGAAGTCCATCAATAGCCCCTACAGTGGCTGAAGTCCCCCAATAGCCCCTACAGTGGCTGAAGTCCCCAATTGGCCCCTACAGTGGCTGAAGTCCCCCAATAGCCCCTACAGTGGCTGAAGTCCCCCAATAGCACCTACAGTGGCTGAAGTCCCCCAATAGCCCCTACAGTGGCTGAAGTCCATCAATAGCCTCTACAGTGGCTGAAGTCCATCAATAGCCTCTACAGTGGCTGAAGTCCCCCAATAGCCTCTACAGTGGCTGAAGTCCCCCAATAGCACCTACAGTGGCTGAAGTCCTACAGTGACTGGAGACCCCATATAGCTCCACAGTGACTGGAGACCCCATATAGCTCCACAGTGACTGGAGACCCCATATAGCTCCACAGTGACTGGAGACCCCATATAGCTCCACAGTGACTGGAGACCCCATATAGCTCCACAGTGACTGGAGACCCCATATAGCTCCACAGTGACTGGAGACCCCATATAGCTCCACAGTGACTGGAGACCCCATATAGCTCCACAGTGACTGGAGACCCCATATAGCTCCACAGTGACTGGAGACCCCATATAGCTCCACAGTGACTGGAGACCCCATATAGCTCCACAGTGACTGGAGACCCCATATTGCTCCACAGTGACTGGAGACCCCATATAGCTCCACAGTGACTGGAGACCCCATATAGCTCCACAGTGACTGGAGACCCCATATAGCTCCACAGTGACTGGAGACCCCATATTGCTCCACAGTGACTGGAGACCCCATATAGCTCCACAGTGACTGGAGACCCCATATAGCTCCACAGTGACTGGAGACCCCATATAGCTCCACAGTGACTGGAGACCCCATATAGCTCCACAGTGACTGGAGACCCCATATAGCTCCACAGTGACTGGAGACCCCATATAGCTCCACAGTGACTGGAGACCCCATATAGCTCCACAGTGACTGGAGACCCCATATAGCTCCACAGTGACTGGAGACCCCATATAGCTCCACAGTGACTGGAGACCCCATATAGCTCCACAGTGACTGGAGACCCCATATTGCTCCACAGTGACTGGAGACCCCATATAGCTCCACAGTGACTGGAGACCCCATATAGCTCCACAGTGACTGGAGACCCCATATTGCTCCACAGTGACTGGAGACCCCATATAGCTCCACAGTGACTGGAGACCCCATATAGCTCCACAGTGACTGGAGACCCCATATAGCTCCACAGTGACTGGAGACCCCATATAGCTCCACAGTGACTGGAGACCCCATATAGCTCCACAGTGACTGGAGACCCCATATAGCTCCACAGTGACTGGAGACCCCATATAGCTCCACAGTGACTGGAGACCCCATATAGCTCCACAGTGACTGGAGACCCCATATTGCTCCACAGTGACTGGAGACCCCATATAGCTCCACAGTGACTGGAGACCCCATATAGCTCCACAGTGACTGGAGACCCCATATTGCTCCACAGTGACTGGAGACCCCATATAGCTCCACAGTGACTGGAGACCCCATATAGCTCCACAGTGACTGGAGACCCCATATTGCTCCACAGTGACTGGAGACCCCATATAGCTCCACAGTGACTGGAGACCCCATATAGCTCCACAGTGACTGGAGACCCCATATTGCTCCACAGTGACTGGAGACCCCATATAGCTCCACAGTGACTGGAGACCCCATATAGCTCCACAGTGACTGGAGACCCCATATTGCTCCACAGTGACTGGAGACCCCATATAGCTCCACAGTGACTGGAGACCCCATATTGCTTTTACTATGACTGCAGACCCATCTCCCTCCTTCAGCACCATAAACCCTTGAAACTGCAGGACGGGAGGATGTGGATTGGCACAGGTGATCGACCCATGTGGCTACTTTTATGAATGGATGACTGACACTGAGTGATGAGATGAGTGAATAGACTCCTGACTGACTGGTGACCGAGGCTAACTATACCTGTGATTTATTCTGAACATATTCAAACCAACATCTACTCTCTGTTAAAGAGGCTTTCTTTCAGTCCCTACATCAATAAAAACCCTGGCCAATTTCTCCCAGAGAACTGTTGAGTGCCCAATCATCGGCAATCAATAACGTAATCCCGGGCTGCTAATTACAGTACAGGCCAGGTGAACGCGGCAATCCCAGCACAGGTATCACAGGATACAGAAACTGTTTCACTTATTCTACCTGAACTGACGACTTCCTAACACCATTGGTTTATCACTGATTTAAATCATTAGTGTCGAGATTGGGAAAGCTGTCAAATTAGTCTCATGACAAAAAGCATATCACTGACAAACTGGGAACACTGTAGGCAGGTATTTCATGGCATGTAGCTGCAGGGATCAATAAGTCATTTACATGGTATCAGGGTCTCTTACACGGTGGCGTGAACCTGTTCTAAGTCGACATTATGATGCAAACCATTAGAGATGATTACACATTGATGTCTCATAACATCAATAACTATTTTACCATGAAAAAATCAAACATGTAAAGAGCTAGTCTTCCAAAGAACATCCACAGTGATCAACTACAAAGTTAAGGAAGAGAATTTATGGATGTCAACTTCGGTATTATGAGGAACTAATTTGAAATTGAAATTGGGAGTACCTTTTATTTACCATATTTTAAGCATATTCAATGATTCAAATGATAAGGAACTCACTGAGGGTTTTTTCATTGTAACTCACCTGTCTGAGGTATGTGTTCATCCAGTTGGTGAAAGTCTTCTTCTGTACCCTCTCCTGCTCATCTGTAACAAAGAAGGATAACATCAGCATCACCAATGACATCACCCCTCAACATCAGCATCACCAATGACATCACCCCTCAACATCAGCATCACCCTTGACATCATCCCTCAACATCAGCATCACCAATGACATCACGCCTCAACATCAGCATCACCCATGACATCATCCCTCAACACCAGCATCACCAATGACATCACCACTCAACACCAGCATCACCAATGACATCACCCCTCAACATCAGCATCACCCTTGACCTCACGTCTCAACACCAGCATCACCCTTGACATCACCCCTCAACATCAGCATCACCCTTGACCTCACGTCTCAACACCAGCATCACCCTTGACATCACCCCTCAACATCAGCATCACCAATGACATCCTCCCTCAACATCAGCATCACCCTTGACATCCTCCCTCAACACCAGCATCACCCTTGACATCATACCTCAACATCAGCATCACCAATGACATCACCCCTCAACATCAGCATCACCCTTGACATCCTCCCTCAACACCAGCATCACCCTTGACATCACCCCTCAACATCAGCATCACCCTTGACATCACCCCTCAACACCAGCATCACCCTTGACATCATACCTCAACATCAGCATCACCCTTGACATCACGTCTCAACACCAGCATCACCCTCGACATCATCCCTCAACATCAGCAACACCCTTGACATCATCCCTCAACATCAGCATCACCCTTGACATCCTCCCTCAACATCAGCATCACCAATGACATCATCCCTCAACATCAGCATCACCCTTGACATCATCCCTCAACATCAGCATCACCCTTGACATCATCCCTCAACACCAGCATCACCCTTGACATCACCCCTCAACACCAGCATCACCCTTGACATCACCCCTCAACACCAGCATCACCCTTGACATCACCCCTCAACACCAGCATCACCCTTGACATCATCCCTCAACAGCAGCATCACCCTTGACATCACCCCTCAACACCAGCATCACCCTTGACATCACCCCTCAACATCAGCATCGCTCTTGACATCACCCCTCAACACCAGCATCACCCTTGACATCACCCCTCACCATCAGCATCGCCCTTGACATCACCCCTCAACATCAGCATTACCCTTGACATCATCCCTCAACACCAGCATCACCCTTGACATCACCCCTCAACATCAGCATCACCCTTGACATCACCCCTCAACACCAGCATCACCCTTGACATCACCTCTCAACATCAGCATCACCCTTGACATCACCCCTCAACATCAGCATCACCCTTGACATCATCCCTCAACACCAGCATCACGTCTCAACACCAGCATCACCCTTGACATCATCCCTCAACATCAGCATCGCCCTTGACATCACCCCTCAACATCAGCATCACCCTTGACATCACCCCTCAACATCAGCATCACCAATGACATCACCCCTCAACATCAGCATCACCCTTGACATCACCCCTCAACATCAGCATCACCCTTGACATCACCCCTCAACATCAGCATCACCCTTGACATCACGTCTCAACACCAGCATCTGTCAATCGACTGCTTTCACTTCAAACTTGATTCACATTGGGAAATGTGACAATGCTTCAGAGATAATATTTAACATTACAAACATTCCATGAACTCTGAATCGTCCCCATGTATGGAGGTGAATGTAAATTAATGTAAATTGTGTGATTCAAGCAACTGCTGTAACATCTGTGCAACCCCAGAGCTGCCGGTGGTCAACAGTGTGAGGAACACTCCTTGCTACTACACCAGAAAGCTTCCAGTTCTTGTTCTTGGAGGTCACCCATCCCTTCATATTCAGCAGCCATCTTGACCACACAATCCCCATCTTCATTCACTCTTAATACTATACTGACACACTTTGAAAGTGCATATTCATTTTTTTGTAATATCTGGCACTATGGCCACAAAAGTGAAAATAAGTTGTTCTGGGTATTTAAGCATGAGGCAATCAAACACAGCGATGTCGTTGTACAGGTTCAAATCTCATTCAATGTGTACTGCAAAAATCATTTTCTCATCATTCATTTCAAGTTAAGTTGATTCTGTGTTTTCAGTGTGTTTCAGTACACCTACACACTGAAAAAAAGTCACAATGGCCCAACTTCTAAAAAAACCCAGGTCACCCTGACCCAACTACTGTAAACAGGTCACCATGACCAAACAACTAAAATGATGGGATGCAATGAGGTTGGGTGAGAAGGCAGGGAAACAACAAGTACCATCACATCTTTTGGTCCACTGGAACACTGAGGCGGTCGACCCAGCTACTGACTACAGGGGATGTAATGACAATGACTGACAAGGACTGACAAGGACTGACAATGACTGTCAAGGACTGACATGGATTGACAAGGACTGACAAGGAATATCAAGGACTGACACGCATTGACACGCATTGACAAGGACTGACGAGGACTGACGAGGACTGACGAGGACTGACAATGACTGACGAGGACTGACGAGGACTTAAAAGGATAACCCAAAACACAGACCCAGTGCAACACAGTATATGTGCAATATGTACACTGAGTGGTTTTCTATGTTGAAAACATCTGGTTTATCCACGACAACAGGCAGGGCAGGTGCCAAAACAATGGCTGCAGTGCGTTCACACACCTAAACATTACTTGCAACAAAAGCACAAACAAATCTCAATCTTGAAATTCACGGAACTATAAGGAATTCCATGCAGGTGGCCTGAATCATGCATCGACCTTTTAACAATGCCCGATGTAAGGTCCAGCCTGGCCCACCAGGTCTCCACCTGACCGCGGTGTCGTAACGTGGGGTCGCCGATGTAGCAGCTATCTCCCACGAAGACAAGACAACATGTTGTAAGACCCACCTGAATCTGTGTGCATGGTGTGAGGCTAGAGTTGGGGTACAGACACCATCACGTCAGTGTAGAAGTTGTGTGTGTTTCCTCTGCCTCCACAGATGTCAGTGGGTATGTGTTTACACTTGGCTATAGATAGACCAGCTTGGGATGCCGAGGAGGGGTGGAGGAGCACTGCTTCCATACAACATGTTCTCCCAATGCTCGTCACAACCTGATGCAAACCTCTAAATGAGGGGCCAAACAAAACCTGTATGGTGTGGAGTCCGGGAGTATTTACTCCGCAAACATTACATGAATCTGTGAGCAGGTCTCCATCATAAAGGCTGGGGATAGTGATGGAGACAGAGGTCGTACACACAGTTTTAACAGCTCCTGGCCCTCGGACTTGAAACAACTGGATTACACCCTTCTACAGGTAATCTCTTTACTTAATCCTGAGACCCCTTCAAGAATATTGTCATTCAGTTACAAAAGCTCATTAACAACCTTTCTGTGAACATTAACATGAAACCTGGAGGACACTTTCATACCAGATCCACCAAACCTTTATTGTACTACTGTTACCCTCCTCTCTCAATGGGAGGTGAGAGGTCACCTGCCGGTGGGGGTAGTGGTGATACAACTGGGGAGATAGGGAGGCATGAAATCAGAAAGCAGGGTTGTGTGTGTGTATTTTGTCAATAAATCATAGACAGCAGTTAAAGAGGCATCACGTTACCCTAGCCCTGTAGGTGAGCCTACTGCTGCAGGCAGGTCTGAGAACACAGCCCTGTCTGACAGAGGCAACAATGGATGCAACAATGGATGCAGCTTCTGTCTGATTCCGGTATTTGCACAGCAGTTGTAGATAAAACTCCACCCTACACCGAAATGTCAAATGTTGTGAATCATGCACCACGTTTCTATGGAAACCGATCACACCCACAACTTAATACCTTGCTGATGTGGTACTGACCATGCTGAGGTGAGCTGCGCTCTAAACACGGCACATGACACGTCAATAGTGTGCATTACAAGTAAACATGGCACATGACACATGACCCAATAGTGGGCATTACAAGTAAACAGCACATGACACAATAGTGTGCATTACAAGTAAACATGGCACATGACACGTCAATAGTGTGCATTACAAGTAAACACAGCACATGACACAATAGCATGCATTACAAGTAAACATGAAACATGGCACATGACACGTCAATAGTGTGCATTACAACTACAAGTAAACATGGCACATGGCACATAACACGTCAATAGTGTGCATTACTAGTATTGTCGGATCATAGGTTTTCGGACATACATTTTCGGATGACCATGTTTATTGCTATTACTCACGCTATAACAGGGGGTGTAGCATCACACAGACATTTTAAATAATCAGATGATGGCTTGTCTTTAAGAGAAAGTTGTCTCTTATAAGTGAATGTGATGTTTTACAGTCGTTCATGTGATGAGAGAGAAATCTATGAATGTTTCTTAAGCGTCCGAAAATCCATAACACGGGTATAAACACAGCATGTAAGTCGTCACTGGTGTGCACAACAAGTAAACACAGCACATGACTTGTCACTGGAGCACATTACAAGTAAACATGGCATGTGACTTGTCACTGGAGCACATTACAAGTAAACATGGCATGTGACTTGTCACTGGAGCACATCAACAGTAAACATGGCATGTGACTTGTCACTAGAGCACATCAACAGTAAACATGGCATGTGACTTGTCACTGAAGCACATCACAAGTAAACATGGCATGTGACTTGTCACTGGAGCACATTACAAGTAAACATGGCATGTGACTTGTAACTAGAGCACATTACAAGTAAACATGGCATGTGACTTGTCACTGGAGCACATTACAAGTATACATGGCATGTGACTTGTCACTGGAGCACATCACAAGTAAACATGGCATGTGACTTGTCACTGGAGCACATCACAAGTAAACATGGCATGTGACTTGTCACTGGTGCACATCAACAGTAAACATGACATGTGACTTGTCACTGGTGCACATCACAAGTAAACATGGCATGTGACTTGTCACTGGTGCACATCACAAGTAAACATGGCATGTGACTTGTCACTGGTGCACATTACAAGTAAACATGGCATGTGACTTGTCACTGGAGCACA